GCTGGCATCCCATATGGGCGTTTGTCTGGGTCCCGCTTGCATCAGCTCCCTGTTATTGTGCCTGGGAAAGCAGTGGAAGATGGCCCAAGTGTTTGGGCCCCTGTATCCATGTGGGAGATCCAGAAAAAGCTCCTGGCCCCTGATTAGTCCAGCACTGGCCATTGTGGATCTCTTTTTTTTTTTTTTTTTAAGATTTTTTTTAATTTGAAAGAGTTACAGAGAGAGGTAGAGACAGAGAGAGAGGTCTTCCATCCACTGGTTCACTCCCCAGATCACTGCAACGGCCGGAGCTGTGCTGATCTGAAGCCAGGAGCCAGGAGCCCCTGCACCCACGTGGGAGATCCGGAAGAAGCTCCTGGCTCCTGGCTTCACATCAGTGCAGCTCTGGCCATTGCAGCCATCTTGGGAGTGAACCAGCGGATGGAAGACCTCTCTCTCTCTCTGTGTAGCTCTTTCAAATAAATAATCTTAAAAAAAATTATTTATTTGAGAAGCAGAGTTACATCAGAGAAAGTGAGAGACAGAGAGGGAGAGGTCTTCCATTTACTGGTCCACTTCCCAGATGGCTGCAATGGCTGGAGCTGGGCCTGATCCGAATCAAGAAGCCAGGATGCAGGGACCCAAGGACTTGGGCCATCTTCCACTGCTTTCCCAGGCTATTAGCAGGGAGCTAATTAGATAGGGAATGGGGCAGCCAGGAGTTGAATCAGCACTCGTATTGGACGCTGGCACTGCAGGCAGAGGCTCGACCTACTAGTCCATAGCATCGGCCCTGGGCTTCACTCTTAGGGATTCCCTAAAGCTAAAAATTCTGGGAATCAGGACTGACACTGTGGCATGTAAATCCACCGCCTGCAGTGCCAGCATCCTATATGGCCCAAGTTCTTGAGCCCTGCACCCGCATAGGAGAGACCCGGAGGAGGCCCTGGCTCCTAGATTCTGGCTTTGGATCAGGGCAGCTCCAGCCATTGTGGCCAACTGGGGAGTGAACCAGTGGATGGATGACCTCTCCCTCTCTCTCTGCCTCTCCTCTTCTTCTCTATGTAACTCTTTCAAAGAAATAAATAAATCTTTTTTTTTAAAAACATTCTGGGAATTCCTGTGTCTAGCTCTGAATTGTAATGCATGTTCTTTGGCTGATGCTGGCTTTAAAGCATCTGGAATCTTAGTACATGTTCCCACCAAGTCTTTTACGTAAGGTGGTGGTGGACATAGAGCCAAGGCTCTGTATTAATTGCACAGGATGCATGCATTATGTATGCTTTTGAAACTGATTATTTTACATCTAATTATGAATTTGTTTAAAGAACCAGAATTGTGATTCTCAAGGTGGGGTTTTGGTGTGCCTAAGTCTAGGTCATAGATTCTAGCCACAGCTTGGGAACTTGAACAAATCTTATCTGAATATAGACTTGTCTCACAGTATTTTCCTCCATACCTTTCTCTCTTTTGAAGTGCCAGAATTCCCAAGTCCATTATCAATGGATACCCTCCCTACCTTGTGCCATCACCATTGTACAGGATATTTAAGAATGTTTTGTTTGCTTATCTGCTAATAAATATCTTTTTTTTTTTTGAATGGCAGAGTTAGACAGTGAGAGAGTAAAACAGAGAAAGGTCTTCCTTCCGTTGGTTCACCCCCAAAAATGGCCGCTACGACCGGTGCACTGCGCTGATCCGAAGCCAGGAGCCAGATGCTTCTTCCTGGTCTCCCATATGGGTGCAGGGCCCAAGGACTTGGGCCATCCTCCACTGCACTCCCTGGCCACAGCAGAGAGCTGGCCTGGAAGAGGGGCAACTGGGACAGAATCCCCGACCGGGACTAGAACCTGGGGTGCCGGTGCCACAGGCAGAGGATTAGCCTAGTGAGCCGCAGCACCAGTCAATAAATACCTTCTTAATAGATGCATATACAGGCCGGCGCCGCGGCTCACTAGGCTAATCCTCCGCCTAGCGGCGCTGGCACACCGGGTTCTAGTCCCGGTCGGGGCGCCCGGATTCTGTCCCGGTTTGCCCCTCTTCCAGGCCAGCCCTCTGCTGTGGCCCGGGAGTGCAGTGGAGGATGGCCCAGGTGCTTGGGCCCTGCACCCCATGGGAGACCAGGAAAAGCACCTGGCTCCTGGCTCCTGCCATCGGATCAGCGTGGTGCGCCGGCCGCAGCGCGCCGGCCGCGGCGGCCATTGGAGGGTGAACCACGGCAAAAGGAAGACCTTTCTCTCTGTCTCTCTCTCTCACTGTCCACTCTGCCTGTCAAAAAAAAAAAAAAAAAAAATAGATGCATATACAATAGTGTTTGATCTGAAACCTTTAGGTTGTAAAGGAAGTAGCTAACCCTGACCCACCTCAAACTTCTTTGGCTGATAAAGAAATCATGAGGGCAGACATTTGATGCAGTCATTAAGACATCTTTGGGATACCTGCATGCTATGTTGAGTGTCCTGGCTTCATCCTGATTCCAGCTTCCTGCTAATGAGCACCCTGGGAAGCAGCTTTCATGGTTCAAGTAGTTGGGTGCTTGTGGCTAACATAACTGTTGACCCAGATTGAGTTCCAGGCTCCTGGCTGTGGCCTGGCCCATCCCTGGCTATTTTAGAAAATTAAAACGGAGATGGGGGGCGGAGGGTACAGGGGATGGGGAAGGAAAGAGAAGAAATAAATCATGATCTATTACATTTTGCTTATTTCTACTCTCTAGAACTTCACTGATTCCTATGTCTCAGACACTTGCTGGTAGGTTTTTAGTTTCTCACAGAGAAAATACAAACCAGGCAAGGATTCCAAAGATTCTCAGCTATCCTCCAATGCTTCATTATTTACTTTATTTTAAAAAAGATTTATTTATCTGAAAGGCAGAGTAACAGACAGGAGAGAGGGAAGGCGAGATAAAGAAAGGGAGAGAAAATCCTCTATCTACTGGTTCATTTCTCAAATGGCTCCAACAGCTGGGTCTGGGCCAGGCTGAAGTCAGGTGCCTAAATCTCTCAAGTACCTGGGCCATCTTCCATTACTTTCCCTGGTGCATTAGCAGGGAGCTGAATCAGCTGGGACTCGAATCAGTGCTCACAGGGGATGCTGGCATTGCAGGTGGTGGCTTAACCTGTTGTGCCATGAAGCTGACCCCTGATGCCTTGCTTTGTAGTGACAGAAAAATCACCTTGGTTAGGTAAACAACATGTATGACAAATGTAGAAAAGAGCTTTTTGGTATTTTGTCAGATTTACTGTCATAATTTTTTTTTTTGACAGGTAGAGTGGACAGTGAGAGAGAGAGACAGAGAGAAAGGTCTTCCTTTTGCCGTTGGTTCACCCTTCAATGGCTGCCGGCGTCCGGCGCACCGCGCTGATCCGATAGCAGGAGCCAGGAGCCAGGTGCTTTTCCTGGTCTCCCATGGGGTGCAGGACCCAAGCACTTGGGCCATCCTCCACTACACTCCCTGGCCACAGCAGAGAGCTGGCCTGGAAGAGGGGCAACCGGGACAGAATCCGGCACCCTGACCGGGACTAGAACCCAGGGTGCCGGCGCCGCAAGGCGGAGGATTAGCCTAGTGAGCCACGGCGCCAGCCATAAATGCTTCTTTATTACATCAGGAATTATATACCTAAAAAAAATTGAATTTGGCCTATGAATCTTAAATGAGGTCAGATTCTAAAACATCACAAAAGGATTTTTTTTTTGCCAGGCAGTCAGACAGTGAGAGAGACAGAGTTATAGACCGTGAGAGAGACAGAGAGAAAGGTCTTCCTTCCGTTGGTTCACTCCCCTAATGGCCGCCACGGCCAGCACTGCACTGATCCGAAGCCAGGAGCCAGGCACTTCCTCCTGGTCTCCCATGTGGGTGCAGGGACCCAAGTACTTGGGCCATCCTCCGCTGTCCTCCTGGGCCACAGCAAAGAGCTGGACTGGAAGAGGAGCAACTGGGACTAGTACCTGAAGCCCCAATAGGGACTAGAATCTGGGGTGTCGGTGCTGCAAGCGGAGCATTAGCCTAGTGAGTGATGGCGCCGGTCCCACAAAAGGATTTTTTTGGTGACATCTTAAAAGCTTAGATACCAGCAGACATCATAATGATCATGGATTCTTGTGTCATTAAAAAAAATTATCTGAGCCAGGGAATTTTCTCTAAGAATTTAGCCTAAGGACATGGACCAAAGATTAAGCTATAAGGAAACAACCAAAATAGCCCACAATGTAGGATTAAATAAATCAAAGAGGCACGTGAACATAATCTTTCAGTTTTTCTTTCATTGGTCAAATGACGACTAGTGTCTGAATTCTCAGCATGATGGTGGCAACAGGGAGCAGCTCGCCTGTGGTGACAGAATCTCACACACACGCATTATGAACAGGATATTACTTTGGCTTCTCAGCAAGATAACTAACAGTCATCTTGCTTTTCCTGACATTCATATTTTCCAATTATATTTTTTGTGTGTTTTATTAACATGTTATAAATAGAAAATTTCTTCTCAAACATAATTAGCAGAGAACAACTGGTTGGCACACTGCCTGTAGGGAGGCACTAGCCCCATCCTTATCTCAAATTTCTCTCTTTTTTGACAGGCAGAGTTAGACAGTGAGAGAGAGAGAGAGAGACAGAGAGAAGGTCTTCCTTTTCCGTTGGTACACCCAACAAATGACCGCTACGGCTGGTGCACTGCGCCAATCTGAAGCCAGGAGCCAGGTACTTTTTCCTGGTCTCCCATGCAGGTGCAGGGCCCAAGGACTTGGGCCATCCTCCACTGCCCTCCCGGGCCACAGCAGAGAGCTGGACTGGAAGAGGGGCAACCGGGACAGAACTGGCACCCCAACTGGGACTAGAACCTGGAGTGTCGGCGCCATAGGTGGAGGATTAGCTTAGTGAGCCATGTTACCAGCTCAAATTTATTTCTTTTCAAAACATGTATGCCTTGATCACCTCACCTATGTCAATGACACCATGTTGCTTGAAGCTCATTGTATTCTTAACAATTATAATCAAAATGTCAAATTGGATAGCTTACCACCATCTGCCATTTCAAAATCACCATTTATGTTTTTATGATATGTCACAACTTCTCTTGGAATACTTTTCAGCAAAACACTTCTGTATACCTACAATCCGGAGAGGGAAAAAAAGGACTGCTAAGTCACAAGTTAAGCAAAATCACAGGAAGAACAAAATATCAAGCCAGTAAGAAATACCTGTATGACTGATAATGAAGGGTAAGATGGTATTAGCTCTGATAATTGTAGATTATGGCAAACATTATAGAAGAGGGGATACTGAAGCAGAGCCTGTCACCTAAAATGTGCCATCTTAGTTTACAAAACAGAAGAACTAAGTCATAATTAAAGATTGATGAATAGCTCAGGGATTTGAACTCACTTCTTCCTTTAGCCCATTTTCATGTGCTTTTAGATGGATAAAAACTTTCTCTCTTCCTGTCCATAGTAAACTCTTTCCTACCTCCAAGGCAGGTGGGAAGGCATGACCCAGTCTCCTTTGTGCTATAGGTTACTGGTATCGAAAGGATATTTAGGAAGTAGTGGCTTGGCTCATTGTTTTTTTTTTTTTTTTTTTTTAAGGTTTGCTTGTTTATGTATAATCACAATTGACAGTGCTCTAACAGTAACCCACGGCTATGTTCTAATAGTCATCAAGTCCTACAAAAACAAACCCAAGCCTTTACAGTAATTAAATCAATACAGAACTAAAGCTTTTACAGCTTTTTAAATGAGATTGTTTACTAAAGTCCTCTCCTCTCCTCTCCTTTTTTTTTCCTTTTTCCTTTTTCCTTTTTCCCCTTTCCCCTTTCCTTTCCTCCAACAAAATGCCCTGAGATAAGGCCACATGCTTACCTTAAAGGTCTGACCCATTTATTCATGCAACAAAATTACAGTCCTCACCCTCCCCCTACTCACCTTTCAGACAAAAATGCAGAGCTATTTACAATCAGGAAGAAATTCGCTCTTGGTCAATTGACCTTGCAAGAAAGACTGGCTTATTTCCAAATGGATAAGAACACCCAAGTGTTCAGCCAGAGCCCAACCCTGACCAACTGACTCACATCAGAGGACGGCAGGGACAGGACAGGATGTCTTGAGCTCTGACTCCCTACCTCGGTGCCTATGAAATCCATGCTGCATGTTAGCATTCAGGGCCCTTTGACACTACCCAAAATCCTTCCAGTCCCACCATCCTCTGCCAGCCCGCCGTCTTGGCATCACTCAGGACACATCAGGGAGTCTGATTTGCATTTACAATGTGAACCATGGAACACTGCCCTTTCCCTGCCTACAAACCACCCTCCTTTACATGCCGCCCTGTGCTGGTCCAGCCTGTTTCCGGAGATTTGACCTTGGCAGTGGACAATGTCAGCCAACAACAGCAGGGCCAGCTGGGCTGCAGAGGCAGTATAATTGTTGGCTCATTTTTGACCTACATTAACCTCACCTTAATGATCTTTAGGGACGCTACCTCTCTAGGCTCTGTTCTTGAGGAATTTTCCTGAAGAGGCCAAGAAACATTTAGTTTGACATAGGACACAAATACCTTCGTTCTTCAAATGTCTCTGTATTGCTCAATATCGATGTATTTGGGCACTTAAATATAAGAGAGAAGCTATTTGTGGGACTCTCTTACAAGGCAGGATAACTACCAGCTCCAATTCTCTTTTGGTTTATGATATGAGCCATCACCTCTCTCTTTCTGTCTAGGAACTTCCGGGCTAGAGAAGAGGCTATTATACTTCCCAAGAGCAGAGCAATTAGGTTCTTCAGTGGCCAAACCCTTAAGGCAACTCACTCATGTTCTTTAGTGACAATATCTAGTTAACATTCATTAACTGCTTACTGGGTGCCAGGCCACTATGCCACCATTTTATATTTCCATGATTCGAAGTTTTACAGAATTCTCACCAAGGCTATTACATGTTACCAAAAATGCTTAACACCTATTCAAAGATGCAAACATTGAATTATCAGTAGAGGGCAAAAGTAGAAGTTAATAATAATATTAAATGGATTTAAACATTATTAGGAAATGAAGTCTCATACAATATTTTATGTGTGCGTGTGTGTATCTTTCACTAGATTGTCCAGTGAAAAATTTCATTCTACATGTGGCACGGCAGAACTTGTAAGTTCACAGGTGAGTCATAGATGGCCAGATTATCTGACTTCTATTGAAACTTTTCTTTAATGAGACTGTCTCTGGAGTTTAGTGATATTTATTAAACCAGAAAAATCCAAAATACAGTAAAACTGTAAGAGAGGTTTACCTTTTATATAACTTGTCAGCAGAAAAATAGTATAAATCTATTTTTAGGCAGTAGAAAAAATAAAGTAACTCACATGACTATTAGCTTGGGGCTGATTCCTATAACTTTTCATTATTTCCTGAAAAGTTCTTTCTTCTTTTGTTACCTAAGGAAAATAAAAACTATATTTATCAACTGCTTTTGAAAGAAAAATGGCTCCGAACAAAAACTTCAATTATAGGTTGGCACTGAGAGCAGCGTTGCAGAACGCCATTACCCCAGGGCAGTTCATGACTAAAAACCACTAACATTTATGATTTCCCCACCTTTAAAGTTCAGGCCTTGTGTTCTATGGGGACTCAGTTAATAGTTTCATTAATCTAAAAGCACTGAGATTGCTACAGAATAACTCTACTGAAAATGTATTTCCTTATAAAAAGAATGATGTAAGAAAACTCAGACCTGCTCAGTCTCCTACAGCATTCAGTTTTATTACTTTTAAGTACCTATTCAAAAGTAAATTAACCACATAGTAAAGGACAGAAAATGTCTTGTGGTAATTCACAATAAAATGTCAGTTATCATAGGATTAGGTTTTTAATATTTCAGGACAGACCATAGGGTTTCTAATGTTTAAGAAGAAATCACAGTGGTGGCCAAAAAGAAAAATGGATTAGCACTCCAAAGAGGAATCCCTTCTGGTTTATCAGCTATCATAAATTTCACTTAAATCATGCCTTTTCTCGGCTTTATCATCCATGACACCGAATCTGTTCTCTATATAACGATGAACTAGAGATGGCAAGGCCTGGGGCCTGTGTGGTGGTGTACGGGATTAAGCCGCCACCTTTAATGCTGGTTTGAGTCCCAGCTGTTCCATTTCTGATCCAGCTCCCTGTTAATGTGCCTGGGAAAGCAGCAGAAGATGGCCCAAGTGCTTGGGCACCTACCACCCATGTGGGAGACCCAGATGGAATTTAAGACTCCAGGCTTTGGTCTGGTACAGCCCCAATAGTTGTGGCCAACTAGGGAGTGAACCAGTGGATGGAAGTTCTCTCTTACTCTGTAATACTAACTTTCAAAATAAATTAATAAACCTTAAAAAAGAAAAGAAGGGCTGGCGCCGCAGCTCACTAGGCTAATCCTCCACCTTGCGGTGCCGGCACACCGGGTTCTAGTCCTGGTCAGGGCGCCGGATTCTGTCCCGGTTGCCCCTCTTCCAGGCCAGCTCTCTGCTGTGGCCAGGGAGTGTAGTGGAGGATGGCCCAAGTGCTTGGGTCCTGCACCCCATGGGAGACCAGGATAAGTACCTGGCTCCTGCCATCGGATCAGCACGGTGCGCCAGCTGCAGCGTGCCGGCCGCAGCGGCCATTGGAGGGTGAACCAACAGCAAAAGGGAGACCTTTCTCTCTGTCTCTCTCACTGTCGACTCTGCCTGTCAAAAAAAAAAAAAAAAAAAAAAAAAAGAGAGAAAAGAAAAGAAAAGAAAGGCAAGGCCTGAATTCTGACCGTTTTATGGAAAACACAAATGATTAGTTAGTAAAATTTATTTAGATTTAGTTTGAAGGCAGTAGAAGATGGCCCGAGTACTTAGTCCCTTGCAAACCACGGGGGCGACCCAAAGGAAGCTCCTGGCTCCTGGCTTTGGATCAGTCCAGCTCCAGCTGTTGTGGCCATCTGGGGAGTGAACCAGCGGATGGAAGACACCCCTCCCATCACCTCTCTATAACTCTGCCTTCAGAAACCTAAAAAAATATTTAAAAAAAGAAATCCAGTTTGTGATATTAAAAAAATTTAAAAAGACCTATTTTGTATAGAGATTTTAAAGAATCACTGTGGGGACAGGGGGAGAAGGGGCAGGGCAGTCACAAAAGAATCTGAAAACATTCCCTTTGTGTCAAAAAGCCTAAAAGTCAGGTTTTAACTGTATACATCTGCCAGGACTGCCAGTTTGGCTTGTACTGTCAAGACAAAAGTTATAAATAATTGCTTTGGCTATATAAGAGTTGTTAAAATAAGCAAAATACGCTATTTTATAACTTAAAACATGCTGTAGCAACTAGAAAATAAGATGCTCTAGAGAGGCACTGCAAGATGACAGGGTAGAGGAGCTATTTTAAGGCAGTTATGTATATGGGGGTCCTAGGCTGTCTATGGCCAAATTACCATCAGCTTTGGGTCTCAGTCATTGTTAGGATCATGTTTTTTATTAAAAAAAATTAGATATTTATTTGAGAGGCAGAGAGAGAGAGAGGACATGCACTTCCATTTCCCCATTTGCTGTCCACTCCCCAAATACCAACAAAGGCCAGGACTGAGCTGAGCTGAAGCTGGAGGCCAGGAACTCAATCCAGGTCTCCCAAGCGGCAGGAACCAATCACCTGCGCCCTCACCACTGCCTGCCTGGGTCTGCATCAGCAGGAGCTGGAGCCAGACATTGAACCCTGATATTCTGATATGGGACCAGAACATCTTTTTCTTTTTCTTTTTTTTTTTAAAGATTTATTTATTTGAAAGGCAGAGTTACAGAGAGGGAGAGACAGAGAGAGATCTTCTATCCAATGGTTCACTCCCCAAATGGCTGCAAAGGCCACGGCTGAGCCACACCAAAGCCAAGAACTAGGAGCCAGGAACCAGAAGCTTCTTCCAGGTCTACCACATGGTTGCAGGAGGCCCAAGTACTTGGGCCATCTTCTGCTGTTTTCCCAGGTGCATTAGCAGAGAGCTGCATAGGAATCAGAGTAGCTGGAGACTTCAACTAGCACCTATATGGGATGCCAGCACTGCAGACAGTGGCTTAACTGGCTATCTGATAGCGTCAGCCACATGATGAGGACATCTTCACAGGCATTTTAATGCCTAGGCCAAATGCCTATCTGCTATGATCATTTTAAAATTACCAGATCAGAAATGTAACTGTTTGCATTAAATAGTGTGGAAAGACACCTTACTAGAAACAGTCTCTAAGACCTCTTCCAACTCTACAATCAATGTATTCTTGTGAGTGGGAGAGCTGATTATGATGGAATTAACGAGTTGTAAAGAACACACACAATATCTTGCTATTACTACTCAATTAATAGCAGTGGACACTATTTTCTGGAGTCCTTAAGTCTAACTAAGGATCAAGTTCAAAAGTCTTTCTCTCTTGTTACAAATAGGGTAACTAGAGCAAAGACCTCCCTCAATGGATACATTACCTTTGCCATGACGTAAAAGGCACAGAGGAGGAGCTGATCCAAATGCCTGTCTCTCATTAGATCAGGGCAGTGAACTAAAGTGAATTCAAAACATGTCCATATCTTCCTTCGTAATTCATTTGAAACATCCAGCTTCAAACATAAATCACGTAAGCGTACACTTGCCAGATGATAGACCTAAGATGGAAGACACACATTCATGCAAACACTCAAGTAAATCATTTTTCAAATTTTTATGCTTTACTATGAACATGGGATTTTAGGCCAAGATTAAATAATACCCAGGCTGTTGATACATAGAATTTCTCTTCCATAGTACTACTTCATTATTATTGCAGAAGAATACAGATTAAAGCAAAATTCTCTTTGGAAAACCAAAGAATTTTTTAAAAAATATTTATTTATTTGAAAGTCAGAGTTACACAGAGAGAGGAGAGGCGCAGAGAGAGGTCTTTTGTCCAATGGTTCACTCCCCAGATGGCTGCAAAGGCCAGAGCTGCGCCGATCTGAAGCCAGGAGCCAGGAGTGCGGGTCCAGGGGCCCAAAGACTTGGGCCATTTTCCACTGCTTTCCCAGGCCATAGCAGAGAGCTGGATCGGAAGTGGAGCAGCCAGGTCTTGCACTTGCACCAATATGGGATGCCGGCGCTTCAGGCCAGGGCGTTAACCTGCTGCACCACAGTTACAGCCCCCTGTTGTTTTTATAGAACATTTTTGTTTCTCTGGTTTTTTGTTGTTATAAAGTACACATTAGATTAAATTCAGTTCAGTGTCCTGAAACTTTCATATGTATACTCTTTATATTAACTGATATTAATGCAAATGATGACTTTAAGTTCTTATAAGATTCTTGTTATAAAGCCGGCGCCGTGGCTCAATAGGCTAATCCTCCACCTTGCGGCGCCAGCACACCGGGTTCTAGTCCCGGTTGGGGTGCCGGATTCTGTCCCGGTTGCCCCTCTTCCAGGCCAGCTCTCTGCTATGGCCAGGGAGTGCAGTGGAGGATGGCCCAGGTGCTTGGGCCCTGCACCCCATGGGAGACCAGGAAAAGCACCTGGATCCTGGCTCCTGCCATCGGATCAGCGCGGTGCGCCGGCTGCAGCGGCGGCCATTGGAGGGTGAACCAACGGCAAAGGAAGACCTTTCTCTCTCTGTCTCTCTCTCTCACTGTCCACTCTGCCTGTCAAAAAAAAAAAAAAAAAAAAAAAAAAAAAAAAAAAAAAAAAGATTCTTGTTATACTCTTTTAGAAATGGGTAATCCTGATGTGTCATTTTATTTCTAAGCCAGATTATTCTGTTCAAAGTCATTAAATTTCAATGTTGGTGGGATTGTTGTGTAGTAGGTTAAGTTGCTTCCTCCCATGCAATGGCATCATCTCATACTGGTGCCAGTTCAAGTCCCAGCTGCTCCACTTACATTCCAGCTCCCTGCTAATGTGCCTGAGAAAGAGGAAGATGGCCCAAACACTTGGGCTCTTGTACCCACAGTGGAGACCTAGAAGAAATTCTTGGCTCATGGCTTTGGCCTGGACCAGCCCTGGCCATTGTTGTCATTTGGAGAGTGAACCAGTGAACTCTAACAAAAACATAAATAAATCTAAAAATTTTAAATGTTCAGGGAAAAAGAAAAAATAAAAAGAAGGAAAGGCATCCCTTACACAAAATTATCTTTAGCAGACAATAAAAATTCACACACTGAGCTGAAAAACTAATTTAAACTATTCAATAGACTAATCTGATATAAAGACAAATGACTGACTCATGGTATTAATGATTCATTTCATAGAAAATTAATTTCTGCATTCTATCCCATTGTTTCTGGTCCACCTGGACACAAAAGAAATGATAACCAGTGGGATCAGAGTAGAAAGAAAGATGCTAGAACTTTATATTGATGACAGGAGAAGGTAACATATATGGTCCCAGCTAGAATTAAAAATAACACAGAACTGAGTAATACCTGATTAAGTATTTTTGACAGAGCTGATTTAATGCCTTATGGCATACACATTGGAAGGCTTTTGATTTCTGTCTCCCCCACCCCCACCCCCCACCCACCTTTCAGGATTCACTTTTTGTAAAGCAGAGCGACACAGAGAATGGGAGAGATCTGCCATCCAGTAGGTTCATTTCCCAAATGGCCACAACAGCCAGGACTGGAACATGCCACAGCCAGGTGCTAAGAATCCCATCCAGATCTCTCACATAGGTGGCAGAGGCCCAAGGATCTAGGCCATCATCTGCTGCTTTCCCAGTTGCATTAGCAGGACGCTGAGTTTAAAATGGAACAGCTGGCACTTGAACGCCTGTATGGGATGCCAGTAACACAAAGAGCAGCCCCTGGAAGGCTTTTTGATTTCAACAAAAAAGTCACAGTAAATTCTGTTCAGGCATAGAATACCAGTATCACACTGAGTTCAGCTGGATAATAGATGCAATTTACTTAAGCAACGGGTATTTAAAATTTACTATGGAGTCAAACATTTCCATTTTCTTTTAGCATATAGTATTTTCTAGCTCATAATATGTCCAGAGCAGGATATAATTAAATCAAAGAAAAAGCCCAAGTTATATTCTGGGTGGGAATTTGCAACAGTGGTTAGGATGCCTCTTGGAATGCTTACATCCCTTATCAGAATGCCTGGGTTCAAGTCTCAGCTCTGCTTTCAATTCCAGCTTCCTGCTATAATATACACTTCGGGAGGCAACAGTTGATGGTTTAAGTGATTGGTTCCCTGATACCCACAAAGAAGACCTAGATTGAGTTCCAGAGTCCTGTCTTCAGCCCAGCAGTTACAGGCATTTGGGGAGTGAATCAACATATGGAACATTTTTCTGTCTCTGTCTGCCTTTCAAATAACAAAAATAAATATTTTTTTATAAACTCAAAATTAGGAATTCACAAAGTCTTATTTTTGTCAATCTTAGATTCATGATTAGAGGCAGTAATTTGTCATTGTGAAAATTAAAACTTGGAAATGAATAGGGAAAATGCTCCCTTTTGGAGCTTTGTCTTATTTTAGTTATAGGTAGCTCCTTTAAGTAAATTAATTAAAAGATAGGACTTCTATCTGTTGGTTTACTTCCTAAATCCTGCCACAGCTGGGGCAGGGCTGGGTTGAAGCCAGGAGTGTGGAACTCAATCTGGGTCTCCCACACAGTGGCTTGAACCCAGGTACCTGGGCTACCATCTGGTTTCTTAGGGTGTGCATTATTGGGAAGCTGGGTTTTAAAGCAACATGGCAGGGCAAGTTTGGTTTTTTTTTGTTTGTTTGTTTGTTTTTGTTTTGTTTTTTTTTAAGATTTATTTATTTATTCAACACGCAGAGTTAGAAATGGAAAGGAAGAGACAGAGATCTTTCCTCCACTGCTTCACTCCCAAAATGGCCACAATGACTGTAGCTGGGCCAGGCGGAGGAGGCCAGGGGCCTGGGACTTCACCCAGGTCTCCTATGTGGATACAGAGACCCAACTACTTGGGCCATCTCCACTGCTTTCCCAGGCACATCAGTAGGGAGCCAAACAGGAAGTGCAGCAGCCAGGACTCAAAATGGCACCCATATGGGGTGCAGCCACCACTGCTGTGCCGTAACATGGGCTCCAGCAGCACAAACTTTAATCCAGGCCCACCAGTAGGGGATTTAGTCATCCAAAGGGTGTCTTAACTGTTCCATGCAACGCTCACTCTTAGCGTCCTGCATTTTAAACAGACCTTAAGTAGTCACAAGTGGTGGCTGGGGATTGAGATAAGGAGAGAAGGCAATGAAAGGTGGGGAAAGCACAGACTTGTTCCCCGATCAAAGCAGCCCTGCTTTTATACGTTTTGTTTATACTTCCAGGGACTATTTCCAAGAAGAGCTTTCTTACAAACTAAAATTCCTTGGAAAATTACTATCTCCAGCTCATAAATGTGAGGAAAAGAAATGTTATAGTTAAAAGCAATGGAAGAAAAAGAATAGCTGTAGAAAGTAGGCTGTCTTCCAATATCTGGTCTCTTTTGCAATAATGAAACTCTAGATATTTAGTACTGACTTCCTGTAAAAAAACACACTTGTTTCTTGAAAAATTCTAGAGTGGCTCTACAACTAAGTGAAACAAGCTGCCTGGTGTATACAACTTGTGGAGCGGATTCTAAGAGTGAGGGGTGCTCTTCTTTCTGCTGGCTAGAATACAGATGTATCCAGAGTAGAGCAGTTATCTTGGTCAGTTAGAAACCTACTGAGGATAACCAAACATCTATAGTAGCAATCTGGGTTTGTAGTGACAGTGGTAACCATAGAAGTCCCAGACTAACAACACATACTTTACATGAGAAAAATATATTTCTATCTTGTTTAAGTAAGTGATACTGTTTTCACAGTTAAACTTAAACCTCATAAATAAACAAATGACCATTGTGCCCAAGATCACATTTTAGAGGTAATCTCAAAGAGGTAGGGTTGAACAGAAAATAATCTTCACATTTTATCTTAACAAACAACTGCCAAATTTAGACTCTGGGTAAGATGTTCTATGACAGCAAGTCACAAAAGAAAAGAGAAAAACATGACTGAGTATAAATTTAGAGTTATTTAGCACGGAGGAAAAAAATAGAACTTAAAACATTATGGGAGGGGCTGGCGCTGTGGTGTAGTAGACTAAAGCCACTGCCTGCAGTGTCAGCATCCCATATGGGTGCCAGTTCAAGACCCAGTGGCTCCACTTCCAGTTCAGCTCCTTGCTAACGCACCTGGGAAAGCAGCAGAAGATAGCCCAAGTGCTTGGGCCCCTGCATCCACTTGGGAGACCTGGGTGAAGCTCCTGACTCCTGACTTTGGCCTGGCCCAGCCCAGGCCTTTGCGGCCATCTAAGTAATCGATCAGTGGATAGGAGATCTCTCTCTCCCTCTCTCTATAACTCTTTCAAATAAATAAATAAATCTTAAAAAAAAAAACAGCACTAGCACCACTATATTCCTAAAGCTGTACCTGTGAAATCTGTATTTATTAAATAAAAGCTTTCTTTTGTGAAGATTATTTATTTATTTGACAGGTAGAGTTACAGACAGTGAGAGAGAGAGAGACAGAGAGAAAGGTCTTCCTTCCATTGGTTCACTCTCCAAATGGCCGCAACAGCCGGAGCTGTGCCAATATGAAGGCAGGAGCCAGGAGTTTCCTCCTGGTCTCCCATGAGGTGCAGGGACCCAAGCACTTTGGGCCACCCCCCACTGCTATCTCAGGCTACAGCAGAGCTGGATTGGAAGAGGAGCAACTGGGACTAGAACTGGCGCCTATATGGGATGCCAGTGCCGCAGGCGGAGGATTAACCTAGTGCGCTTCGGCACCGGCCCCAAAAGCTTTCTAAAAAATAATACTAGCACACCAAATTCAAGAGCATATTAAGATTATTATACTCCCTGACCAAGCAGAATTTATTGCTAGAGGGTAAAGATAATTTAGGAAAGGAACAATTAATCTCTTTAATACACTGTAATAACAGAAGAAGGAAAGAAAACCTACATAATCATTTCAAGTGATAGAGAAAAAGCATTTCACAAGTCAACACTCTTTCACGATAAAAACATTCATCAAGCTAGGAACAGAAGGAAACTGCCTCGTGATAATAAAGGATATATATGAAGACATAGCTAATATTTTAAAAATGAAAGACTGAAATCTTTTCTTCTAAGATCAGGAACAAGAAAAGGGTGCTTGCTTTCTCATCTGTTTTTTGTTTGTTTGTTTGTTTTTTGGTAAGATGTATTTATTTATTTCAAAGTCACAGGCCCGGTGCTGTGGCATAGCAGATAAAGCTGCCACCTGCAGTGCGGGCATTCCGTATGGGCGCCAGTTTGAGTCCCGGCTGCTCCAATTCTGATCCAGTTCTCTGCTATGGCCTCGGAAAGCAGTAGAAGATGGCTCAAGTCCTTGGGCCCCTGCACCCAAGTGGGAGACTTGGAAGAAGCTCCTGGCTCCTGACTTCGGAGAGTGAACCAGTGGATGGAAGACCTCTCTGCCTCTCTGTTAACTCTGCCTTCAAATAAATAAATACATCTTTAAAAAAAAAAAAAAAAAAGGAAGTCACAGTTAAAGAGGAAGAGAGATAGAGAGAGTTTTTCCATTCACTGGTTCACTCCCCAAATGGCTGCAATAGCTAGGGTTGGGTCATGTTGAAGCCAGGAGCCAAGAGCTTCTTGTGGGTCTCCCATGTGGATGCAGGGGCCCAAGTACTTGGGCCATCCTCCGCTGCTTTCTCATGCATATTAGCAGAGCTAGATCAGAAATGGAGCAGCCAGGAGTTGAACTGGGCACCACATGGGATGCCATCACTGCAGGCAGCAGCTTTACCCACTACTCCACAGCATCGACCCCTCTCATCACTTCTATTCAACATAGTAAAGTCCTAATAAGAGCAATTAAGGCAGGAAAAAGAAACAAACCCGAAATCTCTCAAGAGCTCATAAAACATGGTAAAATAAATATATGAATTCAACAGAGTTGCAGGAATCAAAATCAGTACACAAACAACATCTGTGTTCCTATACAGTAACAATGAACAGCTTAAGAATGAAATTAAGAAAACAATTCCATTTATGATAGCATCTAAGAGAATATTTATGAATAAACTAGGGACGTTTCTTGCAAACGTCCTTCTTATAAACTGAAAATTACAAAATGTTGGTAAAAGAAATTAAAGGAAACACAAGTAAATGGAAAGACACTGCATACTCACAGACTAGATTTTAAGATGCCAATGTTACCAAAACCAATCTACACATTCAATGCAATCTCTATCAAAATCCCAGCAATGATTTTGCAGAAAAATATCCTAACACTCACGTGGAATCCCAAGAAACCCTGAATAGCCAAAACAATCTTGAAAAAAAAATTGGAGGTATCACACTTCCTGATTTAAAAATTTTTTATAAAGCTTTGGTGATCAAAACAGGGTGGTACTGGCATAAGACAGATGTATGTATAGAACGAATAGAATAAAAAGGCCCAGAAATGAAACCTCATATGTATGATGAAAAGATTTTCAACAAGAATTCTAGGATCATTCATTCAATAGGAAAAGGACAGTCTTTTCAACAAATGGTGCTGAGAAAACTGGCTATCCATTTGCAAAGTTAGGGAAAGAGACCCATATGGAATACAACATAAAAATTAACTCAAGGGGCCGATGCTTAGGCATGGCAGGTTGCTGCAGTACCAGCATCCCATATAGTTACCAGTTCAAGTCCTGGCTACTCTGCTTCTGATCCAGCTCCCTACTAGTGTGCCTGAGAAAGCAGTGGTGATGGCCCAAGTCCTGTGGCCCCTTCGCCCATGTGGGAGATCAGAAAGAAGCTCCCAGCCCCTGTCTTCAGAACAGCCCAGCTCCGGAAGTTGTGTCCTTTTGGGGAGTAAACCAGCACATGGAGATCGATTTCTCTCCCTCAAATAAATAAGTCTTAAAAAAATTAACTCAAAATGGACCTACCTGTAAGAACTAAAATTTTAACACTTTTAAATTTAGCCTGGCTCAGCCCCAGGGGCCGGCACTGTGGTATAGCGGGTAAAGCCATTGCCTAGGGTGCTGGCATCTCATATGGGCACCAGTTCGAGTCTCAGCTGCTCCACTTCTGATCTGGCTCTCTGCTATGGCCTGGAAAAGCAGAAGATGGCCCAAGTTCTTGGGCCCCTGCACCCACGTGGGAGACCTGGAGGAAGCTCCTGGCTCCTGGCTTTGGGTTAGCGCAGCTCTGCTGGCTGTTGCAGCCAACTGGGGAGTGAACCAGTGGATAGAAGACCTCTCTCTGTCTCTACCTCTCTCTGTAACTCTTTCAAATAAATAAAAATAAATCTTTAAAAGGGGGGGAGAATCCTGACACATGTCATGACATAGATGAACCTAGAAGACATGGTAAGTGAAGTAAGCAAGACACAAAAAAACGAACAAATATTGTGATTTCACTCCTATGAGGTAACTCAAGTAGTCAAACTCATACAAACAGGAGTAGAACAGTGTTTGCCTGGAGCTGGTAGAAGGAAGAATGGGGGATTACTATTTAATGGGTGCGGAATTTCAAAATGGGAAGATGAAAGGTTCTGAAGATCGATAGTGTTGATGGCTACATAACAATGAGGAATCTATTTAATGCCATTGGACACTTAATAAGAGGTTAAAATAGTAAATTTTATGCTATGTATTATCTTACAAAAGAGAAAAAAAGGACCAAACCTGTTCTATGTTACTCAATCTCTCTGGCAGTGATTGAGCTGTTTAAAGACAGTATAAAAACACATACCTTTCTGTAAAACAGTGCTAAGGACCCAGTTCTCTTTGGCTTGCTCATTCCAGCCAGAGGCACTTCTTGGGCTTTAGTTAGATGGCTCTGTTTTGGAGAAGCACCAATTAACGACTGAGCAGTAAGCGACACAGGACTCTCAACTGTGGACTCCTGAGTTGTGTTCATGGAAATAGGTATCAGTGTGATCTCACCAGCATCATTTGCAATACCTGAATGTACAAGCAAGAGTTCTGTTTTAGAAATAAGCTGCATGTGTCCTGGTTATCAATATACACACACACACACACACACACACATCTCTGTATGTAAGTAAAGAGGAAGGCTACAAAATAGTAACTGAATGACTGAATTCTTGTTTTCTGTTTCTTCCATGAAATAGGAATACTTTTTTGATATTTTTATAGTTAGACCTTGTATGCACTGGTTCTCTCCCTAAATGGCGGGCAATAGGCAGGCAGAAATCAGGAGTTTAGAACTTGATCTGGGTCCCTCATGGGGATGACAGGGGTTCAAGCATTTGGACTGTCTTCTGCTGTTTTCTCAGTTGAATTAGCAGAAAGCTGGACTGGAAGTGGAGCAGCCAGGACTCTATTTGCTGCTCATATGGGATGCCAGTATTGTAGGTGGCAGCTTAACCCACTGTGCCACAAAGCCCAGCCCTGTAATTTAATTTATCTTTCAAAAAGCAAATTGTTTTGTTATGAGCAATAAAAATATTTTTAATCAAAACACAAAATTTTTGGGGTAGGCATTAGTTTCTGGTGGGTTAAGCTGCTTGTGATCCCATACTGGAAGGCTGATTGGAGTGATGGCTACTCTGCTTGTGATCCAGCTTCCTGTTAATGTGCCTGGGAAGACAGCAGATCACGGCCAAAGTGCTTGGGTCCCTGCTACTCATGTGGGAGACCAGAATGCTGTTATACGTTTCTGCATTCAGGATGCTCCAGCCTTGCCTGTGAAGGGCCCCTGGGAAACAAACCAGCAGATGGAAAATCTGCCACTCTGCTTTTCAAATAAATAAATGTCATTTGTTGGATTTTTTTTTTTTTTTTTTGACAGGCAGAGTTAGACAGTGAGAAAGAGAAACAGAGAGAAACGTCTTCCTTTTTCCGTTGGTTCACCCCCCAAATGGCCACTACAGCCAGCGCGCTGCGCCGATCCGAAGCCAGGAGCCAGGTGGTTCTCCTGGTCTCCCATGCGGGTGCAGGGCCCAAGCACTTGGGCCATCCTCCACTGCATTCCCAGGCTACAGCAGAGAGTTGGACTGGAAAAGGAGCAACCAGGACAGAACCAGCACCCCAACTGGGACTAGAACCCGGGGAGCTGGCGCTGCAGGCGGGGGATTAGCCAAGTGAGCTGTCGCGCCAGCCAATGTCGTTTTAAAACTAGAAAATTCTTGCTCAACACTCTCATTTGGAAAGCGCAAATGAGAAAATAAATCCTACCAAAGAAGGTTATACATTTACAAAATGAAAAACTCTCAAAACAGTATAGGCTCAAAACAAAATGCAGAGTAAGAAGGATTTTGGGGGCAGTGAACTCTGTATGATACTATAATCGTAGAAATACATAATTACACATTCATAAAATGTGCAATTTATAAAAGAATAACAGAAAAAATGATCCTTGGTGATGCTGCTATGGTATAGGAGGTTAAGCCTCCATCTGTGCTGCTGGTTTGTGTCCCAGGTGCTCCTCTTCCGATCCAGCTCTCTGCTATAGCCTGGGAAAGCAGCAGAAGATGGTCCAAGTGCTTGGGCCCCTGCACCCACATGGGAGACCCGAAAGAAGCTCTTGGCTTCAGATCGGTCCAGCTCCAACAGCTGCGGACATTTAGGGAGTGAAACAGTGGACGGAAGACCTTTTTCTCTGTCTCTGTAACTCTACCTCTAAAATAAATAAATAAACAGATAAAGAAATAATCTAAAAAAAAAGTGATCCCTAATATAAACCATGGGTATTGGGCTCTGAGGTATCATTATAGGTTAATCAATTACAATAAATGTACAACTCTGATATGGGATATTGATGATGCAGTGGGCTGTGTGTATGTCTGGGGGAGAGGTGACAGGAGTATATAAGAAATCTCTGTATCCTCTTCTCAACTTTTGCTGTGAATCTAAAACTGCTCTAATTTTAAAAAATAAAACAAGAAAAAGTATAGGTTCAAGAAAAAATAACACCACATGATCCAATCCAATAAGACATCTGGGAAATTTTTATCCAAATTCAAAAATATGTGAAATAAATGCATTAAAATGTTACCATGCATTGGAATTGTAACTTTATGTGCTATTGTGCCTGTTCCTGTGGCTGTGGCCATTGTCAGAAGAGTCTGTCCCGGGGAAATAGATATGTTTTCAGCTGTAATGCTTGAAGAAGGAGCAATTTTCAGTTTGGTTCCTTCTGTTAGGATCTTATCCATAAGGATTTCCTTTGGGGAGTCATCTCCAAAAAGTCGTCTCTTAGCACTCCCTGCAGCAGGAGAACTGTAGCGTTCGTGGACAGAAATCGGAGACAATGGTTGCATATCTAATAAAGAGAAAAATAAATTTAAAACAGAATGCATTCTAAAATACATGTACATACTCATTCATATGCTACATGCTAGGGACCTAGCATTGAATAATATGGCCTGTGTCCTCATGGAATATCAAATAGAGGCATGAAATAAGTCATGACAATAAAATATGAAAATTATGATGTCTAATATTCCTTGGTTCTGGAACCTCTGCCTATACTGAAAGAACAAAGCATGAAAAATAAAAAAGATGGGAAGTAGAATAATATGAAAACTAAATTGATGTCTAATTAGCTTCTATCTCTCAATTACATGTTAAATAGCACCTGAGGAAGGAAGTAAGCTCAAAATTCAGTGATTTGGGCCACAATTTTGCCTCCTTCAGAAAATCTGCACTCTGGGCCTGGCGCTGTGGTGTAACGGGTAAAGCCACCACCTGCAGTGCCGGCATTCTATATGGGCATGAGTTTGAGTCCCGGCTGCTCCACTTCCCATCCAGCTTTCTGCTATGGCCTGGGAAAGCAGTACAAGATGGCCCAAGTGCTTGGGAACCTGAACCTGCGTGGCAGACCTGGCAGAAGCTCCTGGCTCCTGGTTTTGGATCGGCCCAGCTCCAGCCACTGCGGCCATTTGAGGAGTGAACCAGTAGATGGAAGACTTCTCTCTCTCTCTCTCTCTCTCTGCCTCTGCCTCTCTGTGAAACTTTGCTTTTCAAATAATAAATAAATAAACCTTTAAAAAAAAAAGAAAAAGAAAAAAGAAGCTCTGCACTCTAACCACTTTTAGGCAATGGCTGTGGCTTTCTGATTTAGTGGACACAGAACCATCTTTGCTAAGTCTATCAGAAGGAACAAGCGTGAATAAAGTGACACTCTGCTTAACTTGCCTTAATCTAAGGGGTGGCAACCATGTGTTGATCAAAACAAAAATAAAGGTTATGGATGACACCTCTCCTCCCTCTGTCTGAGGACCTGCTGCTTTCCACTCCTTTCCCACTAGGTTCACACGTTCTCTAGCCCCTTACAACCCTGTATCTTTTCCCACAATTCTTCCCACTTCCCTTAACTGTTTCTTTCAGGTACATAAATAATGTTTCTAAAGTGAAAGCATTTCACTACTGATTTTATATTCACTAGATAATTTGTTATTAACCTATTTTCAAAACATACTTAAATGGTATAAAAATTACCTCTGGCAGGAATGGGGACTGAGTCTAGCTGTTAGAATACTCACATTCCATATCAGAATACCTGGGTTCGATCTCAGGCTCTGGCCCGACTCCAGCTTCCTGACAACCAAGGCCTTTAAAGGCAGCAATTATAGCTCAAGTAACTGATTTCTGCCACCCACGTGGGTGAACTGGATGTGTTCCTGGCTCTTGACTCTGGCCTGGCTCAACCTCAGTAGTTATGGGCATTTGGGGAGGCAACCAGTGGAAAGGAGCTTTCTGTCTCCCTGCCTTTCAAATACATCAATAAATACATTTTAAAAAATTAATCCTGTTGGGGCCAGCGCTTTGGCATAGGGTGTAGGACTGCCACCTGAAGTGCCGGCATCCCATATGGGCACCGGTTTGAGATCTGGCTGCTCCACTTTCGATCCAGCTCTCAAAATATTTACCTCTCTATAGAGACATATGTAAATAAAAGAAGAACATAACTTTGTCAATCAGGAAAAGTATTAACTTAGTTAAAATAATTTTCCATTAACATTGAGGAAAGGTTGTTGAGTTCATTAAGTCCAGCCTTGTGGTATAGCAGCTTAAGCCAATGCCTACAAAACTGGCATCTGATATGGGCACCAGTTCAAGTCCCAGCTGTTCCACTTCTGACCCAACTCCTTGCTCATGTGCCTAGGAAAGCAGAGGAAGATGTACTTGAGACCCTGTCACTGACTTGGGAGACCTAGGTGGAGTTCTAGGCTTCTGGCCTTGGCTCAGCTCTGGTCAATATGGCCATTTTGGGACTAAACCAGCAAATGGAAGCTCTCTTCTGTCTCTTCCTTTCACTCTGCCTTTCACATAAATAAATGAATCTTAAAAAAAAAAGAGGCCAAAATACCATTTCCACAATAACTGAATTTAAAATTGATTACACTAGGACTAGCACTGTGGCACAGTGGGTTAAGACACTGCTTCTGATTGAGTCCCAGGTACTCTGCTTCTGATCCAGTTTTTTTTTTAAGACTTATTTATTTATTATTTGAAAGGCAGAGTTACAGAAGGCAGAGGCAGCTTTCTAATGTGTACCCAGAGAGGCAGTAGGTGATGGCTCAAGGAGTTGATTCTTTGCCACCCACATGACAGAAGTAGACTGAGTTCTTGGCTCCCAGATTTGGACTGGCCTAGCTAGGCCTGTTGCAGGCATATGGGGAGTGAACCAGCAGACGGGAGATCTATCTGTCTCTCTGCTTTTCAAATACAAATAAATAAAAATGAAAAAAATATGTTACTAAGACATGAAATTTTCTCTGAAAATTAGTTTTTCATCTTACCAATTTTGAACATACCTCTTCGAAGATTCCCACTATCAGTCCGAACCTCCTTGACTCTTGGATGCATTATAGGAGACATTGGTATCATGGGAAGATGTCCCTGAACATTGCCACAATTTCCTGTTTCAAAGTTATTTGGGAATATAACCTGCAGAAAACAAAAGCCTATTTTTAAAAATTCCGATAAAAAACCAATTAAAACTTAGAAAACAATTTCTTAACGTTTTCTACTTTATTGCCCTTTTCTTCTTCTTCTTAACAAAACATGAATGTAACTGATTGCATAAAATGTTTAATTGTGGCTCTTTTTGTATCTTTTTCAAAGATTTACTTATTTTATTTGAAGGGCAGAGTTAGAGAGAGGCAGAGGCAGATAGAGGGAAGGAGGTCTTCCATCCGTTGGTTCACTCCCCAAATGGCTGCAATGGTTGGAACTGTGTCAATCTGAAGCCAGGAGCCAGGAGCTTCTTCTGGGTCTCCCCTGCAGGTATAGGGGCCCAAGGACTTGGCCCATCTTGTACTGCTTTCCCAGGCCATAGCAGAGAGATGGATTGGAAATGGAGCAGCTGGGACTTGAACTGGCGTCTGTATGATATGCTGGTACTGCAGGTGGCAGCTTTATCCACTACATCACAGCGCAAGCCCAAAACTTGATATTTTTTTTTTTTTTAATTTTTTTTTTTTTTTTTTTTTTTTTTTTTTTTTTGGCAGGCAGAGTGGACAGTGAGAGAGAGAGACAGAGAGAGAAAGGTCTTCCTTTGCCGTTGGTTCACCCTCCAATGGCCGCCGCTGCAGCCGGCGCACCGCGCTGATCCGATGGCAGGAGCCAGGATCCAGGTGCTTTTTCCTGGTCTCCCATGGGGTGCAGGGCCCAAGCACCTGGGCCATCCTCCACTGCACTCCCTGGCCATAGCAGAGAGCTGGCCTGGAAGAGGGGCAACCGGGACAGAATCCGGCGCCCCGACCGGGACTAGAACCCGGTGTGCCGGCACCGCAAGGTGGAGGATTAGCCTATTGAGCCACGGCGCCGGCAAACTTGATATTTTTTAAAGACTGATTTATTTATTTTGAAGGCAGAGTGACAGAGATGGAAAGAGAGAGAAAGAGAGAGAGAGAGAGAGAGAGAGAGAGAGAGAGTTGGTTTACTCCCAAAGTGGCCCCAACAACCAGGGCTAGGCCAGTCTGAAGCCAGAAGCCAAGAACTCCCTCTGGGTTTCCCACATGTGTGGCAGGGCCTCAAGTACTTGGGCCATCATTCTCTACTTCCCAGGTGCATCAGTAGGGAGGAGGACTGGAAGCAAAGCCCCGGGACTTGAATCAGCACTTTGATAGGGAATGTGGGCATTTCAAGTGGTGGCATTACTCACTGCACCACAGCATCTGTACCAAAAACTTCATTTTTAAATTCTAAATACCACTAATGAAAACTGTTGATTAGAATATTTATAATAATACGATTAATGGTTTGATAAGATAGGATAAAGCACAAGCAGTATAAAGCAGATAAATTAGGTATCATCAAAAAAAAATTTTTTTAAGGTTATTTATTTGAAAGGCAGAGCTAGAGAGAGAGAGGAAGAGACACAGAGAGAATCTTCCACCTGCTGGTTCACTCTCCAAATGGTCACAAATTGTGGAGCTGGACTGATCCAAAGCTAGGATCCAGGAGCTATTTCTGGGTCTCCCACATGAGTGCAGGGTCCGAAGAATTTGGGCCATCCTCTGCTACTTTCCCAGGTGCAGTAGCAGGGAGCTCAATCAGAAGTGGAGCAACCAGGACTCAAACCAGCACCCATTTGGGATGCCAGCACCACAGGCAGTAGCTGAATCTGCTACACCACAGCGCTGGCCCCATTAGAAAAAATCCAAAAAATTATTTATTTTTAATTTAATTATTTTAACGGCAGACAGACACAGAGAGACAAAAGGTGAGAGAGATACACAGAGATCTTTTATTCACTACTTCACCCTGATTTTAAATGTCCACAGCAGTTGTGGTGTGTTTATTTATTTATTTTTTTGACAGGCAGAGTAGACAGTGACAGAGAGAGAGATCTTCCTTTTTCCATTGGTTTATCCCCCAACGGCCGCTGCAGCTGCTGAGTTGAGGCTGGTGCACCGCGCTGATCCGTAGCCAGGAGCCAGGTGTTTCTCCTGGTCTCCCTTGTGGGTGCAGGGCCAAAGGACTTGGGCCATCCTCCACTGCCCTCCCTGGCCATAGCAGAGAGCTGGACTGGAAGAGGAGCAACTGGGACAGAATCCGGCACCCCAACCGGGACTAGAACCCGGGGTGCTGGTGCCGCAGGCGGAGGATTAGCCTATTGAGCTGTGGCGCCAACCAACAGCAGTTGTTTTAAATGCCCACAACAGGGGCTAGCGCTGTGGTGCAGCAGGTTAAAAGCCCCAGCCTGAAGCACTGGCATCCCATGTGGGAGCTATTTCAAGTCCCAGCTACTCCACTTCCAAATCAGCTCCCTGCTAATGAGCCTAGGAAAGCAGTGGAGGACGGCCCAAGTTCCTGGGCCTCTGCACCCAAGTGGGAGACCCGGTAAAAGCTCCAGGCTCTGGCTTTAGATCGGCTCAGCTCTAGCCACTGTGGCCATTTGGTAAGTGAACCAGATGGAAGACCTCTCTCTCTGTCTGTAGCTCTCTCTGTAATTCTGCCTTTCAAATAAATATTAAATAAATAAATCTTTAAAAAAAATGCCCACAACAGCCGCGGCTGGGCCAAGTGAAAGCCAGGAGCCCAGAACTCAGCCTGGGTTTTCCACATTGGTGGCAGGAACCCAAGTACTGGAGCCGTCATCTGCTGCCTCCAAAGATGCTTATTTGCAGTAAGCTAAAATGGGAAGTTGAGCTGGGACTCAAACCCAGGCACTCTTACCATGAGATGCAGGAGCCCCAATCAGCAGCCTAGCCACTGTGCCAAATGCCTGCACCAGAAGTACAAATTTTATGTGATAAAACACATCATTAAGAAAGTGAAATTCTGCGGCCAGCGCTATGGCATAGTAGGCTAAGCTTCTGCCTGGGGCACTGGCATCCCATATGGATGCTAGTTTGTGTCCCAGCTGCTCCTCCCCTGATCCAGCTCTTTGCTTATGGCCTGGGAAAGCAGAAGAAGATGGCCTAAGACCTTGGTCGCCTGCACCAGCATGGGAGACCAGGCTCCTGGATTAGGACTGGTTCAGCTCCGCCCATTGCAACCATTTGGAGAGTAAACCAGTGGATGGAAGACGTTTCTCTCCTCTCCCTCTCTCTGTAACTCTACCTCTCAAATAAAAAAGAAAGTGAAATTCAACCTAGAGAATCAGAGAAAAGTTTTCCAAGTATCTGATATGGAAACTGTATCTAGAATATATAAATTACTTCTATAACTCAATATTTAAATAAATTAAAAATAGGCAAAGGATCTGAATAAAGCATTTCTCCAAAAACACAGGCAAATGGTTAATAACATGAAAAGATGTTCAACAATATTAGTTATTAGGAAAATGCAATCCAAAGCCAAAGTGACTTAGCACTTCATACCTACAAAGATGGCTACAATCAGAAAGACAGACAGTAACAATACGGGCAAGGATGTAGACATGCTGGAATCTTTAAACACTAATGAGGGGAATAAATGATAGTCACTTTAGAAAACAATTTGACAGCTCTTCAAAAGGTTAAAGATATACCATATAACTCAGCAACTATATATACTCTGATACATACCCAAGAAAAATGAAAACATACTTACTTGTTTTAAATGCCCTGTTTTAAACTTGTGCCTGAATGTTCATTACAGCATCATTCGTAATAGCCAGAGGCTAAACTAACTCGATTGTTATCTGCTGATGAAGGGATGAATGAAGTATGGCATCGCCGTGCACTACGCTGCAGTGGACATTTGGCCTAGTGATTCAGATGCTGGTTAAGCTCTCTGCTGTGGCCTGGGAAAGCAGTGGAAGATGGCCCAGGTCCTTGGGCCCCTGCACCCATGTGGGAGACCCAGAAGAAACTCCAGTCTCCTGGCTTCGGATTGGCCCAGCTCCGGCCCATGTGGCCATCTGGGGAGTGAACCAGCGGATGAAGACCTCTCTCTCTGTCTGTCTGTCTCTCTATCTAACTCTGACTAGCAAATAAATAAATAAATCTTTAAAAAAAAAGATGCTGGTTAATTTTCACTTTTAAGCTTTTATTATTCTTACATCCACATTTTGTGCTGAAGCACAAATCTTGTTTAGAAGATCACTCTCAAAACTACCTCAATGAAAGTATTAGACATAATGCAAGTTATGTTAAGTCCTAGAAACTCATGCTAACAAGTCGTTATAACTCATGCAAATGAATTAATTTGCACTGAAGTGCCTTAGATTTGGATGAGTAATTTCATAAAAATTTATTATTGTAGACACAAATTCTGAAGCCCCAATGATGTAAAGGGGAATCAAAAATAGTAGCATTAGATAGCATTTCTGTATTGTGAATTCAAAGAATTCCATTTTTTTTCTTTCTTTAGTTTTATTTGAGAGGAAGGGAAGGAGAGGAAGAGAGCAAGAGAGATACACACATACACAGGGAGAGGAATCTCCCATCCACTGTTTATTCCCTAAATGCCCACAACAGTCAAGGCTAGGTTGGGCCAAACCACATGGGTGGATACTGGTTAATTTGTTAGCAACCCATATTAGAGCACCTGAGTTCAAGCCCTGGCTCCCCAACTCTGGCTTTTGCTAATGTGTACCCAGTGTGATGGCTCAAGGACCTAGGTCCCTGCCATTCATGTAGGAATCTGGATTGAATTCCCAGTTCCCAACTTTGGCCTGGTCTAGTCCTGGCCATTGTAGGCGTTTAAGGAATGAACCAGCAGTTGGGAGCACTATCACTCTCTTAAATAAAATAAATATTTAAAAACAAAACATTATGCTAAGTGAAAGAAGCCAGTCACGAAGGACCATATACACAGTTCCATTTACATGAACTGTCCAGTACAGGCAAATCTATAGAGACAGAAAGTAGATCAGTAGTTGTTTAGGACTAAGGAGAAATAAGAGGTTAGCGAAGTGAGAGGGTGAGTTTCTTACTTAAGTGATGGTTATGGCCTAAAACTGTGATGGCTGCATGTATCTAAGAATATACCTAAAACTACTGAGTATTTACTTTACATGGGTGAATTGTACAGTAAGCAGGTTACATGCTGATAGAGCCATTATGTGAATAAATGGTGGGATTAACAGCCTTGTCCTGACTCACTTCTTCACAGGTAGGAACTTTGTTTGCAGAAGCCTGGAGAGCTTCCCACAGCACAGAACTGTGACTCCATGCCAAACTCTCCAAAATCTGTTCTTCAATGCTGTTCAGGTGTTTTACCATGTCCCTCGAGAGCCCTTCCTCTGAGCGTATCACCACTTCAATAACCTGGATAGGAGAAAGGGGAGAAGACACTTTGGTATCAAGCAACGGTTTCAAGTCTGGGCTTTCATGTATAACTGGCTTTGGCCTTACTCTGCAATATGCAGCCAACATATGACATGTTTAAACCATAATTCAATGGCCTACTAAATCTTTTAATAGATAAAGGAGCTTGGAAAGTCTTTAATTACTTTCACCGGGGCAGGCATTGTGGCACAGCGTGTTAAGCTGCTGCATTCCATATGGGAGTGCCTGGTTCAAGTCTTGGTTCCTCTACTTCCAATCCAGCTTCTACTAACGCAGCCTGAGAGGCAGCAGATGTTGGCTCAAGTGCTTGGGGCACTACCACTCAAATGGGAAACAAGGGTGGAATTCCAGGCTCCTGGCTTCAGCACGGCCTAGCCTGGTTATTGTGGCCATTTAGAGAATGACAGAGATTTTTCACATATATGTGTGCTTTTCACATATTTTAATGCTTATTTATTTACATCTATTAGAAAGGCGGCATGACAGAGGCGCAGGTTGGGAGTTATGTTCCATCTGCTGATTCACTTCCCAAATGGTCCAACAACCGGGGCAGAGTCAGGCTGAAGCCAGGAGCCAGGAACTCAATCCTGGTTTGCCAAAATAGGGGTAGGGACCCAAGCACTTGCGCCATCATCTGCTGCCACCAGGGATGCATTAGCAGAAAGCTGGATTGGAAGCAGAAGCGTTGGGACTGGAACCAGCACTCCAATATGAGATACAGATGTCCCAAGCAGCAGCTTAACCCATTGTGACACAACACCCACCCCATCATGTTTCATTTTACAAATGAAAAAGAAAGGCAGTGACAGATCAGAACCGATCTACAGCCCACAGGAGATATTAGGTCTTGGGCCCCCAGTCTAGCTCTAGTTCTAATTTACTGCCCCTTCCTAGGCTATTCTTCACAAAGTCACAAAAGATTGAATTATTTAAAAGTAACTTTGCTTATATATATGATTCTAACTACATATAGAAAAACATTAAGTGATTATTGCTATTATTAATTTCCAGACAGCAGCTGAGAAACAGTCTCCGGGTTTTCACGCACACACTCAGATGGCATGTTGGGCTCATCACTGCTCTAAGTGATTATATTAACGATATAGAGATTACATTGTGATGTGAATATTCACATTTCTGTGTATTTTCTTCAATGAGCATGTATTATCTTTGAGATAAAAAAAAAAGGAATTTTACTTCTTGAATGAAATTAACAATGTTAGAAATAATGGGACTGGGGGCCAGCTTTGTGGCAAAGCAGGTTAAGCTGGTGCATGAGTCCCAGGTATTCTGCTTCTGATCCAGTTTCCTGCTAATATGCCTAGGAAGGCAGTGAAAGATGGACCAGGTACTTGGGGCCCTGCCTTGCACATGGAAGACCTACATGGATTTCCTGGATCCTGGCTTCAGCCTGGCTCAACTGTGGCTGTTCTAGCCATTTGGGGATTAAATCAGTTGATGGAAGACATCTGTCTCTTTGTCCCCACCCACTATCTCTGCCTTTCAAATAATAAATAATCTTTTTTTTTAAAGGAATTTTTTTTTTATTTGAAAGGCCGAGTTACACAAAACGAGAGAGAGGGAGAGACACAGAGAGAGAGTCCTCCATCCTCCATCTCTTCTATCCACTGGTTCACTCACCAAATGGCAGCAACAGCCAGGGCTGGACCAAGACAAAGTCAGGAGCCAGGAATTTTGTCTGGGCCTCACACATGGGTGCAGGACTGGAAGTGGAATAGCCAAGACTCAAACTGGTGCCCATATGCGATGCTGGCACTGGAGGTGGTGGTTTAACCACTATGCCACAGCGCCGGTCCCAATAAATAATCTTTTTTTTTTCTTTTTTTTTAAATTTTTTGACAGGCAGAGTGGACAGTGAGAGAGAGAGACAGAGAGAAAGGTCTTCCTTTGCCGTTGGTTCACCCTCCAATGGCCGCCGCGGCCGGCGCGCTGTGGCCGGCGCACCACGCTGATCCGATGGCAGGAGCCAGGAGCCAGGTGCTTTTCCTGGTCTCCCATGGGGTGCAGGGCCCAAGCACCTGGGCCATCCTCCACTGCACTCCCTGGCCACAGCAGAGAGCTGGTCTGGAAGAGGGGCAACCAGGACAGAATCCGGCGCCCCAACCGGGACTAGAACCCGGTGTGCCGGCGCCGCAAGGCGGAGGATTACCCTACTGAGCCGCGGCACTGGCCCTATCTTTTTTTTTTTTTTGGCAGGCAGAGCAGACAGTGAGAGAAACAGAGAGAAAGGTCCTCCTTTGTCGTTGGTTCACTCTCCAATGGCCGCCGCGGCCAGTGCGCTGCAGCTGGCGCAGCGCGCTGATCCAAAGGCAGGAGCCAGGTGCTTCTCCTGGTCTCCCTGCGGGTGTAGGGCCCGAGCACTTGGGCCATCCTCCACTGCACTCCCTGGCCACAGCAGAGAGCTGGCCTGGAAGAGGGGCAACCAGGACAGAATCCGGCGCCCCGACCGGGACTAGAACCCAGTGTGCCAGCGCCGCAAGGCGGAGGATTACCCTATTGAGGCGCGGCGCCATCTTAAATAATCTTTATAAAAAAAAATTGTGGGGCAGTGCTGTGGCATAGTGTTAAGCCACCACCTGCAGTGCCAGCATTGCACATGGGTGCCAATTCAAGTCCTAGATGCTCCCTGTTAGTGGCTTGGGAAAGCAGTGGATGAAGGCCCAAGGGCTTGAGATCCTGTACCCATGCAGGGAACCTGGAAGAAATTCCTGGCTCGTGATTGGCTCAGTTCCAGCCACTGTGGCCAATTGGGGAGTGAACCAGCAGATGAAGGATCTCTCTCTGTCTCTCCTTTTCTTTGTCTGTAACTCTGCCTCTCCAATAAATATTAAAAAATAAAAAAAACCAAGCTGTTATTAGGTTATGGCAGACAACTAAGTTTTCTAATGGGAAAACATGAATAAATACATCAACATAAAGTAATTATAATGAAATTTTCCCTAGGAAACCTAAAAATATTTTAATCAAAGTCAAAAATTCAAACACAAACTTTCCAATGATCTGCATTTTCTTTTTTTTTTTAAGACTTAATTATTTATTGGAAAATCAGAGTTACAGAGAGAGAGAGAGAGAGGTCTTCTATCCTCTGGTTCACTCCCCAAATGGCCACAATGGCTGGGGCTGGCCTAGGCTGAATTTAGGAGCCAGGAGCTTCTTCTGGGTTTCCCACATGGGTGCAGGGGCCCAAGGCCTTGGGCCATCTTCTGCTGTTTTCCCAGACATATTACCAGGAAGCTGGATCAGAAGCAGAGCAGTTGGAACTCAAACCAGTGTCCATATGGGATGCCAGGACTACAGATGGTGACGACTTAACCTGCTGTGCCATAGCACTCGCCCCATTCTGCATTTTCTACATCTTTAAAGATTTATTTATTTATCTCAAAGGCAAAAGAGAAAGAACATGATTCCCATTAAAAAAAAAAAAAGATTTACTAATTATTTATTTGAGAGGTAGAATGACTGAAGGAGGAGAGACAGCAAGAGAAATCTTCTATCCAGTGGTTGACTCCCAAAATGACTACAATGGCAAGTGCTGGGCCAGGCCGAAGCCAGGAGCCTAGAACTCCTGGTCTCCCACATAGGTAGACAGACTAAGTACTTGGGTGTTCTGCTGCCTTCTCAGGCAAATTAGCAGGAAGCCAGGTTGAAAGCAACAACTGTTGGAACTCAGATTAGCAGTTCAATATGAGATGCTAACATGTAAGCAGATGCTTAACCCACTGTGCCACTAGGTCTCTCTACAACTTCAACCCAAGCTTATTTACACAGGAAAATTTAACTTTTTAAAAAGATTTATTTTTTATTTATTAGAAAGGCAATATTACAGAGAGAGGAGAGAAACAGAAATAAAGGTTTACTCCCCAAATGGCCACCAATGACCAGGGCTGGGTCAGCCTGAAGCCAGGAGCCTGGAGCTTCTTCCTGGTCTCTTACATGATTTCTGTGGCCCAAGGACTTTGCCATTTTCCACTGTTTTCCCAGGTGCATTAGCAGGGAGCTAGATTGGAAATGGAAAACCCAGGTCTTGAATCTGCACACACAGGGAATCCTGGTGTTGCAGGAGGAGGCTTAACCTGATATACCACAATGTGAGCCCCAAATTTAACTATTAAAGCTAGTTTTTCTATCATTAGTAGTCTGAGAGTACCACAGATGACAAAATATTAACTAAGTCATGCCAATAAGCATACGAGTAACGACAGTATTGAATTTGAACACTAGGTAATATCACCATAATCAATTTTTTTTTTTTTTTGACAGGCAGAGTGGATAGTGAGAGAGAGACAGAGAGAAAGGTCTTCCTTTGCCATTGGTTCACCCTCCAATGGCCGCCGCGGCCAGCGCGCTTCCGCCGGCATACCGCGCTGATCCGATGGCAGGAGCCAGGTACTTATCCTGGTCTCCCATGGGGTGCAGGGCCCAAGCACTTGGGCCATCCTCCACTGCATTCCCGGGCCATAGCAGAGAGCTGGCCTGGAAGAGAGGCAACCGGAACAGAATCCGGTGCCCCGACCGGGACTAGAACCCGGTGTGCCAGCGCTGCAAGGCGGAGGATTAGCCTAGTGAGCCGCGGCGCCGGCCTCAGCATAATCAATTTTATTTTCTCCTGGAAGAAAGTAATTTTGTTCTTCATCATGAGTCTGTTTAACAGGATCACAATTTCCATTCATACATATGGAAAACTTAAGTACATACTTCCAGGTCATATTTGCAAGTCAGTGATGGTAAGAGTCATAGGCCAGGGGCCAGCACCGTGGTGCAGCAGGTAAAGCTGCCACCTGCAGTGCTGGCATCCCATATGGGTGCAGGTCAATTCCTCGTTGCTCCAATTCCAATCCAGCTCTCTGCTATGGCCTGGGAAAGCAGTAGCAGATGATTCAAGTCCTTGGGTTCCTGCCCCCACATGGGAGACCAAAAACTCCTGGCTCTTGGCTTTGGATCGGCACAGCTCTGGCCCTTGTGGCCATCTGGGGAGTGAACCAGTAGATGGAAGACCTCTCTCTCTCTCTGCCTCTCCTTCTCTCTCTGTGTAACTCTTTCAAGTAAATAAATAAATCTTAAAAAAAAAAAAAAAAGTCAAAGGCCTGAAACTGTGCCTTAAATTATGTATTTAGGCTGGCGCCGCGGCTCACTTGGCTAACCTTCCGCCTGTGGCGCCAGCACCCCGGGGTTCTAGTTCTGGTTGGGGTGCTGGATTCTGTCCTGGTTGTTCCTCTTCCAGTCCAGCTCTCTGCTGTGGCCTAGGAAGGCAGTGGAGGATGGCCAAGTGCATGGGCCCTGCACCGCACGGGAGACCAGGAAGCACCTGGCTCCTGGCTTCGGATCGGCGCAGCACCCCGGCCATAGCAGCCATTTGGGAGGTGAACCAACGGCAAAGGAAGACCTTTCTCTCTGTCTCTCTCTCACTGTCTAACTCTGCCTGTCAAAAAAAAAAAAAAAAATATATATATATATATATGTATTTAATACTCTCACCTTCTCTCTTTTGTCCCTGACTCTGCTCAAAAGGAAAACCTGTTTTCAGAATACCTCTCACAGTATTTACAAACTTCAAGATAGTATTCCTTCAGCATTGAGACAGGGCAGGCAGAGTGCCTGAGCTGGAGTCCAGCTCTACACCCAGCTCCAGTTTCCTGAGACGGCAGACCTTAGGAGCAGTTCGTGAGGGTTCATGTAGTTGGATCTCTGCCACCTACATGGAAACCCAGAATAAATTCTTGGCTCCGAGTTTTTGCTTTGGCCCAGACCTGGCTGCTGGGAGCATTTAGGAATGAACCAGTAGATGGGAAATAGCTGCCTGCTGGTCTTTCACATAAAATAAATAAAGTTAAAAACAAAAGATAACACAGGATTTACGCAACGGACACTTAAGTCCTTCATTCTTATCTCACCTTGTAAAAATAAAATGGCTGCAAATTGAGAACTTCAATAATCCAAGGAAAAGTACGAGGTGAGCTATAGGCAAACAGTACTATTTCCAAACAGCAAGCCATCAAGGAACGATGAAATATATCTTGCTCTAAAAGAACCTGGGGAAGAGAAACACCACAGTTTAATATTTCTCAGCAATTTCAATCCTTGCCATTCTAAAAAGAATGAATAGAAGTAGTAGAAAGTAACTTATTCAGATTTATATAGCAGATTACCAGAAGTAAAAATTAACACTTCTCAAAATGATCAAGAGTTTCTTTGTAATATTTAATCTTGCTTAGTGGTAGATATTTTATTTAAATGAGGTATACACAACAATCTGCTTTGAAGTTTGAATGAATAACAAAATAGTCAATATTCACATCCAGGAAAAAGCAATAGTATTGGTTCTTTTTTATAAATGACAATTGTTCTGTCAACATAGGGGTTTATTAATCAAAAAACTAAATAGAAGGTAGTATGTCACAGTTAAGAAAAAAAGTCCAGAGAAGAATAATTCACAGAGAAGATAAAGTCCATTTTCACCATGGAGTTTAAGATTTAATGTTTTGGGGGCGGTGCTGTAGTGTAATAGGTAAAGATGCCACCCATGGCGCTGGCATCCCATATGGGTGCCTGTTCAAGTGCTGGCTGCTCCATTTCTGAATCAGTTCCCTGCTTATGTGCCTAGGAAAGCAGCAGAGGATGGCCCAAGTGCTTGGGCCTCTGAAACTATGTGGGTGACCTGGAGAAAACTCCTGGCTTCAGATGTGTCCAGCTCTGGCCTCTGTGGTTTTTTGGGGAGTGAACCAGCGAAGATCTGTTTCTGTCTTTCCCTCTCTCTAACTCTGCCTTTTGTATAAGTAAATAAATCTCTAAAAAAAATTTAATGTTTTCAGTTTAAATTTTATTTACTTGAAAAACAGAGTGATGGCCGGCGCCGTGGCTCACTAGGCTAATCCTCCGGCTGCGGCGTCAGCACCCCAGGTTCTAGGCCGGGTTGGGGCGCCGGTTCTGTCCTGGTTGCTCTTCTTCCAGTCCAGCTCTCTGCTGTGGCCCGGGAAGGCAGTGGAAGATGGCCCCAGTGCTTGGGCCCTGCACCCGCATGGGAGACGAGGAGAAGCACCTGGCTCCTGGCTTTGGATCGGTGCAGTGCGTGGGTGAACCAACGGAAAAGGAAGACCTTTCTCTCTCTCTCTCTCTCACTGTCTAACTCTGCCTGTCCAAAAAAAAAAAAAAAAAAAAAAAAGAAAAGCAGAGTCAGAGAGTGAGTAAATGGCTGGCGGGTAGATGTAGAAAAAGAGAGAGCTTATCTTTCATCTGCTGGTACACTCCCCAAAAGAGCTGGGGCCAGGCTGAAGCCAAGGAACCTGGAACTCCACCAGGTCTTCCACGTAGGTGCAGGGGCCCAAGTAATTAGGCCATTTCTGCTACTTTCTTAGCCACATTAGCAGGGAGCTGGATTGGAAGCTGAGCAGCCTGGACTCAAAATGGCAATCATATGGAATGCCAGCAGATGCCAATGTCATAGGCAGCAACTTAACCTGGTGTGCCATGCCAGCTCCCAAGTTTCAGTTTTAAAGATGGCAACTGTTCCTTCTTTCAGATATTACCCCACATTAGAAAGAATAAGGAACAGGAACCATTTTAGATAAAACTAGAATGAAAGTAGATGAGGGGCTGGCGCATAGCAACTGCAGTGCCAGCATTCCATATGGGCGCCAGTTCGAATCCTGGCTGTTCCACTTTCAATCTAGCTCTCTGCTGCAGCCTGGGAAAGCAGTAGAAGATGGCTCAAGTCCTTGGGGCCCTGCACCTGCATGGGAGACTTGGAAGAAGCTCCTGGCTCCTGGATTCAAATCGGCACAGCTATGGCCACTGCAGCCAATTGAGGAGTGAACCAGTGGATGGAAGACATCTCTCTCTCTCTCTCTCTGCCTCTTCTCTCTCTGTGTAACTCTGGCTTTCAAATAAATAAATAAATCTTTAAAAAAAAAAAAAAAGAAAGAAAGTAGATGAAAAGGAGCTGGATTGGAAGTGCATCAGCAGGACACAAACTGATGCCCATATGGCATGCCAGCATTGCAGGTAGCGTCTTTGACGGCTACGCCACAATGCCAGCTTCAATATGTCTGCCTTTTAAATAAATAATTTAAAGATAAAAAAAAAGGGGGAACCACAATGAAGAGATATGAAGAAAATTTCCAGAGTGAAAACAAAGAAAAATGGTATAATAATTATACTGCATCCTTAGATATCAAGCTATTCCTACTGGAATAGAAGATCAGAAGACTAGTGACTGCAGGGAAGAGAGGATGAAACTGAAAGATCAAAGATCATTTAAGAGGTTTGACTTTGTAGAAATGTTTTTACATAGCTATTGGAGAGTGGTCAGACTTCGTCAAAAGTTCAAAGAAAAAAAGTATTTAAAAAAAAAAACCCAGGGCTAGTTCTGTGATGGAGCTGGTAAAGCCACCAACTGCAGAGCCGGCATCCCGTATGGCGCCAGTTGGACTCATGGCTGCTGCAGTTGGACTCTGCCGGCATGGGAAAGCAGTGAAAGATGGCCCAGGTCCTTGGGCCCCTGCAACCATTTGGGAGACCTGGAAGAAGTTCCTGGTTCCATGTCGGCACAGCTCTGGCAGTTGCGGTCATTTGGGGAGTGAGCCAGTGGATGGAAGATCTCTCTCTCTCTTTCTCTGTGCCTCTATAACTCTTTCAAATAAATAGATCTTGGGGCTGGTGCTGTGGCACAGCGGGTTAATGCCCTGGCCTCAAGTGCCTCAAGCGCCGGCATCCCATATGGGTGCCAGTTTGAGACTCGGCTGCTCCATTTCTTGTCCAGCTCTCTGCTGTGGCCGGGGAAAGCAATAGAAGATGGCCCAAGTGCCTGGGCCCCTGCACCCACGTGGGAGACCTGGAGGAAGCTCATGGCTCCTGGCTTTGGATCGGTGCAGCTCCGGCCATTGTGGCCAATTGGGGAGTGAACCATTGGATGGAAGACCTCTCTCTCTGTCCCTCTCTCTGCCTCTCCTCTCTCTGTAACTCTGACTTTCAAGTAAAATAAATAAATCTACAAAAGAAAAATTAAAAATAAATAAATAAATCTTAAAAAAAAAAAACAACTACCACCACGTTATGATCTAAAAGCACAGGGAGTTATAAACAAACACCTCAGTTATCAGTAGGGGAGCTCATTTTTATTAGCTGGGAATGAAGGACACAAAAAGGACTAAAGGAAAAGGACACTGACAGCGTCCCAAATATGAGCATGTATGGCTAGCCCTAGCTGTGGCAAATTCAACTGAGGCCAGTGAAAATGTCATCTTGACCAAGTGTGCCATAAACTGCTGACCCCAGAAGGCTCTCTACAGCTGCAGAGCCTCCTGGACACCACTTCTAGGCCAGGACTTCCTGACCTCCCCAGTGGCTGGGAGAGGGGATTTACTTACAGACATATCCATTCCATGAAGTCTTCGTGTTTCCTGAACCATTACAGTCTCTAATATTTTGTAATATAAAATTTCTGCCAGCTTAAGTCTGTTTATAGCAAAGTCTGTAAGAGAAGTAAAGGGAAAACATATGCTAATGAAATCAAGTTAAGGGTTGAAAACAAAACTTATCGTATAAATTTAAATTGTGTTAAAGAACAACATTTATCATATAAATTTAAATCTGATACATTAAGAGTAACAGAAAAGGAAAAATCGAAGTTCTGTTTTGGGGACAATGCTATGCCAACTTAATTTTCTCTTCTTACCTATGTGAGATCCTGGCTGTTCATCTGTTGATTGGGTATAGTGTTGGCAGAAAGTCTCTCCTATTCCTTTCACTATTTTTGTAATGTTTTCCACAGGATTACGTATACAAGATCTATAAAATACAAAGAGGAACCTAATTATCAGAAAAAAAGAAAACTAACAAGATTTCTCTTTAAGAAACAGTTTAGGGGCTAGTGCTATGGCAAAGTGGGTAAAGCTGCTGCCTGCAGCGCTGGCATCCCAATTGAGTGCTGGTTCAAGTCCCAACTGCTCCACTTCTGATCCAGCTCCCTCTTAATGCATCTGGGAAGGTAGCAGAAGATTGCCTAAGTCCTTGGGCCCCTGTACCCATATGGGAGAACTGGAAGAATCTCCTGGCCCCTGGCTTCAGATCAGTTCAGCCCCAACCGTTGCGGCCATTTGAGGAGTGAACTAGTGAATGGAAGACCTCTCTCTCTTTCCTTCTCTCTCTGTAACTCTACCTTTCAAAATAAACAAATCTTTTAACAAATAGTTTAAGGTTGTATGTTTAGCATGGTACTTAAGACACTGCTTGAGGAGCTGCTACCCTAGTGCAGGGGGTTAAGCAACTGCCTCTCCTGCCACCATCCCATATAAGCACCACTTCCAAGTCCCATCTGTTCCACTTCTGATCCAGGTTCCTACTAATGTGCTGGGGATGGCAAAAACAATGGCCCAAGTACCTGGGTCCCTGCCACCCATGTGAGAGACCCAGATGAAGCTCCTGTCTTTGACCTGGCCCAGCCCTGGCCATTGAGTGAGCCAATAGATGGAAGATTCTCTCTGTCTCTCCCTCTCTCTTTATAACTCTGATTTTCAAATAAATAAATCCTAAAAAAAAAAAAAACTCAATGTACAAGGAAAAATACGTATAATTCAGAGGTAGTAATAAGCCTAAAATGTCTGAGGCAAATAACTTTTAGGATACAATTAACCTTGAAGTCTATACTACAAAATAACATTTATAGGGCCTGGCAATGTGGCTAAGAGGGTAAAGCTACTGCCTGAGATGCCAGCATCCCATGTAGGTTCTAGTTCAGGTCCTGTCTGCTCCACTTCTGATCCAGTTCCCTGCTAATGGCCTGGGAAAAGCAGTGGAATAACATTTATATACAATTTTTAATAAGTACTTCTATCCAGGGGCTGGCGCTACGGCATAGTGGGTAAAGCCACCGCCTGTAGTTTCGGCATCCAATATGGGTGCTGGTTCAAATCCCGGTTGCTCCACATATGATCCAGCTCTCTGTTATGGCCTGGGAAAGCAGCAGCAGATGTCTTTGAGCCAAGTCCTTGAGCCCCTGCACCTATGTGGGAAGAAGCTCCTGGCTCCAGATCAGTGCAGCTCCAGGCGTTAAGGCCATCTGGGGAGTGAACCAGCAGATGGGAAAACCTCTCTTTCTCTCTCTCTCTGCCCCTGCCTCTCTGTAACCATGCCTTTCCAATAAATAAATACCTCTTAAACAAGTTACTTCAATTAAAAAAAAAAAGTACTACTATCTGGTTTTAGGTCAATATATATTGTCGTTGAAATTGTAAAGTAGAACTTGCCAAATGTGTATCCACTATTTCAAGAAGGCTGAATATACTACAAATAGAACAGAATAAGAATCTAATTTTAAACACATGATTATATAATAGAACTAAACTTACTCAAAAATATTTGTAAGTTGTTCACTTGCTGCATTTTTCAGTCCAGCTACAATGCTCTGTAAGCGGCTCACACTTTGGGTAGCAGAAGCAACAGGAGTAATGACTGCTTCTTTTTCTCGTAAATATCGCCGTCCTGTCAGTGGGGTAGAAGGTGCAAATGATCTTTTCTATGAGAAAAGAAAAATCTGTGAGATTAACATTTACTTCCTGCTTATTGTGTAATTCAGTATACATACTATGCATATTCAAATTTATAGATAGTTACTTTTCCCCTCTTTATTACCTACCAAATTTTTAGCAATACTATGCTAATAATATTCTTATATTTGAATAATACTTTTTTTAAAAGATTTATTTAATTTATTTGAAAGGCAGAGTTAGAGAGAGAAGAAGGAGAGACAGAGAGAGAGAGTTCTTCCATCCCTGGTTCACTCTCCAAATGGCTGCAACAGCCAGGCTGGGCAGGGCTGAAGCCAGAAGCTTCCTCTGGGCCTCCCACATGGGTGCTTTCCCAGGTGCCTTAGCAGGGAGCTGGATCAGAAGTGGAGCAGCTGGGACTCAAACTGGCACCCATATATGATACTGGCGCTACAAGCAGCCACTTAATCTGATACGTAACTCCAGCCCCATAGTAACAGCACTTTCTATCTATACTCTCATTTTATCTTATACTTTAATTTACGAGGAAAGTGCCCAGATAAGCTAAAAACCTACTTAAGTTGACAAAGTTAATGGCAGAGCTAAGACTAAATTTTAGGTTTTCTACCTTCTAAACCAGTGAGTTTCCCATTTGAGCTCATCTTCCAACCCATTTCACACATAAATACAAAATTAAGCCTTGGTCAACAAGCCTAGAGTTAAAGGGCTGGATTTAGAGAAGAACTAATAGCTTATGTCATGGCTAGGATAGCACACTAAATTTTAAAGGAATATGAAAGAGTCTATATTGAAGCAAATAATGATAAGGAAGCATAAATTCCCTTTTATGTCAAAAGGCATATAATCTGATAAACGGAAGCATGTTGGGAAAATATACCCAAACTATCATTAATAGGAAGAAAGATGTAAGAGTACCAAATGCCATAGTTTTGAAAATTACCTTTTAAGGCTTGCATGTTAAATATGAATTAGTAGAAGAAACTCAAGACTTAACTTGAAAGATGCTCTGCTGTTAGTAGAAATCACACACAGAGAGAAAAAGATCATTCAAGACTGAGGCGAGGCTAGGTTATATTACTTTTTCAAAGTGTTGTTGAAGATTACACTCCACATTAGCCTGTGCTGTCAGTTTCCCTAGCGGGGTGTCACCAGTGAATTTCCGAGGTGTTCCAATTTCCTCTTCTGCATCTGCTCCCAGAAAGATCCTCTCATCAAAATCACCAACAGTTAGAACATACTCTTCATATTCCTTGTTAACTGCTTTGCTGCAAAGAGAATTATTTTAAGAAGCTAGAGTAAAACTAAGCTACACGATGGGTATACCTTGACTTGAAGGCAGACTTAGAATTCACAGTTTGGGAAAGCGGATGACTTTCTAGCTTTTATTGACTGCCCATCTAACAATATTAGAAGTTCTTATTTAATGACATTCTTCACATTCATTCAATAAATTATTTTTGCAAAGTCAGGAGAAACAGAATATATAATTCATCTGACAAAGAGCTGTAAATGTAATGAAGGAAAAGAAAACAGTATCTGATCACTGTGGAAACAACAGTGGCTTTGAAATAGGGGCATACTGAATTTGCTGATGAAAGAGTGTAAGAGCAAACACAGAAGTCACTGGCTCCATTGTGATTTCATAAAAATAAGTATTTTAGATGAAAAAGTTTCTAAGATGTGCAACCAAAAATGTTTAGTGACAACGCCCATTCAATGTCACAAAAGAGGGATGGGGACAACTCTACAGCACAGCTGGTTAAGCTGTTGCTGGAAAAGCTGTCATCCCATATTGCAGTGCTGGTTTGAGTCCTAGCTACCCTGCTTCCCATCCAGCTGCTTCCTAATGCACTTGGGCCTCTGTTATCTCAGCTTTGGTCTGGCTCAGCCCTGACTGTTGTGGTTATTTGAGGAGTGAACCAGTGAATGAAAGATCTTTCTGTCTCTCCCTCTCTAATGATCTGTCTTCCAGATAGATAGATACATCAATTAATCAATCTTAAAAAAAAAAAAAGAGCAGAGGGACTTGAATTTAAAGCAGTTACTTGATATGTTTAATTTACCAAATTTCACGAAGTCATTAATTAGCATATTATGGCCTAGGCAACATTAGTGTTTTCATTTTTTTTTTTTTTTGGACAGGCAGAGTGCACAGTGTGAGAGAGAGACAGAGAGAAAGGTCTTCCTTTGCCGTTGGTTCACCCTCCAATGGCCGCTGCGGCCGGCGCACCGCGCTGATCCGATGGCAGGAGCCAGGTACTTCTCCTGGTCTCCCATGGGGTGCAGGGCCCAAGCACCTGGGCCATCCTCCACTGCACTCCCTGGCCACAGCAGAGAGCTGGCCTGGAAGAGGGGCAACCGAGACAGAATTCGGTGCCCCGACCGGGACTAGAATCCGGTGAGCCGGCGCCGCAAGGCAGAGGATTAGTCTGTTGAGCCGTGGTGTCGGCCTATTAGTGTTTGATATTTACCTGTTATCAGTAAAACTGGAAAGGTCCAGGAGGCATTCTCCTTTTAAAATCTGGGAATTAAAAAAAAAATCATTTTGGGACTTAAACAATGCAATTAACATACACACACAAACACAAAAACAATGAAAGTAATCTCAATCTTCACATTGGTTACTGTTACAACACATACAAAAACAGAATTGCTAAATATTTCCTTCAGACTAATATCTGTTTAAATATTTTTAAAATATTTTATATGTGTGATAAAGTAAGTTTTTAAAATGCTTTAAGGTCAGTCCATGGCTGTCGGGGAACGGGACAGCCTGGCCAGCTGTGCCCCTCCCGACATGTACAAGCACAAGAAGTTTAGTGCCGGGCTTTTTCCACCCTGCCCGTTGCTAACCGCAAGATCCTGTTTTGACTTTAAGCATCCTGTTATTGCATGTTTCCCACATTTACTAAGTTTTGTTTCTTGCTGAGTTGTAACATGTTTTCCGCGAATCATATATAAACAGGTGGACGGTGGGAGGGAGATATAAGAGGGTTGGAGGAGGCGAAGACGGCGGGCATTCGCGACATGTAACCCGAGTCTGCTGAAAAATAAAGTGGAAGCTGAAAAGCCGATAAATGCGTCTGGTGTCTCCGAGGTCTCGCCGGCGTTAACCTATACAGAAGGTGCACGCCAGCACATGGCAGTGGTTTCTATATTTTAGTGAAGAATCACTAAGGGAAAATCTGCTTAAAATGAAGGCTGATGGACCTCCAGACCTGAGCTGAGACAGCATTTTTAACAAATTCCCCACATGATTCTTTGAAAGCTGTCCATTACTGAACATTAGTCTATGGAGAAGGGAAATGTATTGGGCAAGCAAAAAACTCAAAAGGAGTATGAGTTTATTTCTCTCTGTCTCTCTCTCTCACTATGCACTCTGCCTGTCCAAAAAAAAAAAAAAATTTATGTACCTGTTGCTGTTACAAAGGAAAACTATATTGCTATTAATATTTTCTGCATACTTATACTACACACACTTAGATTACAATACTTAAGGTGTTACAATCTTAAACAGCCTCAGGTGTCAGGGTTTAATACAGATAAATGCGGAGTGCAGACAGCATACTTCCCATCCTAAAAAAGTAGTCAACATCTATCTGACAATAGTTATCTATGTAGAAATTTCAACTTTTTTTCAGACAGAGAATTAGAGAAACAGAAACAGAGAGAAGAGGGGAGGGGAGAGAAGACCTCCCAGCTACTAGTTCACTCCCCAAAGGCCTGCAAGTCAGGGTTGGGCTGCGGCCAAAACACGGAGCTAGGAATGCAATCCAGGTTTCCCATGATAGGGACAGAAACCCAATTACTTGAGACTTCACCACAGCCTCTCAGGATTTGTACTGATAGGAAGCTGGAGTCAGGATCAAGAGCTGGGAATCAAATTCACCTGATATAGGAGGTGGGCATCTTACCAACCAGGCTGAACACTTGCTCTAGCTTCGGATTTACTTATTTATTTCGAAGTCAGAGTGATGCAAAGAGAGAAGGAGAGACAAAGAGAGATCTTCCATACATGGGACTCCCCAAATGCCCCCAACAGCCAGGGCTAGGTCAGCCTGAAGCGAGGAGTCAGGAAACCCATTCAAGTTTCTCACTTGGCTGGGCAGGAACTGAAATACTTGGGCCATCATTTGCTGCCTCCCAGCACAGAAGGAGGAAACTGGATCAGAAGCCCTGAGTAGCTATGATTTGAATCAGACACTCATATAGGATGTGGGCATCCCAAGCAGTAGCTTAACCTGCTATACAATGCCTACCCTAGCTTCTGATTTTTTTTTTTTTTTTTAACAGGCAGAGTGGACAGTGAGAGAGAGAGAGACAGAGAGAAAGGTCTTCCTTTGCCGTTGGTTCACCCTCCAATGGCCGCCATGGCCGGTGCGCTACGGCTGGCGCACCACGCTAATCCGGAGGCAGGAGCCAGGTGCTTCTCCTGGTCTCCCATGGGGTGCAGGGCCCAAGCACTTGGGCTATCCTCCACTGCACTCCCGGGCCATAGCAGAGAGCTGGCCTGGAAGAGGAGCAACCGGGACGGAATCCGGAGCCCCAACCAGGACTAGAACCTGGTGTGCCGGCGCCGCTAAGTGGAGGATTAGCCTATTGAGCCGCGGCGCCGGCCCTAGCTTCTGATTTTTAAAAGCTTTTCATACAAAAATTTTTTGATATTAAGTGAATTAAAGGAACAACTACACGAAATAAAAATAAATATCATTCTGGGTAGGCCAAATAATACACCTGTAGCCCACAGGTAGAAGAATCATCACTCAAACCAGGATGATGGTTTCAATTTTGTAATGAAAGGAGGTGCTAAAATAATTATAAGGCAACAACCAAATAACAGATTATCTAGGCAAATCAAACTGTGTGGTCACTATAATCAGGGCCACTAGTGTGCTGCTTCTGCCCAGCACATCAGACGTAATCCCCGGGTTCCTTTACAATTGTTTAGCATACAGACAAGGAGCCATGATATACACATAATTGAGGAAAAAATCAGATTAAATACAAAAGTTTGTATAAGAAAAGAAGAAACTAGTTAAGGAAGATCTTATGCTCAAAAAAAAAAAAATCTTACGATACTTTCAAACGGGGAGACCACATTGATCTTCAAATATTTATTTCATTTATTTGAAAGGCTGAGTGACAAAGACAGAGGGATAGAGAGAAAGAGACCTTCCATCCAACTGGCTCACTATCCACCTCCCTGTGAATGGCCCGGGAAAAGTAGCAGAAGGACTGAGTACTTAGGTCCCTGCCACCTATGTGGGAGATCCAGATAAAGCTCCTGGTTCCTGTCTGGCTTGGTCCACCCCTGGCCACTGCAGCCATCTGGGGAGTGAACCAGCAGATGGAAGATCTTTCTTTCTCTCCCTCTGTAACTCTGACTTGCAAATAAATAAATAAATCTTCAAAAAAAAATCCAGAATGCAAGTAGGTAGCCAGAAAATTATAGATTTCTTTTTGTTTTGAAGTAAAATTAAAGCTTTTTTATATAATAATTTTATAATAATTTGTATATTATCCTATTTTCAGTGAACAGTACTTCTTCAAATATTGGCAGTAAGTTAGCTTACTCTGACATTGTTCCTTCTAACCCTTTATTAGTACCACCTACAGCTGCCCCCAACAGCTCACTGACTTCACAGGAAATACAGCTGTTTCCAACAGCTCAGTGTCTCATAGCACACAAGCTCACAGGGCAATTCCGAGTGACAGCAGAGATGGAAACCTGGGAAACTTCACTTTAGAGATCCACAATGTTGAGAACTTAAAACATTTTTCCCTCAGGCTCTTGCTGACCCCTAACATCTGTCATTGAGTTTTAAGTACTGTACCTTCCTATCAAAGAGCTTTGAAATATACGGCTTAAAGTAGTGCTCCTTTATTCCTTTGGCTTCCACTAGCAGTCCATCGTGCAGCTCACACAGGACAGCGATGATGCAGGGAGGCTCCTCGGGGGCCTGGAAGTCAGCAGTGTGGAACGCAGAGGGCAAGCCTAGTTTAACAGGGCATGAAGAGAAACGGGGGGGAAGAAGAATACGGTCAACTTCTAAGACTTTGTCCAAAGACTGATAAGTTATCAAAAATAAAGGTTTTACCTTTGAACGATGGATTTAGCAAGTCTCGTCTATTTGGGCACATAATGGCATTAGCAAAAATCAGATCCAGGCAGCACAGAAGCAAATGGTAAGAGTTTACTAAATCATCTCCAATCATACGAAAATTACCTTTGTGAGAAAAAATAAGACAAAAACTAGAAACCTCTCAAGTCAAACAGCACCAAGTGCCCCGGGCAGAAATATGAAACCACTGAAAAGTGTTCTCACCCTTGGTATAAACAAAGAGTGTCCAACAGAAATTAAAGAGATCCTTAACGCTGCAAGGAATCCGCCTAAAAAGGGAGGGGAAAAAAAGCACTCTTGGTCTGACTAGCTTTTAAAGTACCACTTAAATTGGAAAAGCACACATAAGTAACCAATAATAAAGTCAAATTACATATAAAATTCTGTTCCAAGGGATGGATAATCTTTGGCTTATGAAATATGTATAAAGAAAGCTAGAATTTGAAAAAATAAATTAGTCTATAAAGGGTTACTCTAAAATTTCAGATACAGTTAATTTTAAATTGATCTCAAAAGAAATGTATGTCTGTGTGGAAGGATACTTCTGGTATAAAGTAGACTTTTAAAAAGTAAACTCTTGATAGGCTTGCATAACAACCTTTCTGTTAATTATAGACGCGTTAAGGGTCTCACCTCTGTTTCCTGCTTCGTGGTAACTTTGGCAGCTCTTCATATGGATTTTGAAATATATCCAAAAAAATTGGCTCAAATTTTTTGAAAATTACAGTAGACACTTCAAAATTTCTCTCTAGCCTTTCTATACGTTCACGAAATTCTTGTGACAGGTTTGACATGTCCATCCATTTCTTCATTTTACTAAAAAACTGTATTAAGCTGAAAAAAGAAAAAAAGCAATTTTAATATTAGTTCATGTAATGAACTAAAAATGAAACTTTGTATTCGTTACTAATAATCTATTAAAAAGTCTGAAATTAGGGGCTGGCGCTGTGGCACAGCAGGTTAAGGCCCTGGCCTGAAGCGCCGGCATCCCATACAGGTGCTGGTTCTAGTCCTGGCTGCTCTTCTTCCGATATAGCTCTTTGCTATGGGCCTGAGAAAGCAGCGGAGGATGGCCCAACTCCTTGGGTCCATGCACCCTCATGGGGGACCCAGAAGAAGCTCCTGGCTCCTGGGTTCAGATCAGCGCAGCTCCAACCATTGCAGCCATTTGGGAAGTGAACCAGCGGATGGAAGACCTCTCTCTGTCTCTACCTCTCTCTAACTCTTTCAAATAAGTGACATAAATCTTTAAAAAAAAAAAAGTCTGAAATTATTAAAAACCAAACAACAAAACCTCATTCCCAAGTGCCATGAAATTGCTTTGGTTCCCAAGATCATAATGAGGATCTGGATCGGTCACTGTGCCAATTATCTTCTAGGGCAGGTGTTTGGCACAGTAGTTTAAGAACCACTTAAGACACCTGCAATCCATGTCAGGGTGCCTGCTTGGAGTCCTGACTCCACTTTCAATCCAGTTTCCTGCTGATGCACATCCTTGGAAGGCAGCAGCCAATGGCCCTTGCGGCAGACCCAGATGAAGTTCCGCTTGACCTAGCCCAGCCCTGGCTGTTGCAGGCATTTGAGGAGTGGATCAGCAGATGGATGCTATCTCTTTGTCTGCCTTTCATATAAAATGAAAATAAATAAAATAAGGTGTCTTCTAATATACAGGGAGTAAGAGCAACTACATACTTTTTTTATTCCCTAAAGCACTTAGACAATGTTCTGCATATAAACAAAGTAAATGTTAATATAACGGATAGATGGGTTCAAAGTCCCGGTCAGGGCGCTGGATTTTGTCCCGATTGCGCCTCTTCCAGTCCAGCTCTCTGCTGTGGCCCGGGAGTGCAGTGGAGGATGGCCCAAGTGCTTGGGCACTGCACCTGCATGGGAGACCAGGAGGAAGCACCTGGCTCCTGGCTTCAGATCGGCGTAGCGCACCGGCCTCAACACACCGGCCGTAGTGGCCACTTGGGGGAGTGAACCAACGGAAAAAGGAAGACCTTTCTCTCTTCTGTCTCTCTCTCTCACTGTCTAACTCTGCCTGTCAAAAAAAAAAAAAAAAAAAAAATCAAAACAAAGACCTCCCAAATGAGAAGACTTCTTCCTCTTTTCCAAGTAAGAGAGTGACAGCAAAGTACCTTACTGCTTGTTACAGGTTAGGAGTAAAATTCAAGCTGAAATCCAACATACAGTTCCACGAACAAAAATAGAGGCAAATACACAACCAGAAAATCACTTAAGAATTATTACTCTAACTTCTTGGTTTATTCAATTTTGAGTACATTTTAAAGATTTACTTATTTGAATAGTACAGTGATGATTCACTCCCCCAAAGGGCTACAACAGCTGCAGCTGGGCAAGCTCGAAGCCAGGAGCCCAAAAATCCATCCAGGTATCCCAGGTAGGCAATAGAGGCCCAAGTACTTGGGTCATCTTCCACTGCTTTTCCAAGTGGAAGCAGCCAGGACTTAAACAGGTGCTCTGACAGAATGTTGTCTTACACAGCAGCTTAACCAGCTGCACCACAATACCAGCCAATTATGGGTACATTTCTCTATATCCCTGTTACAGTGGTCTTAGATTAAAATCTTATAGTGTCAAAACTCCCTTAATTGTATAGCACTATGAGTATACACAGAATGATATATCCATTTTTTAAAATATTTTTTTGAAAGGCAGTTAGAGAGTGAGGGATGGGGAGAAGGAGAAAGAAAGCTTCTATCCACTGGTTCACTCCTCAAATGGCTTCAATGGCCAGAGCTGGGCCAGGATGAAGGCAGGAGCCTGGAACTCCATCCAGGTCTCCCATGTGGGTTGCAGGGGCCAAGGCCTTGGGCCATTTTTACAGTTTTCCCAGGCACATTAGCAGGGAGCTGGATCAGAAGTGGAACAGCTGGGACTCAAACTGGTGCTGATATGGGATGCTGGCATTACAGGAGGTAGCTTAAAATCATCATAATACAAACTGCATGTCGCTCCCCCTCTTCGTGGAGGAACGACACAGGACCCTGCGCTGTTCTTTTGTCTGCTCGGCCCTCCCCGGGTTTGCTGCTGGTTCTTCCCGGGTTGGCTACCGTCCCTCCACCTCCGTGGAGAGGCGGGCCCCCTGCCACTTTCCCCACTTCCGCAGGGGAGCGGCACACCGCCGGCCGGCTCTCTCGGGGGCTGCACAGGTGTTCCTTCAGATAGATGTTCCTGGTGCATGTTGTCTCTCTCCTCCTTTATAGTCCTCTTCCACCAATCCCAACTCTGCTACCCACACGCCGAGTACGCTGCTCTCCTCCAATCAGGAGCAGGATCAGCTCCTGCAGGTCATCACTCAAGTTGGCGAGAGGCAGCTGCGTAGAAGTTGTTACTCCCTTCTCAGCGCCATATTGTGGGAGAGCAGATGCATAGAATAAGTCTTAATTCCAGTAACAGTCTAGTCTGAGTTGCTCCCCACAACTGCATCATTGTGTTTGAAAGCAAAAAAACTTTATAACATTTTTATCATTTATACTATGATTGAAAATCTTAAAACTAAAATAAGTAAACGTCACAGCTTTCAACTCACTGGGATTTTCTTATAAAGAATAAGCAGCCGGCGCCGCGGCTCACTAGGCTAATCCTCCGCCTTGCGGCGCCGGCACACCGGGTTCTAGTCCCGGTCGGGGCGCCGGATTCTGTCCCGGTTGCCCCTCTTCCAGGCCAGCCCTCTGCTGTGGCCAGGGAGTGCAGTGGAGGATGGCCCAGGTGCTTGGGCCCTGCACCCCATGGGAGACCAGGAAAAGCACCTGGCTCCTGGCTCCTGCCATCGGATCAGCACGGTGCGCCGGCCGCAGCGCACCGCCCGCGGCAGCCATTGGAGGGTGAACCAACGGCAAAAGGAAGACCTTTCTCTCTGTCTCTCTCTCTCACTGTCCACTCTGCCTGTCAAAAAAAAAAAAAAAAAAAAAGAATAAGCACATGAGGGCCAGCATTGGCATATCATATTGGGCACCGGCTGAAGTCCTGGCTGCTCCATTTCCGATCAAGCTCCCTGCTAATGCACCTGAGAAAGCAGTGGAGGATGGCCCAGCTCTGGTCATTGTGGCCATTTGGGGAGTGAACTAGTGGATGGAAGGTCTATCTCTCATTCTTTCAAAACAATAAAATAGGGGCCAGTGTTCTGGTATAAGTTAAACCACTGCCTACAGCACCGGCATCCCAAATGGGTGCAGGTTCCAGTCCTGGATGCTCCCCTTCTGAACCATGTTCCCTGCTAATGTACCTGCGAGAGTAGCGGAAGATGGCCCAAGACCTTGGGCCTCTACCCACATGAGAGAACTGGATGAAGCTCCTGGCTCCTGGCATCAGCCTGGCCCTGCACTGTACATGGCAGTCATTTGGGGAGTGAAGCAATGGATTGAAGGCCTCTCCCTCTGTAGCTCAGTCCTTCAAATGAATATTTGAAAGTAAATAAATAAAAATCTTCACAAAAAAGAATAAATACATGAAAACATGCTCATCATCAGTCATTAGGGCAATTCAAATCAAAACTGCAGGGGCCAGCACTGTTGACATAGTGGGCTAAGCCTCTGCCTGTGGTGCCAGCATCCCACATGGGTGCCGGTTCATGTCCTGGCTGCTCCTCTTCTGATCCAGCTCTCTGCTATGGCCTAGGAATGCAGTAGAAGATGGCCCAAGTCCTTAGGCCCCTGCACCCATGTGGGAGGCCCAAAAGAAGCGCCTGGCTCCTGGCTTCGGATCGGGTGGTGCTATGGCATAGGTTAAGCTTCCACCAGCAGCACCAACATCTCATATGGGCGCCAGCTCCAGTCCCAGCTGCTCCACTTTAGATTCAGCTCCCTGCTAATGTGCCTGGGAAAGCAGCAGCAGATGACCCAAGTCCTGGGGCACCTGCACCCATGTGAGACCGGGAAGAAGCTCTTGGCTCTTGATTGGCCCAGCTGCAGCATTAGAACTATTTGGGGAGTGAATCAGCAGATGGAAGATCTCTCTCCCCTCTTCTCTCTCTGTATCTCTGCTTTTCAAATAAATAAATGATTAAAAAAAAAAAGCCTTAAATCCTTACATCCAGCCATTGCAGTCTTAAGAATCTAACCTTTGCCAAGTTAATAATGCAGGTCGTGTAGGTGTTTGGTGCAACAGTTAAGATGCCATCTGATGCCAGTTTGAGTCCCGGCTGCTCCACTTGCAATCCAGCTCTCTGCTATGGCTTGGGAAAGCAGAAGACGGCCTAAGTACTGGCCCCCTGCACCCACGTGGGAGACCTGGAAGAAACTCAAGGCTCCTGACTCCAGGAGGCTGCAAAGACACCCGTGGAACCAGAGGTGCCATTAACCTAATGAGGATCACCCTGACCAGCCACAGTGTCAAGTCCCTGGAGAAGGTGTGAACTTGATCAGAGGAGCAAAGGAAAAAAAATTAAATTGAAAGGACCAGGTTGGATGCATTGTGAATCACTATAACAAAAACACATCATGGCCGGCACCACAGCTCAATAGGCTAATGCTCAGGGCTGGCACTGTGGTACAGCAGGTTGAGCTACTAGCATCCCATCTGGGTGCTGGTTCAAGTTCTGGCTGCTCTACTTCTGATTCAGCTCCCTGCTAATGTGCCTGGAAAAGTAGCAGAAGATGGCCCAATTCCATGGGCCCCTGCCACCCACGTGGGAGACCTGGAAGAACTGGCTCCTGTCTTTGGATGGGCTCAGCTCTGGCTGTTGCGGCCATTTGGGGAGTGAACCAGTGGATAGAAAATCTCTCTCTCTCCTTCTATGTCTGCCTTTCAAATAAGTAAATAAATTAAAAAAAAAAGTCAATAAAAGAAAAATCAAGGCTGTATAAATGTTCCTGATTAAAAAAGAAAATAAATAGGGGCCAGCCCTGTGGTGTAGCAAGTAAAGCTGCCGCCTGCAGTGCCAGCATCCCATATGGGCACTGGTTTGAGTCCCAGCTGCTCCACTTCTGATCCAGCTCTCTGCTGTGGCCTGGAAAGCAGTGGAAGATGGCCCAAGTCCTTGGGTCCCTGCACCTGCATGGGAGACCCATAAGAAGTTCCTAGCTCCAGATTGGCGCAGCTCCGGCCATTGCAGCCATTTGGGGAGTGAACCAGCAGATGGAAGACCCCCATCCCCCGCCTCTCCTTCTTTCTGTGTGTAACACTGCCTTTCAAATATATAAATAAATCTTTAAAAAAAAAGAAAGACATGATAAATTAGTGCAGTACCTGGTTCTACATAGGAAATTGCACTTGAAGGAAAAACACCATAAAGATCATTAAAAAAAAATATTTATTTACCCAAAAGTCAGAGTTACAGAGACAGAGAAGGAAAGACAGAGACAGAGAAAGACATCCCCCATCCACTGGTTCACCTCCCAGATAGCCATAATGGCAAGGGCTGGGCCAAGCCAAAGTTAGGAGCCAGGAGTTTCATCTGAGTCTCCCACGTGGGTGCAGGGGCCCAAACACTTGGGCCAGCTTTCATTGCTTTTCCCTGGCCATTAGCAGGGAGGTGAATCAGAAATGGAGCAGCCAGGACACAAACCAGCGCCCTTATGGCATGCCAATGTTTCAGGCAGTGGTCTAACCTGCCATACCACAATATTGGCTCTTAAAGATCATAACTGGGCCGGCGCCCCAGCTCACTAGGCTAATCTGCCTTGCGGCGCCGGCACACCGGGTTCTAGTCCCGGTTGGGGCGCCGGATTCTGTCCTGGTTGCCCCTCTTCCAGGCCAGCCCTCTGCTGTGGCCAGGGAGTGCAGTGAAGGATGGCCCAAGTGCTTGGGCCCTGCACCCCATGGGAGACCAGGATAAGTACCTGGCTCCTGCCATCGGATCAGTGCTGTGCACCGGCCGCAGCACGCTGGCCGCGGCGGCCATTGGAGGGTGAACCAACGGCAAAAGGAAGACCTTTCTCTCTGTCTCTCTCTCACTGTCGACTCTGCCTGTCAAAAAAAAAAAAAAAAAAAGAAAAAAAATCATAATTGAATGAACTAACAAAATTAGAATAGACATGGCGGATAACATAAAATTAAGCTATCCGTGTTAACTTTCCTGAAGTTGAAAACTGTCCTATAGTTATTTTAGTTAAACACATTGAAGCATTTAGGGATAGAGGGCTATAATCTTTTGTTTTTGTTTTTGTTTTTGACAGGCAGAGTGGACAGTGAGAGAGAGAGACAGAGAGAAAGGTCTTCCTTTTGCCGTTGGTACACACTGCGATGGCCGTCGCGGCCGGCGTGCTGCATCTGGTGCACCATGCTGATCCGAAGCCAGGAGCCAGGTGCTTCTCCTGGTCTCCCATGCGGGTGCACGGCCCAAGCACTTGGGCCATCCTCCACTGCACTCCCAGGCCACAGCAGAGAGCTGGTCTGGAAGAGGGGCAACCGGGACAGAATCTGGCGCCCCAATCGGGACTAGAACCTGGTGTGCCGGCGCCGCAAGGCGAAGGATTAGCCTAGTGAGCTGCGGCGCCGGCCTATAATCTTTCCTACTTACTCTTTTTCTTTTTAAGATTTTATTTATTTATTTGAGAGGTAGAGTTACAGACAGCGAGAGTGAGAGACAGAGAGAGAGGTCTTCCTTCTATTGGTTCACTCCCCAGATGGCCGCAACGGCCGGAGCTGCACCCATCCGAAGCCAGGAGCCAGGTGCCTCCTCCCGGTCTCCCATGCAGGTGCAGGGCCCAAGCACTTGGGCCATCCTCCACTGCCCACCCAAGCCACAACAGAGAGCTGGATTGGAAGAGGAGCAGCCGGAACTAGAACCAGCACCCATGTGGCATGCTGGCACAACAGGCAAAGGATTAACCTACTGCACCACTGCGCTGGCCCCCTTTCCTACTTTCTTTGAAATATTGAGGAAAAAATGTTTAAGAGAATGATCTATATACTTAAGCAAAAAAGATCAAATGACGAAGCAAAGGGAACAAAATATCAACAACAGGCAAATATGGGTCAAGTGAATATTGCTTTGTACTTTTCTTATTTTTGCAAGTTTTCTATAAGCTTGAAATTATTTCCAAATAACTTTTGAAAAAGTTAATCAAAGGAAGTATAGCTTAAAAAGGTTTAGTACAGAGGCCTCTAGTGAAGCCAAAATCTAAGAAAGGCAAAGGAAGAACGTAAGGATGAGGAAAGTACATCTATGTTACAACAAACTTGGAAATAAATGAAATAACATGATTTAAAAGTGAAATTAGAGGCCGGCATTGTGGTAAAGCAGGCTGAACCACCACCTGCAAAGCTGGCATTCCTTTTGGGCACTGGTTGGAGTCCTAGCTGCTCCACTTCCGATCTAGCTCCCTGTTAATGCACCTGGGAAAGCAGCAGCAGGTGATACAAATCCTTGGGTCCCTGTACCCACGTTGGAGACCTGGATGAAACTCCTAGCCCAACCCCAGCCATTGTCGACATTTGTGGAGTAAAGCAGCAGATGGAAAATCTGTCTTTCCCTCTCTAACTCTGCCTTTCAAATAAATAAAATTAATTTAAAAAAATAATAAACTAAATTCTAAAATTAAATTTAGAGTTTGTAAAACACGCTTTACCTTAATTTAGCTGAACGCAGTATTCTGGTAAGTGACACACAGTTTCCTTCCATGATACCCTTTCCAACTGTAGGAATAATGCTTTTGCGGCAGGCAACATACAGCGAACATGCCAACCAGTGCATAATTTCTCCCTGGCAGGTAAAAGATAAACAACAAAACCAATATATTGTATTATGTTAAAATACTTGAATTCTAGAATCAGAAGAGATCTCAGAATTATCTGAATTAACTTTCTTCCTGTAGATCAAAGACTAGAGAAGTAAAACTATTTGCCCAAGTTACAAAGCTAAGTTACTGGCAGTAATCCTGCAGTTTTAAAACATACTCAATCATATTAATCTAAAACTAGGTGTCTCTCTACACTCCAAAACTAGTATTAGCGAGAGTTCTATTAGGACTCAGGGTGAGTGAGGCAGCAGTTAGGACAGCACTTGGGACACCCCCAACACACACTGGAGTGCCTGATGCATCCTGGATCCAGTCCGCTTCCAGCTCTCTGCGCACTCAGGAGCCAGCAGGTGGTGGCTGAAGCTGTTGAGTTCTTGCCACTCACGGGGAAACCAAGTTTGAGTTCCCAGCTCCCGACTTCGGCCAGGCCCAGGTGCAGTCCTAGCCATTGCAGATACTGAGCCAGCGGGTCAAAGATTCTGTTTCTTTCTTAATCTCTCTCTGCCTTTCAAATAAATAAAATAAGAAACCACTTATTCATATTAACTTCCTCGATTTAAACACAACAGTCCCATGTGGCCTTTATGACACTGGTTCTTTTCTACCACTTTAGTTTGTTTCTTTTTACTAGTATGGCAGAAAAAGGCCAAAACAGAGCAGAAAATGGGCAAGGGAGTCCCACACAACAAATACTTATCTTAATAATGCATTATTTTTGTGAGGTAAAAATCTGGGGAATCATTTAACCAAACGTTATCTTTGTAACTATGGTTTTATATCTTAGAAGATATCTCTGTAAAAAGCTACAAAAAAGGTGGCATTAGGGAGTTCGACATTAATTTTCTCCTTTAGATCTAAGATATCTCTAAGCTAAAACCACTTTATGACTTCACTTCTGAAATACAGGTTACACTTAATGATTAAGAATTACAGATGGGGCCGGCGCCGTGGCTCACTTGGCTAATCCTCCACTTGCGGCGCCGGCATCCCATATGGGTGCCGGGTTCTAGTCCCAGTTGCTCCTCTTCCAGTCCAGCTCTCTGCTGTGACCTGGGAGGGCAGTGGAGCATGGCCCAAGTGCTTGGGCCCTGCACCTGCATGGGAGACCAGGAGGAAGCACCTGGCTCCTGGCTTCGGATGGGTGCAGTGTAGCAGCCATTTGGGGGGTGAACCAATGAAAGGAAGACCTTTCTCTCTGTCTCTCTCACTATCTAACTCTGCCTGTCAAAAAAAAAAAAAAAAAAAAGAAAAGAATTACATAAACCGATCCCAAAATGTAATACAATGCTCCTCTTACTGTTCTACAAATCTTCTTTAACACTACACTCCAGAAGCATAAAAGATTGATAAGTATTTCTTGCAATAATTAAAAGGGGTAGGTTGGGGCCAGCATCGTGGCATAGTGCATAAAGCCACCACCTGCATTGCAGGCAACCTATACAGACACTGATTCATGGCCTGCTCACAGTGATCCAGCCCCCTGCTAATGGCCTGGGAAAGCAGCAGCAGATGGCCTAGGTATTTGGGTCCCTGCCACCTACGTAGGAGAACCTGGATGAAGCTCCTGGCTTCCCATGGTCAACTTCAAATTTCCAGCTCTATGCTTTGACCCCACAAGATGGTGAGTCAGTGGAGCACCTTGTAAATCCAGCCCTCTTGGTTCATGAAAGCCTTTGAACAGAAGGCCACTGAAATGGTGTGGATATGCTGAAATACAGCTGTCCCAGGCTATCTGTAGGGAACTGGTTCCAGGACCCCAGCAGAGAAAAAAAACCAATAATGCTCAAGTCCTTTTTTCTGGAAAAAATTAATTATTTATTTATTTGAAAGACAGAGAGACAAAAAGAGATTTTTCAGCCACTGATACACTCCCCAGCTGGGGCTGGACCTGGCTGACACCAGGCCAGGCTGAAGCCAAGAGCCTAGAACTCCATCAGGGGCTCCCATGTGGGTGGTAGGAACTCAAGTACTTGAGTCTTCACCTGCTGAATCCTAGGGTGTCAATCAGCAGGAATCTGGAATTGAAAACAGAGTAGGGACTCAAATCCTGGTATTCTGATACAGGATGTGGGTTTCCCGAGTGGTGTCCTAACTGCTGTACCTAAGACCTGTGCCTCAACTCTCTCTTATAAAGTGTAGTATTTGTATATAATTTATCCATATCTACCAGTATACTTTAAATTATCCCTAGGTTACTTATAATACCTATACATCCTAAATGTTATGCAAATAACTGTTTTGCGGTGTTGTTTAGGGAGCAATGACAGTGTTCTGCACGTGGGGCTGTACTACAGGCAGGGCTAAACATCCGGATTAAGAACTGATGGTAGAACCTGGCGCTGAGAGATAAGCTTTGGGTGTGAACCGCCTTTGACCAAACTACGGTACCATCCCGTGTTCAGAGTAAGCGAGGCACACCTCCACCCCGGGGGGAGGCAGGAGCTGGGCAGGTTCAATGGCTCCGACTCCTCGCTAACCCTGAGACCTCGGGCAAGGAGCCTGACCTCTCTGGGGGCTTCGCTTCCCCTTCCAGGGAACGGGGATCCCAGGGCAGGTTCGAAGCGCTGAGCAGTGGTGCCTTAGCACGCAATTCATTGGCGCTTTCCCACCGCTACACTTCAGTACCAGAACGTAAGCCGCACTGCATGGGAGGAGGCAAGGTCTGGGCTCCGGAGACCCCTGAGTGGCGCGGGGTCTCGGCCAAGCCGCTCCGGTTCTGGGCTTCCGTTTCCCGCCGCACGAACATGGGTGGGTCGGCTCCTCTCCACCCACCCGTCTCTGCACTCCTCTGCGCCCGGCTGGGCAGCGACCCTGCTCGCCGGGGAAGCTCCCACCACCCCATAGGCTGGGGTAGGGGCGGGGCGGGGAGGGGCCCGGCGAGGGTCGTCCGGCCGCCCACCTGCCGCCGCTCACCTCTAAGCTGTAGTTGCCCCGGATGGTGGCGAAGTCGTCCAGGGCTTCGGCCGCGCTCCCCTCGTCCAGGTTCAGCTCCTGGCACAGGGCCTGCAGCGCCGCCCCGGCCGCGGCGACCACCGCCGCGCCCTCGGCGTGGGGTTCGTCCTCGAACATCCCCTCAGGCCCCGCGGGCGGCGCGCCGCAGATACCCCCGCGCCTTTCTCCCTCCGGGCGCGCTACCCACAACCACCCGCGCCAAAGCGCGCGAAAATCGGTAGCGAACGAGCGCCGTCCCGCTTTACTCCGAAAAAAAAAAAAAAAAAAAAAACTCCCCCTTTTTTTTTTACTCCGGAGCTCCCAGCTGTCCCTCTCCGGGTATGTGACAAGAGGACGGATCTCGGGTCCTGTAAACACCCGACCTTGGTCCTCGGCGGACTCGTGGCCCCAGCGGGCAGGGCCAGTGCGGGAGCGTAGCTTTCGGCCGCCCGCGCGCGGAGGCTGCCGGGAGTTGTAGGCGCCCCCACCCTGGACGGCCGCGGTGCCGCCCCGGTTCCCGCCGCTGTGTGAATGCGACGAGGCCTGGTTTTTGGTAGTGGGAAGACCCCCGCCAACCGCCAGGCCGTGGGCCTTGTTTTTTTTTTTTTCTTTTTTTTTTTTTTTTTCTGTTCTAGGTCGTCAGTCTGACAGAGCCTCGGCCCCTCAGTTAGGAGATGGAGGCGGAAAACGAAAAGTGGCCCCTTGATGGCCGATGGCCGCCTCAGAGGTCCCCTTATGTCCCCAGCGCCCAGAGTGCTCTGCTGAGTGACCGAATGGGAAGACCCGTGCCTCTCTGTCCATGCAGGCCCAACCCCTACTGTCTTTACTCCCCTTCAATCTATCCCTCCTAAAATAAAGTCTTCTGTACTTTAACTGGCCTTCTCACTTCCTTTGAACCCTACAGTGCTAAAAACCTAACAAGTGGCAGGACCTCAAGTACTTCAGCCACCACCGCTGCCTCCCAGGGTCTGCACTGGCCCGAAGCGGAAGTCAGAACTAAAGTCAGGCACTCCAATATAGAACGCGGGCCCAGCGTCAACCACGGTGCCAGTGGCCTGTCTCTCCTTGACCCCCAACCCCATGGCATGTTACTAAAGGAGCTGTCTGTGAGGACTTTTCAGCTCCCTGGATTCTGGAACTTTCCCAGTCAATACAGTGATTTCAAGCATAGGAATGGCTTGAACTTCACCTGAAGCCAGAGAGATCCTTTTCCAAGGTAATCTGAGCCCGTCACTCCTTCACTTGACATCTTTCAGTAGGGGTTAGCATCGTGCCACGTTGCCATCTGTGATGCTGGCCTTCCACGTGGGCTCCGTTCAAGACTCAGGTGGTCCACTTCCGATCCAGCTCCCTATGAATGTGCCTAGGAAAGCAACAGGAGACGGGTGAGGTTTTAACCCAGGTTGGTGGTGTGATCTCTGCATTTTGGACAGGTACCGCGGCTGCAGTATGATACATGGATTGTCTGGGATGGAGATCCCGGGGCTGGATGGTCCAAGGTAAGAAGCCTGCCTGGTGAGAGGTCCGTGACTAGGACTGAAGGGGGCACTGCTGAGGAGGAGGGAGGGAGTCCCCCATAACACAGGTCTGTCTGGTCAAGAGGGTGAAAGCTGATCCTGTTAACTAGGATGGGAGGACAAGCAGAGGTTTGAGATTATTTAGGAAACTGTTGAATTTGGAATATTTGCATGAGGTTTAAGTAGAAGCTTTTTGGTTCCAGCGGTAGCCCCTTTCTCCTAGCAGTTCCCACAGAGAAAGGTGAGACTTGGGCACCAAATGAGCAAAAACTCAAATTCCACACCAAGTCCCAGCTGCTCCACTTCTGATCCAGCTCCTGCTAATGGATCTGGGAAAGCAGCGGAAGATGACTGAAGTCCTTGGGCCCCTGCACCCACGAGGGAGACCCGGATGAAGCTCCTGGCTCCACTCTGCAAATGGCTGCAATGCCGGCGAAGGCTGTTCTTAATTATCCTTTCTCTCTTGTCTCATCCCTTTCCTCTGCTCCTGAGCAGGGTTTGGAAGAGGCAGGTAAAGCACCTGTTACGCCTGGTATCAGGGATGGTGGAAAATCTCCATTCCCACCCTAACCTCCGACACTATCTCCAACTGCCTTTCTCCATTTTGCTCAGTAATGCTTCTCTAGTACAGAGGTGTGTCATTGTGGTGTAGCGGGTAAAGTTGATGCCTGCGACACTGGCATCCCATATGGGCACTGGTTGGTGTCCCAGCTGCTCCTCTTCTGATCCAGTTTCCTGTTAATGCTCCTGGGGAAGTAGTGGACGATGGCCCAAGTACTTGGGCTCCTGCACCCACATGGGAGATCCAGAAGAAGCTCCTGGCTCCTGGGTTCGGCCTGGCTCAGCCCAGGCCATTGCTGACATCTGGTGAATGAACCAGCAGATATAAGGCCTCTCTGTCTCTCCCTCAACTTTCAAATAAATAAATCATAAAAAAAAAAAAAAAAAGTTTCAGCTGGCGCCGCGGCTCACTAGGCTAATCCTCTGCCTACGTCGCCGGCACCTAGGGTTCTAGTCCCGGTTGGGGTGCCGGATTCTGTCCTGGTTGCTCCTCTTCCAGTCCAGCTCTCTGCTGTGGCCTGGAAAGGCAGTGGAGGATGGCCCAGGTCCTTGGGCTCTGCACCCGCATGGGAGACTGGGAGGAAGCACCTGGGTCCTGGCTTCGGATAGGTGCAGCTCCGGCCATAGCGGCCATTTGGGCGGTGAACCAACAGAAGGAAGACCTTTCTCTCTGTCTCTCTCTCTCACTGTCTAACTCTGCCTGTCAAAACAAACAAACAAAAAGCCTCTGAAAGGGTTAACTTTATTAAAGCTTGCATTATTAATCATTTCCACATGAGAGTGAGTTTCTCAGATCCTTTTCTGAGAGGAAGAGGCAGAAAAAGGAAGACAGAACCAAGAAGTTAGGAAAAGGAAGGAGGAGGGGCTGGCGCTGTGGCGTGGCGGGTAAAGCTGCCGCCTGCAATGCTGCCATCCCATATGGCTGCCGGTTCTAGTCCTGGCTGCTCCACTTCTGCTCCAGCTCTCTGCTCTGGCCTGGGAAAGCAGTACAAGATGGCCCAAGTCCTTGGGCCCTGCACCCGCGTGGCAAGACCTGGAGGAAGCTCCTGGCTCCTGGCTTCCGATCTGCAGCCAACTGGGGAGTGAACCAGAAGATGGAAGATTCTCTCGCTCACTCTCTCTCGCTCTCTCTCTCTGCCTCTTCTTCTCTCTGTGTAACTGACTTTCAAGTAAATAAATAAATCTTAAAAAAAAGAAAAAAAGAAAAAAGAAAAGGAAGGAGGAGGAAGGCAGATAGGCAGAGAGATTTGACATTTTTTAGTTTTACCTAGTGTGGTCTTTCTTCCCAGGGCTGGAGCCTGACAGGGTCTTCCCCAATCCTCCTTACATGTTGATTTAATTTCCCAATAAAAGAACAAAGAATTCCCTATAAAATAGATATCTCATATATAAAATGAAAAGCAATACTTAAAAAGTTGAGACTCTGAAGTAAAGACAAAGGTGGGTCAGTAATAGGTAATGAACAATAAACACAAAATCAAAACTACGGTCTATTATATAGAACTTTTATTTCAACAGGACAAAATTGAATGTCCAGGAATTTAAAAATCTCAAGGAAATAAGCCTGTCCCTGAGGAGAGTCTTGTATCTATATAATGGAGCTGTTTCCTAAATAGATTTGTTAATTTAATTGCTGTGGAGCACTTCTTAGCCCGTCCCAACTACTGGGGCATTCAGTAAACAGCAGGCCTGGCTTCTTAACGGATGTATCTATCTGTGAATTTTAACGCAAGAAAGCATAAATAAAACAATAAATAAATAAATAAAACTATGTGTGCACTGTTCCCTGGTGGGAAAGGGGCTCATAAATGTAGGCAAACAGAAAGGAGTCATTCAGCTCTTAAGTGTCCCCAAGACTTCAACTGAACCCTAAACCAAGACTTTGAAAGCATAAACCCTTTATGTCTTTGGATTTGAAAAGTAAATTCACTTGTCTTTAAAGAAAAATAAAAGAAAAATAAAAAAGTAAGTGTGTTCCAGTCCTTAGAGGTCTGTTTCTTGCAGTGGTATTCATGGAATCAAACAAAGAATTAAAAAAATATTCTTCAAGAATAACCACTACTCTTTGCTCTAACCCCACTCTCTGTATAGAATAGGATGTGCATTATCCTATTTACAAAATAAAGTACATTAACAACTTGTAGGTGGGAAGTGTTCAAGCTTCATATTTGGGAAGTGATTTGAGGTGTATTATCACTTTACAACACACGTCTGATGACGAGTTCAGCCAGTAGGTTCATTGTAGAGATTTATTCACGCTACTGGGCACCAGCAGACCGGAGAAGAGCAGCACAGACAAGTCAAGGATGTGGGCTGTGGGGCCAGACTACTTGGCTTTCAACCCTACATTTGCCATTTTCTAGTTGTGTGACCTTGGGCAAGTCAATTTCATGTTCAATTCCACAGCTTCGCCATCTGCAAAATGGAGATAATAACACATGGAGTGGTTACAAACATTGGAAGAGTTAATTATATATTGTGCTTAGAGGTTGGCTTATTGCAGGAACTCAATAACATTATTCATTTTGCTGAATAATTCACAAAATGAAATAGTTCTGAAGTTGAGGGTAGAACTGGTTGCATGTAGTAAGATGAAGGAGAGTTTGGTGAGGTATACATGTAACTCAGATGTGCTCTTTGTGTCGAAGGTTGGCATCTCAATGTCTTCTTGCTCTGTCTAGGGGTGAATATTTACTCCATCAGGCAACTCCTTATAGCCCAGATGTGAAGACCTCTCTTGGAAGGTGATCCCTTTTGAAGCCACACTTGGCATAAGGTCAATCCCTCAAAATAAATCCAACGTACTATGAATTACAGAGAAATCTGCTGTCATCTGTGTCTTGGAAGTGGGATGGGGATGGAATGGTGGGAAATGGAGTGAATAAGTATTCATTTTGCTCATTTCATTGCTCAACAAAAACTGAACGCAGTTCACCATGGAATACTATCTGTTCTTCACCTGCCACTTGTCCCATTTCCTGTGCTACCTCCAAGGGGCTTCTCCTCACCCTAGGGAGTTGAGCTCTGGCTCTCTGCTTATGTTCCTTAACCAAACAGGAACCCAGGAATTAGACTGACAGTGACCATTTCTCATCACTGCAGCGTGTCTCTTGGGGGTTTCCCCCTTCCATACGCAGCAATCAATGTATTTGGCTGACACAAACGAATCTCTCTGAAAATGTCTTTGAAAATTTCTCTCTCCATCTAAGCTTAAAGCGTACAATGGGAACACAACTAAGAACAGTTCCCATCTGAGAGCCATCAGCAAACCTGTCAGCAGTTGTAGGAGGGGGAATCAAAAAATGGGAAAGGAGTGGAAACCTTGCAAACATTGGATTTAATGCGATACCTCTTGCCATGTGTTTTCTTGCTTGAAGATTGTTAAGGGAAGGAGAAAGGAAGGAGAAAGGCCAGCCAAAAAGGATTTTATAAAACATGTCATTAAACATGAAACTGGAAGAATGGATTTCATTTTCTTCTTAAGACTGACAGTTAGGTAGGCTGGGCCTTGACAAAACCGCCAACAATGCTGACACTGCAATATTAACATGTGCTTGGAGCCTCTTCTAAAGCAATCCTAGACCTGTTTGTCAAGCTAGAACTTTATGGATGTTCTGCAGTGCTCAGAAGATTTTCACTGTTTCCGCAAATGCAAACCAAAAGCTGCTCTCCTTTGTATATCCAAACCCCTTAAGGGTTTTGACAGTTAGAAGGGATTGAATGGGTATAGGTAGCTTCATGCTGGCATTGCTTAAGTCTGAAAAAAAAGAGGGGGGCATTAGTTGCTTCCATGGTTTCTGAAAGGATCAGCTTTTACCTGATGTTGCCTGCCTTGCACTCTTAGGCAGGGTGACAGCCCATGCGCTTCCTCAACCAGCAAACTGTCTGCTCAGATTCTGGCTCAGTCCTCATCCTCTGCACTCGGAATAGAGCCTGGGAGGCGATCATGCGCAGAGAGGGCTCAGGGTCATGCAACAGAATTCTCAGATCTGATTGGCAAGAAAACCAAGGTTGGAGTTGAAGGTTCTGAGTTCTATAGAAATGAACACTGCTCTAGACACCAAACAGCCAGCATGCCTTCAACAGGCGAGGTCAAAGGCCAACTTTTTCTATATCTCTGTCTAAAAGTTTGTATATCATATTGGTAGATGAATTCCAATTTTCATCTAGAAAACCTACTAGTTTCTGAATTGCTAAATATTTCCCTCTTTTTAAATAATCATATAACAAATAATCTACCAAAATTGAATTATCTGAACCTGCCAAGTCATATCTAATGTTAATCTCCAAGTTCCTGTGTCAATCCCATATGTAATTCTTTTTCCTTTTTTTAAAAATTCATTTACTTGAAAAGCAGAGTGACATAGAGAGAGAGAGAGAAAGAGACAGACAGACAGAGAGCTCCTTCAACCACTGGTTCACTCCCCCAAAAGCCCTAACAGTCAGGTCTGGGCCAGGCAGAAGTCAGAAGCCAAGATCTCCATTGGATCTCCCCCATGGGTGGCAGAGACCTAAGCACTTGGGCTATCATCCACTGTCTTCTCAGGTACATTAGCAGGAAGCTGCATCAGAAACAGAGGACGTGGGTCTTGACCCAGAGCTCCAGTATGGGAAGCAAGCAACAGTTTGTTATAGTTATTCTGACTTAAGTTATTAATTTGAGTGTATATCTTCTGGTCTTTTTCTATGAATTTATTACATATGCATGCTTTTATTTATTTATTTAAGAGGTAGAGAGACACAGAGAAAGATAAGAGAGACTTTTCCTATCTGCTAGTTGACTAGGGCTGGGCTGGGCCAAAAATGGAATCCAGGAACCCACTCCAGGTCTCTCATGTGGGTGATAGGAATTCAATTACTTGAGCCACAACTGCTGCCTCCCAGGGTCTGCATTAGCGGGAAGCTGGGGTCAGGCATCCAACCTTAGCGTCCTAACCAGCATTTTAATGCCTAGGCTAAACATCTGACCCCTATGCTTTTAGTTTTTGTCCAGATGGAACCAGGTGACTTAATAATTGCTTGTCTTATTTAGTAATATCATTTATCTGAGTCATTTAAAAATTCTATAATATTTTTCATGGCTATATCTGACTCTACAATACAGATATTATATAATTTAATTCCTATCTTTTCCAATCTAGAATATTTCTCATTTTCACTATTCTTTCTTTCTTTCTTTCTTTTTTTTATTATTATTATTTTTTTTTTTTGACAGGCAGAGTGGACAGTGAGAGAGAGAGAGAGAAAGGTCTTCCTTTGCTGTTGGTTCACCCTCCAGTGGCCGCCGCGGCCGGCGCGCTGCGGCTGGCGCACCGCGCTGATCCGATGGCAGGAGCAAGGTACTTCTCCTGGTCTCCCATGGGGTGCAGGGCCCAAGCACTTGGGCCATCCTCCACTGCACTCCCTGGCCACAGCAGAGAGCTGGCCTGGAAGAGGGGCACTGGGACAGAACCGGCGCCCCGACCGGGACTAGAACCCGGTGTGCTGGCGCCGCAAGGCGGAGGATTAGCCTAGTGATCATTTTCACTATTCTAAATAACACTGAAATGAACATTCTTGTAGCTATTTCTATTTATTCTTTTTTTTTTTTCCACAGGCAGAGTGGACAGTGAGAGAGAGAGACAGAGAGAAAGGTCTTCCTTTTTGCCGTTGGTTCACCCTCCAATGGCCACCGCAGCTGGCACATCGTGGTGATCCGAAGCCAGGAGCCAGGTGCTTCTCCTGGTCTCCCATGGGGTGCAGGGCCCAAGCACTTGGGCCATCCTCCACTGCACTCCCAGGCCACAGCAGAGAGCTGGCCTGGAAGAGGGGCAACCGGGACAGAATCCAGCATCCCGACCGGGACTAGAACCCGGTATGCTGACACCACAGGCGGAGGATTAGCCTATTGAGCTGCGGCGTCAGCCTATTTATTCTTACAAGTTAAATTCTCTAGAAGTAGGATTGATAAGCCAAAGTATACATTTATCTTAAGAAGTTTGAGGGACCAGCACTGTAGTGTAGTGGTAAAACCACTGCCTGCACTGCTGGTATCCCATATCGATGCTGGTTTGAAACCCAGCTGTTCCACATCCCATCCAGCTCTCTGCTATGGCCTGGGAAAGCAGTAGAAGATGGCCCAGGTGCTTGGGCCCTTGCACCCATGTGGGAGACCAAGAAGAAGCTCCTGGCTCCTGGCTTCAAATTGACCCAGCCCTAGCCATTATGGCCATTTGGGGAGTGAACCAGCTGATGGAAGACTTCTCTCTCTTCTTGCCTCTGCCTCTCTGTAACTCTGCCTTTCAAATAAATAAATAAATCTTTTTTAAAAAAGTTAAAAAAATAGAATCATACTATGCTAATATTTAAACTATATAAATTAGAGTAAAGAGTTATTTGGGATTTTAATGTGACTTAGCATTTCATGGCATTTTCTAACTGAAAGAACACAACTTTTTTTTTTCTTTAAGGGTTTATTTATTTATTTGAAAGAGTTAAAGAGAGGAAGAAACATAGAGAGAGAGAGAGAGAGAGGTCTTCTATTTGCTGGTTTACTCTTCAAGTGGCTGCAAAGGCCAAAGCTGAGCCAGGCTGGGGCCAGGAAACAGAAGTTTCATCCGAGTCTCCCACGTGGTGCAGGAGACCAAGAACTTGAGCTACCTTCCGCTGTTCTCAGGAACATTAGCAAAGAGCCGGATCAGAAGTGGAGCAACTGGGATTCAAACCAACACTCATATGAGATGCTAATGTCACAGGTGGTGGCTTTATCCACTACTACAACCCTGGTCCCTGGAATACTTAAGTGAAAGTAAATAATTGAGCACTACATCTGCAGAGTTGTAAAATTATAGAAAATTTTCACTTGTTAACAATTCAGGAAGTCATTTATATGACTATAAAACATCCCTAGTGCCACGCCCTACCTACCACCCTATAGGACCGTGGCTTCTGGAAAAGTGCTACAGAGGCGGCTGTTGTGGCACAGCAGATTAAGTCACCACTTGGGATGCTCACATCCCACATCAGAGAGCTGATTCAAATCCTGGCTCCTCTGCTTCTGATCCAACTTCCTGCTAATCAGCCGGGGAGGCAGCAGATGACGGCTCAAGTGCTTGGGTCCCTGCCGCCCACACGGAAGACCCAGATGGAGGTCTGGGCTCAGCCTGGCCCAGCCCTGACTGTTTTGGGCATTGGGGAGTAAAAAGAAGATGGAAGGCCGGCGCCGTGGCTCAATAGGCTAATCCTCTGCCTTGTGGCGCCAGCACACCCGGTTCTAGTCTCGGTTGGGGCGCCGGATTCTGTCCAGGTTGCCCCTCTTCCAGGCCAGCTCTCTGCTGTGGCCAGGGAGTGCAGTGGAGGATGGCCCAAGTGCTTGGGCCCTGCAGTCACATGGGAGACCAGGATAAGCACCTGGCTCTTGCCTTCAGATCAGCGCGGTGCACTGGCCATTGGAGGGTGAACCAATGGCAAAAGGAAGACCTTTCTCTCTGTCTCTCTCTCTCACTGTCCACTCTGCCTGTCAAAAAAAAAAAAAAAAAAAAAAAAAGATGGAAGTTCTTGTTCTCTGTCTCTCTCTGTTACTCTGATTTTCAACAGATGAAAATAAACATTAAAAAAAAAATACTGCTGTAGTCCTCTCTGTTATACTTGTAGGATGTCATCATAACCAACTAGCAGTACTTCTTTCTTTCTCTTAAGATTTATGGCCGGCGCCGTGGCTCAATAGGCTAATCCTCCGCCTGCAGCGCCGGCACACCGGGTTCTAGTCCCGGTTGCCCTTCTTCCAGTCCAGCTCTCTGCTGTGGCCCGGGAGTGCAGTGGAGGATGGCCCAACTACTTGGGCCCTGCACCCGCATGGGAGACCAGGAGGAGCACCTGGCTCCTGCCTTCGGATCAGCACTGTGCACCAGCTGCGGCAGCCATTGGAGGGTGAACCAACAGCAAAAAGGAAGACCTTCCTCTCTGTCTCTCTCACTGTCTACTCTGCCTGTCAAAAAAAAAAAAAAATTTTACTTATTTGAGAGGCAGAGTCAGAGATGGAGAAAGAGGTGTTCTGTCCACTGGTTCACTCCCTCGGTGGCCACAAAGGCCTGAGCTGGGCTGATCCAAAGCCAGGAGCCAGGAGCTTCCTCTGGGTCTCTCACATGGGTGCAGGGGCCCAAGCACTTGGGACATCTTCCACTGCTCTCCCAGGCCACAAGCAGAGAAGGGAAGAGGAACAGCCAGGACATGAACCAGAGCCCATATGGTACACCAGCACCACAGGTGTAGGCTCAGTCTACTATGCCACAGCAGTGGCCCCTATTTCTTTCTTTTTAAAAAAGATTTATTTATTTGAAAGTCAGCATTACAGAGAGAGAGGGACAGAGACAGACTGATAGAGAAAGAGAGAGAGAGAGAAAAAAAAAAGCTTCCATTTGCTGATTCACTCCCCATTTGGCTACATGGGACTGGGACTGGGCCAGACAGAAGCCAGGAATAAGGACCTTCTTCCAGGTCTTCCATGTGGGTGCAGGGGCCCAAACACTTGGGCCACCCCCCACTGCTTTTCTCAGGCCATTAGCAAGGAGCTGGATCGCAAATGGAGTAGCCGGGACTTGAACAGGCACCCATATGGGATGCCAGCTTCGGAGGCAGTGGCTTTACCCGCTATACCACAGCTCTGGCTAGGATAGTATTTCTAAGTAATGTCGTATTTCCTGACAGATAAAGTTTAAGAACTGTTCCTTGAGACAGTCATCAAAGCTGGCTTCCTGAAATACGGGGTCATATCCTTTCCTCACACTGGGCGAGACTGTCCTTTGGCTGGAGTCCGCAGGGGCTGCCCTGCTGCATGGTATCAGCCTTTCTGGCTGCCAGGGTCTCAGCCGGACAGCACAACTGCCCACAGGCACACATCAGATGCCTTCCAATCCAAGGGGCGCCCCCTAGGCAAGGGCTTCAGCACTCACCGTCCTCTATCCAGCCAGTGCCCTGCAACTGGAGCTCACTGCGATCCATGTACTTTGCAAAGAGCCCTAAATGCAAGATAAAGTCAGTGAGTCTGTGAGCTTCCTTTCACTTTTGGAAGTTGATACCTATGTGTTTCTATCACTGAGCAGTCTAAGCAGCCGACAGCACCGGCCTTTAACAATGAGGCAGAGTCGGAAAACTGGACTTCTCAGTGCCTGGTGGTTACCCCCAGGCGACACAGCCTCTTTCTCCTAGGAGTATTTTCCAGGTCATCTTCATAAGCATGGGAACACCCAACCCAACAACACAGCTTGGGAAAGTACGCAATACGAGTGACTGTAGCAACAAAAGGATTTTCTCTGTACCTACAAACAAGACCGCAGTTCTTCTGATGGGAAGTTTGGCATCCTTGGAGTACATCAATGTTTGGGCAAGGATGTTAATTTTCCCCTTGCATTTTTTTCCCTAAGTGGGGAAAAAAGTAACAGTATAAAGCAGTGAAGTAGCAACACTACTTTGATCAGCTTCAGAGTAGTCTCCAGGGCCAGGGACTCCACCAGTGCGTGAACAACTGCAGTGGAGTTGACTAATGAATATGAGGCTTAACACACCTCACAGCACAAGGGTGGGGAACGTCTGGCCCTGCCCATGTAACCACAGGCTGGACTGGACTCATTTTTTAAGCTGATAATTTTGTACAGCCTGCCAATGATGTTATAGATGCAAATGGCCATTGGGAGAAAAAAGTTTCCCCACCCCCGCGACAAAGTCACATCCACTGAATACCGCTGGCTTGCAGCCACAGGTTGTGCCTGGGATACTTTCCAAGTCATTTTAGCTTCTCTGTGTCACAGTCAGTCTGTTCCACGTTCTGTGAGCTCTGCAGCCAGGAGCTCCTTCCTGACCATTTGCTGGCCTGACCTCACCCGGCTCCCAGCACTCTGCAGGTATGCGGCGCCTGGCACATATTGTTTCCTTTTTTTTTTTTTTTTTTTGGACAGGCAGAGTTAGACAGTGACAGAGAGAGAGACAGAGAGAAAGTCTTCCTTCCTTGGTTCGCCCCACAAGTGGCCACCATGGCCAGCGCGTTGTGCGCCGATCCGAAGCCAGGAGCCAGGTGCTTCCTCCTGGTCTCCCATGCGGGTGCAGAGCCCAAGGACCTGGGCCATCCTCCACTGCCTTCCTGGGCCACAGCAGAGAGCTGGACTGGAAGAGGAGCAATCAGGACAGAATCTGGCGCCCCAGCCGGGACTAGAACCCGGTGTGCCGGCGCCGCAGGCAGAGGATTAGCCTTGTGAGCTGTGGCGCCGGCCCACATCATTTCCTGAGTTGCTACTTAGTTTTCCACAGAGGTTTTAGCTGGCAAGTTCCTCGCAGGAAGTTTGCGTCCTGGAGTCCTCCATGGCCTGTTGTACACTGGATGTGTCACACTTCCTGGGTGAATGAGTGCAGCTCTCACTGGAGCTCTTGCAAGATCAGGCAAGATCACGTCCTAGCAGGCTGACGTGGGATGCCGGGGCTCTATGAGCTCACCAGTCTGTTTTGTGAACAGACTGTTTTGGTGGCAAAAGAAAGTGAATGTGTGACTTTAGCAGGAGAAACTGTAGAGAAACAGATCCACAGTGCAAAAAACAGTTCACAGGTATCCAGTGCTGGTGTGAAAGGGATAGGAAATGTGTCCCACACGCCGCATTCTCTCATTAAAGACAGCGTCAGAAGGAACTCAGCATGTCATCACACAGAAGTGGCTCACTTACGAAGAATCTGCAGATCGTCCCGACCTCCGTGGGTCTGATGCACCAGGGATCTTTGCAGTACACTTCTGGGGGCAGCTTCCACTTCAGGAACGTGGCGCAGATGCCGAGGACTCGCCTGCTCTCCTGTGACAAAGAGGACTCTGGGTCAGCGTCTACAAACGTGTTTTGGCTGAGGGAGCCTTTCTTCAACAAAGCAGACGCTGAGGGCTGCTGTGAGAAGCTGAGATGCAGAGAGCCCAGGGGAAGCGCAGGGTCGGATGAAAAGGAACCAGAATCCTGTCCTCCTCCTGCTCCCACACAGTCCTGAAAGGGAAAGGGAATCCATAGCATGTCCCAGGCTCTGGTGTCAGGCCCAAGTGATGGCCACCAGATGTGACACCTGCTCTGGCGACTGGGGCAGGGATCCCCACTCCCCTACCCCCAGACGCGGGCTCCAGTCACACTTCCTGCTCCTCTGATGGTTTTCTGCACAGGAAGTGCAGCTCCTGACTTCTGACTGTGCTGTCTCTGGGTTGGAAGCAACTTGAGAAGGAAGTATGTGCCATGCCGCAGCACTGTCATACTGGGAACTTGAAAACATGGATCTGTCCAGGAATAGGAGAACGGGCTAAGCTGTGGGCTAGTCACATGCCAGAATTCTAGACAGCAGTGAAAATAAGTGGATGACCTCCTAAATACGATGTTAAAACATATCAAGATATTGAAGGATTTATAGAATGATACCATATACAAAGTTTTAAAACAGGAAAAATAAGACCATGGCAATGATAAGAAAAAAATTCAGGAAAGTATTTCGTTCTAAGAGGAATTCAGCTGGAAACAGGAGGGTGATTTAGTCCTGTGTCATTCTGAGAGTGGCTCGCAGCTACATGGGTGTTTATTATGTTCTCTCTGCCAGTTGTCCTCAAACCCATTTTATCCTGGAGCCTCTCCTCTCTGCTTAGATACCCTCAGGATAGCCTGGAAGACATGGCTAGCGGTTGTTTGAGGTTTGAAGGAAAGTAAACCCCAGGCCTTGGCTGCTCTAGACCTTGCCTGACTGCCAAGGACCGATGGGGCAGGAGCGGGCCATCAGCACTGCCATGTATTGTGACCCCCACCAGGGTGCTTGGAAACTCTGCTCTCTGTTTCCTGGGGTATGAAATAGTTCATATTTATGGTGCTAGGGCCATACATTTCCCCCTTTAAAGGTGGCTTCTAATGTGTGGGACAATACTAAGAGGGTGACATTCCCAGCTGTCCACCCCCTACCAACTTCAGACGAGGATGGAGTAAATGGAAAGTCATAACTCTTAGGGCAAAAACCTTGGAAAACTAAGGCGTAGCAAAGGCTTCCCCAGATTGTCAGAGAAGCCACTGTCTTTGACTTGGCCCCAACATAGTCTATTTATCTCAAGGTCGAAAGGTAGTTCTTAAAGGGAAAGAAGAAAGGTAACAACGTTATCATTGTTGGGGCTGGCACTGGGGCGTAGTAGGCTAAGCCTCCGTCTGCAGTGCCCGCATCCCATATGGGTGCCGATTCATCTCCCGGCTGCTCCTCTTCCAACTCAGCTCTTTGTTTATGGCTGGGAAAGCCCAGCTTGCTGAGTTGAGCATTATGTTTAGGGTCCTGTGCTAGGCTGAATATCAGAGTAAAGCTACAGAGAGGATAATGCATTGTTCTTACCCACAAAGGGTCATGTCGGTTTGCTTTTATCCATCTGAGAGGCAAAGAGAGGCGAAAAGGTGTGTGTGTGTGTTGGGGGGGCGGTTCTCCCATCTGCTGGTTTACTCCCCAAATGCCTGGAACAGCTGGGCTGAGCCAGAGCAGAGGCTGGCATCTGGGGACTCAATCAGGTCTTTCCCATGGTGGCAGGGATCCAATCACTTGACCTATCACTGCTGCCTTCCAGGGTCTGAATTCTCAGTAAACAGGAATCAGGAATCAGGTACTCCCATATGGGACATGGGTATTTTAATTTGTAGGCTAAATGCTCACCCCGGAAAAGGGCAATGCTTTGCTATATAGAAATAAAGAGTAAGATTTTTCCCACTATTCACTTGGGCAAGAGTAACTGCCAAATGGCTTGGAGAAAACGGGGAGCAGAGAGGGCACCACAAAGTCCTGCCCTTCCAGGACGTGCGTGCTTATCCGCAGCGCTGGCCCTGGTTCTGCAGTCATTCTGGGCTGCAGGAAGGTGACAGCAGACACTACCTCAGCGACTGTGTCAGTGTCGTCCTGAGAATACAGCAGCAGCGGCACCAGGCTGCCCAGGACTTGGCTTTCCACACCCTTCTTATCTGTGCACTTCACGGACTTTACGGCGGCTCCAAAGAGGGTCATGGAGAAGTGGTGCACGTCAGGTCTCGCCTAGGAAGGGAGCATCCGAAGGGAAGCCACTCACCACGTGTGCTCACGCTCAGCTCTCACAAGCTCTGGCCGGGCTCAAGTGTCAGTCTCAACCCAAGTCTATGAAGCCGCCTGCACTTGAGGCCAAGGAATCAAACACACGCAGCCAAAGCCAGACCTGCTCTGTGGCACTGCCTGTTCTCTCTATAGATGAGAAGGAGGCACAGGCCCACCAAAGCTTGTGCCCAGTACTGGTGTGGACTGTTCACAGAAATCCTAGCCTTAGCACCCCCTTCCATGGGTGCTGGCCACGGTGTTCCACGTATTCTTTTGGAAAAACTTTTGGGATTTAAGACAAGGAAATAAGTATAATCTACCACCATGATCCGGATTGTTCCTTGTAAGGAAAGAGAATGCTACTATGCAAACTCCTTCTCCACCCCACAAAGCAGGGGATTAACGTGCTACCAAGCTTCTGTCTTAGGCTTTTTTTTTTTTTACCAGAAACCCAATAAGCCTTATCAATATCATAGGATTTGTGGAAGGAGATCTGAATGTGCCCTGAAAGCAGGAAGTATTGTATAAAATATGGGGTGCTTATTACCGCTTCTTCTACTCACTGCTGGGCCAAGGGCCCTCCCCCAGGAGCGTCTCTCCTCCCACTGTCGTACGTCACCAAACAAGGAGAACACAGTCCGCATCAGGGATGCCAAGGTGGTGGGATCCATTGTCCTGACAACGTGCAGCAGGATCTGGATGGCCAGCAAGACGATCCTCTTGTCGGCCTCGCACAAACAGTCCACAACGTACGGCAGCAGGCGGCTGAGGTCTTCCTGCTGTGTGGCCACAGAGAGCGCGTCTGCACCTCTCCCCCTGCTTCCTCAGTCCCCAGTGCAGGCTGGAGCTTTCCCAGCACTGCTGGTCTCTCAGGATCAGCAGGCCTGACACGCACAGGCGGCGGCAGGGCAGCTGTGAGCGATCGCCCAGGGCCTAAGGGGGACTCCGTGAGGGAGGTCCAGGGAGATGGACTTAGCCTTCCTGAAAGGAAGGGCTCCTCAGACACAGAGAAAATGGCTCAGGTCATGGGAGGAGTCCCCAACATGGAAGGGATCCAAATAGAGGCTCAAAGACCCCTTGGCAAGCATCTGAGCCGAATATGACTGGGGACCCCAGCGGGCCCTTCCCATTCTGAACTGGAATCAGCTCTGTTGAACATCCTAAAATGAAGCAGTCTCAGGTCTTTCAAGTTTAAAACAGACAGGTGAAAAAGTAACTGGAATGAAACAACGAAACAAATGTATCCGCTCAACCAGAATTGACCTATGCTAACCTTGGTCATTTTGACTTCAGGAATATATGTGTATTTTTAAATGAAAGCTCTAGAACTCCAGTGACAAATCTGAAGTCTCAAGGGTTAATCGTCTCTTCCGAATATGGCCTATTTTCTAGCCACAGTCTAGACCTGTGGAAAGTGAGCCCTGTCCAACGTGCGTGCCAGGGATCTCACTCGTGGGCGATGAGGTCTTCAGGGCTGCCCAGTGGCCCAGGTCTACATGGTGTGAGCCTGGCCCCACCGAGGCCCTGTGAGGGAGCTCACAATAAAAAAGGACCCCGGACCGCTGCCCAGGTTGTGATAATGAGTCACCTCCCACACAAACTGCGGGTTCAAATCTCACACACGTATGTGACTCGGACTTGGTTATTTCTGCTTATTTTGCTGATTTTTTAATAGCACTTCTACAATGCTTAGGTACAAAATAAAAAACGGCACGGAAGGACAGGCAGGGAAGGAGCCCTTCCCCCGTCTCCTGCCCCATGCCACCCACTCCCGCTCCTCAGCCGCCCCCTCTCTTGTGGTGACCTTTGTGGGACGCCTCATTGTGACATAGGAAAAGCAGGGTCTGGGGCCCCCTACCATCTCCTGGTGTCTGACGAGGTTGTGCAGCCCTCTCAGGGCAAGGACTCTGAAGAGATCATTTCCACAGTGTAGCCATTCTCTCAGGCGGGCCATGGAGTAGACGCCAGGCAGGCGCTTAGCCACTGGACTCTGGAGCAGCTGAAAGAACCCGGAGATCAGCCACAGAAATGACCGCTGATCCCCTTCTCATGCGGGGAGCTACCCTACCCCCGACTCCCTAACACCTATTCTCTACAGGGGCCAGTGCTATGGGGTAGCCGGTAAGATGCCGCCTGTAGTGCCGGCATTCCATATGGGCACCAGTTCGAGTCCTGGCTGCTCCACTTCTGATCCAGCTCTCTGCTATGGCCTGGGAAAGCAGTAGAAGACGGCCCAAGTCCTTGAAGCCCTGCACCCTTGTAGGAAATCCAGGAGAAGCTCCTGGCTTCGGATCAGCACAGCTCCAGTCATTGTGGCCAATTGGAGAGTGAACCAGAGGATGGAAGACCTCTCTCTCCCTGCCTCTCTTTTCTCTCTGTGTGTAACTTTGACCTTCAAATAAATAAACGGGAAGGGGAGAGGAGGGGAGGGGGAGAGGAGGGGAGGGGAGGGGAGGGGAGGGGAGGGGAGGGGAGTGGGGGGAACCTCTACAGAGCAGCACACACACGACAGGGCAGGGGGCGGCTGAAGAACGTGTGCAAAGGCTTCCAGCCGGAACCTGAGCAGGTCCTGTGCACCTGCCGTGGCTCGGCCTGTCCTGAAGCAGGCCGTCGGCGCGGCTTTCCAGGCTTCCTGGATCCCACGGCGCCAGCCTTACCTCCACAAAAAAGCCTGCAGCGGTGAGCTGGTGCTTGTCGTTCCCTCGGTGGAGCAGAGGGACCAGCAAGTACATGACCTTATGCGCGAGCAGGTGATTTCTTTCCAGCAGTGTACTGCGAAACAGAAGGCGACAGAGGGCACAGGGACTCTCTGAGACGCTGTCTCCCGGGGGGAGAGGGGAGCAGGAGGACATGGTCTCAGGGCTGGGGCCCCGGATGTTTTGGGCCAGCTTCAGGGACACGGGCAGGGAGGGCAGGGCATTCGGGAAACGTGCCCCTCCTTTGATGAGAAGGTTGTGGATTCTTACATGCTGTGACGACCGACAAGGGAAACCAGACCCAAACCAACCCTGACTTAGAGCTGGTGGTTCATGCACGAGCCTTACTTGGCAAGGAGAAACACTCCCTGAAGATGGCAGTCACTTCCACCCAGAAGACTCCATCCCCTGTTCCTTTCAATGGTGTAGAACTCCTGCCAGCACAGCGTTCTGAGGAGAAGCGTCTTTGTGGCCTGCAGGGCGAGGCTAAATCAAAGGAAACCAGAAGGGGTGGATACAGGAGGTGCCTCCAGCCCCCAGCACCCGATGGCCCCGCAATACTCACGGACAGCCGCTTGGCTCTAGCTCTCTCCCTCCAAGATTCCCAAGACTCCTAACACCCTAAGAGCTGCAAAGACCCTTCACTGTACATGTTCTCGGCATAAAGAAATGTAGATTTTGCTTCCCCAGGAATTTGGGAGGAAATCTAAAAAGAAGGATCTGGGGTGCCAACCAGATACCTACTGTTTTTTTTTTTCCTTCAGCTTTATTGAGATAAAATTTACACCCCGTAACACTGATTGCTGGGGCCAGCATTGTGGCGCGACAGGTGAGGCCGCAGCTTGTGATGCCGGCATTCCATTTCAGAGCGCTGGTTCTGAGTCCTGGCTACTCTGCTTCTGATCCCGCTTCCTGCGAATGCAGCTGGGACGGCAGTGGAAAATGGCCCAAGTACCTGGGCCCCTGCCACCCATGTGGGAGACCCAGATGGGAGTTCCTGGCTCCTGGCTTCAGCCTGGTCCAGCCCTACTGTTGCTGCCATTTGGGGAATGAACCAGCAGAAGTTCTCTTTCTTTGTTTCTCCCTCTCCCTGACACTCAGCCTTTAAGTAAATAAATAAATCTTTAAAACAAACACCAGATTCCTCATTGCCCAACACTGTGGACACAGCATCAAAGGATCATGAAGCTGGGCAGGTCCTCGGGGGGCAACCTGCTTGACCTTCTCATTTACAGATAAGGAACAGCTCATCAAGGGGACAAATGTGAACGAGAAGTCAGGCTCCCTCGGTTCCCCGAGTCTCTTGTTCTTGAGAAGCTGCAGTATAGCACTTCCTCTGAGACAACCCAGGCAGCACAGCAACACTGAGAGGGTTCTTCTGAGACCTAATGGGGAGCGAGAAGTCTCCCTGCACACAACGAAGCAGAAATGGAAGCTCTGCTTGCCTCGGCCTCTCCTGGGTCTGCGAGGAGGGGCTGGCGGGCCCTTGCCTGTCACGGTGCAGGGCATCTAGCTCCAGACAGCTAAATCACTGCTTAGGGACAATGGTACCCAGGACCCCCAGGGAGAGCCAGCCAGATCCCCAGGCAACAGCAGGTTCCCCCGCCCCCCCCCCCCCGCGGTGAAATCCCAAAGCCAGTACCACAAAGGGGTGACCTCAGACGACATTTCCCGCCCTGTGTAGAGGCCACTGGGGATGGCGACGTCGGACATGCGGAGGCCAATGCTGTGGTGAACCTGGACAAGCAGGGTCATGAGGAGCTGTGGGAGGAGTCGGAACGTCGCTGCCCGGAGCCTGTTGCCCACGAACACCTCATAGAGGGCGTTTGTCGCCTGTGGAGAAAGGCACAGAGCAGAACTGAGCGCCTGCCAGCCCTCAGCCTCACTTCGGCTCTGCTTCGCCGGAACACGCTTTCTGGTTCTAGGATCCCAGAGCACAACAGCAGGGCCATCAGTCTAGGGACACAAAAGTGAGGGGGGAAGGGAGGAGGAGTGAAGCAGGCACTGAGAGCTGTCAAGTGGGGGCCGGCCCTGCGGCACAGGAGGGTAAGTCACTGTCTGCGATGCTGGCACCCACATGAGCGCTGGTTCAAGTCCCAACTGCTCCACTTCCAATCCAGCTCTCTGCTGATACGCCTGGGAAAGCAGTGGAGGATGGCACAAGGGCTTGCGCCCCTACACCCTCGTGGGAGACCTGGAAGAAGCTCTTGGCTCCTGATTGGCTCAGCTCCGGCCATTGCGACCATTTGAGGAACGAACCAGCTGAAGGAAGACCCCTCTCCCTGTCTCTCCCTCTCTCAGTCTGAAACTATGCCTCTCAAGTAAATAAATAAATCTTTAAAAAGATAATCCAAAGACTATGTGACAGGGACTGCATAGCCTGCAAAGTCTAAAACATTCACCACCAGTCCTTTACAGAATCAGCTTGCCGCCCTGCTCACGGCTGCCTCGGCTTTCTGTTTTGTACGTTCTGCGTGATTTCACACGCGCTTCATGAATGTGTATTATCTGTTACCTGTGATGGCAAGCACGTTTTGAAAGGGCAAGGGGAGGAATGTTCACAACATGTTCAGGCATCCTGCTTCCCTCACCGTCCCCAGCTCGATCCGGGCCGCTCCTCGGTCAACATGATGGCTTCAAGACCAACCACAGAGGCGCACTCGGAGGAACACCACCAGCCGCACTCTCCAGAGGGGGCGTCGGCTGCAGCACCTGGCGCAGGAGCTTGCAGGCTGCAGGGGGCGGGCAGCGCGCCGCGACTTACCGCCACAGCCATGTAGGCCATCTTCTCCTGGGCAGGCAGGTTGTGGTATTTCTGCAGCTTCCTCAGAAGCCGCCACAGAATCCAGGTCGTGCTGGGCAGCTCCACCTCCAGGTTCCTCCACAGCTCGGCCAGGTGCCTAGAGACCCCAACGGGCACGAGAGTGCAGGAGAGTGGCTTAACCCAGGCCTGTCACGCCCCCAACCTCCCCAGAGACTTCCTGCAATCCTCTCTGCTTAGTTCTTCAGGTTACCCGATGACTCACTCTCTGACTTCCTAACAGTCACTCCCAAGGTTTTATTGAATTAAGACACCACTTCAGCACAGCCATCAAGGCCGTGCCTCAGCCACGCAGTCCCGACATTCCCCATCACACGCTCCCTGCCACAGCTACCCCAGACCGCTCACCTTCACCAAACCAAACCAACCACGGGCTCCAGCTCCCTGCTCATGCTCCTGGGAAAGCAGTTACAGATGGCCCAAGTGCTCGGGGCCCTGCACCCACGTGGGAGACCCGGAGGAGGCTCCTGGCTCCGGATTGGCTCAGGTCTGGCTGTTGTGGACATTTGGGAAGTGAGCCAGTGGTTGGAAGACCTCTCTCTCTGTCTCTGTCTCTACCTCTCTCTGTAACTCCTTCAAATAAATAAAATAAATCTTTTTTTTAAAAAAGTCTTCATTCTGGATTTCGTGGGCTGTTCCCTTACGTGGAGGCATCATATTCTGATTAATACCAGGGGTATATCTCTCTTATCTCACGGGATTTTTGAGGGCAACCACATTCCACAAAACTCTGAGCTGAGGGACAGAGCCAGTTGAATGCAGAGGCTACCAGGGCTCTGTTACCTGTCATACGGCACCGGGTGACACAGCAGGTGGCTGAGCACCGTGTCCGTGTACTTGGGCCTGGAGATGAACAGACTCACGGTACGGATGATTTGCTGGCGCACTCTAGGCTGGCTGATGGTGGACAGTCGGGCACAGATAACTCCCATGATTTCCGGCACCTGGGGAGGAAAAAAAACCACCAAGACCTCAGTCCTGTGGGACACTGATGGCTTCTGAGGAAGCTGGGGCCGTTCTCGAAAGGCCATAGGAGTGGCTTTTTTAACAATGTTGTTTTCTTTTTAAAAAAGATTTATTTATTTATTTGAAAGGCAGAGTTACAGAGAGGCAGAGAGGGAGAGAGGGAGAGAGGTCTTCCATCCACTGGTTCACTCCCTAGATGACCGCAATGGCTAGAGCTGAGCTGATCTGAAGCTGAGAGCCAGGAGCTTCTTCCAGGTCTCCCATACTGGTACAGGGGCCCAAGCACTTGGGCCATCTTCTAGTGCTTTCCCAGGCCAAATCAGAGAGCTGGATTGGAAGTGGAGCAGCTGGGACTTGAACCAGCGCCATATGGGATGCTAGCTCTATAGGCAGCAGCTTAAACCACTACGCCAAGGTTCTGGCCCCTAAAAATTTTTTCTTTAAAAACATTTATGATCAAAACTATTTACAGCACATCTGTATGCATATAAAATGATTCAGCAGAATATATATACAAAGATGCTAATAATGTGCTTCTGAGTGATCCTAGATAAATTTTTGCTTCTACATTTTTCTAATTTTAACTCAAAGATTATGTATTGGCTTTTTTTTCAAAGCTGTATTTATTTATTTTTGAAAGGCACAGTGACAGAGAGAGAGAGATCTTTCATCTGCTGGTCACTCCCCCAAAGAACACTCAGCAAATTAGCAGGGAGCTGGGTTGGAAAGGGAGCAGCTGGGACTGGAATCGGCATTCTGAGATGGGATGACGGCATTCCAAGTGGTGGGTACCCCACAGTGCCACATCACCTGCCATCGCAAGGAAGCCTTTCCACCCTGGCCTTCCTCCCACGGATGCTATCAGCTCAGGTGAAGAACACGGGAGCTCTTTGGCTTTCGTCCCTTTCCCGCCCACAGACTCACTCATGGCTTCGAGTCCCTGAAACGTCAGCCTCTCAGACGCAGGCTCTCAGGAACCTTATATACGATGGCTGTCCCCCACACCAGCAGCCAGAAACTGCCTTAAGGATGGGTGCAGGATGCAATTCTGGCCAAGGAAACAAGGGCAAACCTCCTGGGGGTTTCTGGCACAGGTTTTCTTCCCTGAGTAAAGGGACAGGAGGAAGGCAATGCGTTTCTTCTTGCTGGAGACAGTCTTACTACTCACCCATCTGCAATGGCTGCAACTTCCTGTGGGCCATGCCGACAGGAGAAGCAGAAAGACGGAAAAGCCCCTGAGTCATTGACGGCACTGCTGAGTCATGAATCAGTCCTGGAAATCCTTCTTAGTGCATAAGGCTAACAATGCTTTAGTGAAGCTCCTAGCAGTTGATGTCTTTTGCCACTGAGGCCACTCAGCTGACACAAGTGTCCATCTCACTACGTGCTCACCGTACTGCTCTTTTTGCATCTTTGCCATTCTAATAGGTGAAAAAATGAGTTCTCATCATTTTTAAGTCAATTATGATTTTTTCTTACCAACATAATTTTGCAAGTCCAGTGGATTTCAAGGCTCTCTTCCATGTTCCTCAGGTCTGCTCCCCAGAGACAATTTCTTTCATCCCTTTTACCTCTTTAAGTATGTCCTTCTACACTCTGGATGATAGATTTTTTATTTCCTCTTTTTCTGGCCGTTCTTCCTCTCTTTTAAAAGTAAATCTTTGAGAGGCAGAGAAACAGAGAAAGAGACAGATCCAGAGCGAGAGTGAGCTTCCATCTGCTGGCTCACTCCAAAAGTGCCTGCAGTGGCTCTCATCTGGGGGGCAGGGACCTAGTAGTAACTCGACCCATCACCACTGCCTACAAGGTCTGCAATGCAGGAAGCTGGTGTCAGGAGTGAGCCAGGCACCAAGGCCAGGCATGCTCCGCCAGGGGATGCAGGCATCTGAGCTGGCGCCTTAACCTCTAGGCCAACAAATGACCTCCAATGTATTTTCTTTATGCATCAGATTCAGATCATTTCTCGTATTTTAAGAGAAGTCTGAGGGGCTGGCATCGGGAGACAGCAGGTTAAATGCTGCTTGTGATTTCCACCATCCCACAGCAGAGTGCTGCCGTGAGTCCTGGCTGCACTGCTTCTGATCCAGGTTCCTGCTCATGTATTTGGGAAAGCAGTGGATGAAGGCCTAAGTACTGGGTCCCCTGTCACTCACATGGAAAACCAGGATGGAGGTCCCAGCTCCTGACTTCAGCCTGGCTCAGGCTCACTACCGTGATCATGGGAAGAGTGAACCAGCGAATGGAAGATTTCTCTCTCTCTCTCTCTCTCTCTCTGTCTCACTCTCTGATGCTCTGTCTTTCAAATAAAGTAAATAAATGAATCCTAAACAAACAAAAAATATAAGGGCCAGTCTTGCGGCATAGGAAGTTAGGCCACTGCCAGTAACACTGGGATCCCATATGAACACTAATTCCAGTCCTGGCTGCTCCACTTCCGATCCAGCTCCCTGCTGAAGTGCCTTGGGAAGCAGCAGAGGATGACTCAAGTGCTCTGGCCCCTTTATCCATCTGGGAGACCTGGAGGAAGCTCCTGGCTCCTGGCTTTGTTCTGCCCCAGTCATTTGGGGAGTGAACCAGTGGATTAAAGATCTCTGTCTCTCCCTCTCCCTCTGTGATTCTGCCTTTCAAATAAATAAATCTTTTTTTTTTTTTTTAAATAAGGTAAGTCTGCTTCTTTCTAGGGTCACATGGGTGGCAGGTGTCCCAGGCAACATCTTAACTGCTGAGCCAAACACCTTTTCTTTTTTTTTTTTTAGATTGATGCCTTCAACCCCTTGGGGTGAGTGTCTAACTTGAAGAAACATTCCCACATGTGTTAATTATATCTCCCCAGGGGCTGCTGCTTATGACACCATATCAGCGTGCAAGTTCAAGCCCAGGCCGTTCTGCTTCCAATCCAGCTTCCTGCTAATGTGATGGGGAAGGTTCAAGTGCCAGGGCCCCTGCCACCCACAGGGAGCTTCCTGGCTTCAGCCTGGCCCAGCCCTGGCTGTTGCAGACATTTGGTGAGTAAACCAGCATTTGGAAGATCTCTCTCTGTCTCTCTCTCTCCTTGTTGCTCTTTCAAATAAATAAATCTTTTTTTTTTAAAGATTTTTATTTATTTATTTGAGAGGTAGAGTTAGAGACAGTGAGAGGGAGAGACAGAGAGAAAGCTCTTTTTTTCCATTGGTTCACTCCCCAAATGGCCGCAACTGCCAGAGCTGCACTGATCCGAAGCCAGGAGCCAGGAGATTCCTCGGGGTCTCCCACACAGGTGCAGGGGCCCAAGGACTTGGGCCATCTTCTACTATTTTCCCAGGCCACAGCAGAGAGCTGGATTGGAAGAGGAGCAGCTGGGACTAGAACCAGCACCCATATGGGCTGCCAGTGCCGCAGGCAGAGGATTAACCTACTGCGCCACAGCACTGGCCCCAAATAAATAAATGTTTTACAAAAATTTTATCTCCCCAGAAAAACCCTACTCTCTGGACCACATCTTAGATCTCTAAAGTCTCCCTTCCCGTTGTGTGCACAGTGTTTGTTCAGCATATGCTTACCGAATGCACGAACGCGTGTGACCAAATGGACTGCAGCTTTGCCCTCATGCCTGAGAGGTTGCTCTCAGCTGAAGAGCAGCAGCAGAGCAGACCCGAGTGACCGCAGGCGCAGGGAGGTCTTGTTAGGGCCCACCACCCCGGAAGTGCCCGCTGGGCTTTTACCTTCTCAAATCGGGACTCCGCACTTTTCACCAAGGTTATTAGCAACTCTCCGGCCGACTGCTGGGTGCAAGGATGCTTCTGGGTGTTCAGGCCATCCAGTGTAGTCATTACAAATTGGCAGAGCTCACTTGCATTGAGAAAAACTTCAAAGACCTGAAAAGGTGCAGGAACATGCACTAAGACACAGGGGTATGACAGAAAGAGCCCTGATCGGGGACTGGATTCGAAGTCAGCAACCAGAGAAGCGTACAAGATGCACAAGGCTGTTTCCGTCAGCGTTATTGACAACAGGGATAAGCTGGGTGCAAACCAAAGGTGCGGGCCTTGCCCGTGCATGGACTCATCTCTGCATGCCTTGTCCGTGCATGGCCTTGTCTGTGCGTGGCCTTGTCCGTGCGTGGCCTTTTACCATGGTGACTTTTAGAAAGGAGCTTGGTTATTTAATCCTCTGCAAGATCACAGTTTACACGAGCAGGACCAAAGCAAGGCCCCATGTTGCACAGCTGACAGGGTCCCTGGTACAGCTACAATGCCTTGTCAGCAGATAGTATGCTTATCGAATGTACCATTCTGATTCTCGTTGAACTTGGCAGTATAGTTCTCTGCTATGATTATAGTAGGCCCAGTGTACTGGGCACTTACTATAGACAAGCATCTACCCAAACATTTTCTAGAGTACGTCTCATTTAACCTTTGTGGTAACTGAGTTATTACAGTTTATGGAGTTACCCATTGTACAGACGGGAAGACTGATGTCAAAAGAGATTAAGTTACCTAACACCACTGATTCTACAGGAGTAAGATCTCTGTAGGTTTCCTTCTCTTTCCTTAACCTTTAACATGCCTGTTCCCCTGGAGATAGAAACATTTATTGGATAAAGAATAACTACAAAAATTAAAAAGCAAATGGTTCATTGGACCAACCACACTCTTTTACAGCTCCCTCCGTGTGTAAAGAGTTTACACGCGGCCGGCGCCACGGCTCACTAGCCTAATCTTCCGCCTAGCGGCACCGGCACACCGGGTTCTAGTCCCGGTCGGGGCGCCGGATTCTGTCCTGGTTGCCCCTCTTCCAGGCCAGCTCTCTGCTGTGGCCCGGGAGTGCAGTGGAGGATGGCCCAAGTGCTTGGGCCCTGCACCCCATGGGAGACCAGGATAAGTACCTGGCTCCTGCCATCGGATCAGCACAGTGCGCCAGCCGCAGCGGCCATTGGAGGGTGAACCAACGGCAAAGGAAGACCTTTCTCTCTGTCTCTCTCTCACTGTCCACTCTGCCTGTCAATAAATAAATAAATAAATAAATAAATAAATGAAAGAGTTTACACGCACAGGAGGCTGGTAGCTGTGGGAGTGGGAGTGGAGCTAGGCCAACGGGAAATCCCGAGGTGCTGGCCTCCCTGAGAGGCTGAGCTAATGCACTAAGCCAAGAGGGCGAGACGCGGAGGAGTCACCGGCACAGTGCCTCGGTTTCCCTTTCTCTGGGCAGTCTTGCCTGGGGAGCTTTGTAAGAGACCACCAGGAAGTCTCTCAAAGTGGATTTTGCCATTTTACATTTGCACGAACGAATCAAGCTGCCCGTCTTCGTGCGCGCAGCTGTTCCAATTACCTGGGCAATTTTGAAGGGACAGTTGTAGAACTGTTTAATACTGTACAGCTCCAGGAGTCCTCGACATTTCTTCAACGCGTTTTTCAAGTCTTGGTGATTTTTCTTGTCATGCGTGATGTCTAAGTAAAAAAGATGACAAAAATTACCTTCTGTTTTTCTAGTTTTGTTGCTGTTGTTTGCTTGTTTCTGGTTTGTTTGTTTGTTTGTTTTTTGTTTGTTTTGTTTTTTTGTTGTTGTTTTTTTTTTTTTTTAGAGAGAGACACACACAAAGAAACCTCCCGTCTGCAATGGCTGGGCCTGGGCCAGGGCTGAAGCTGGGACCTGGGAACCCAATCCAGGTCTCCCACGTGCATGGCAGGAACAACTGCTCACACCATCGTTACTGTCTCCCGGCGTTTGCATCAGCAGGAAGCTGAAGTCAGGAGTCAGAGCTGGGACTCTAAGCCAGGTATTCTGATGTGGGACTCGGGTGTTTAACTACTGGACTTGTACACGCAAACCTGATTTTTTCTTCTTGATTTTACAAGTCCAGCCAATTTCCAGGTTGAAGTGGGTCTCAAGATCTTATTCTCTTGTCTTTTTCACTTGAACAAAAATGTTGGTTGCAGCTAGTGTGAGTTCATCTGAAGGCGGATTTGCTTCCCCTTGCTTGCAGGGCAATGTAAAGAATGAACCAAAAGAAAGACTGTTTTGTGAGAGCAGAGCTTTTGGGCAATCTGTGAGTAGGGACAGGGTACACTTCCTCATTTCCCCACTGATAAGTTTGAGCGTCTCTCTGTGAAACTCAGCACCCACCAAAAATTGCCCTATTCTATACTGTCTGGTAATTCCCAAATAAGAACGCTTTGCCTTGTTAATTCCCATGTTTTATTGCTGGAAATTGATCTATGGGAAGTCTTTGAGCCCTGGGATGAGGATCTGTCTCTCCAACTAGAAAATAAGTTCCCAGGGACCAGGGACCTTGTCCGTCTTGTTTACAGATGCAACCCTAGAAGAGTAAGTGCTTCATAAATATTTGCTGAATCAGCATCAGTTGTATTTCCTCGACTGTGGATCTGGGTGGACACTGTTCATACTCACAGGTGGCCAAAGGTGGGACGGTTGCTTTGGGAAGGGCAGAGTTTCTCTAACAGTGGGATGAACGAGCCAGGGCAGGGCAGCTTCAGGTGGGGATGGAGGAGACTGAGATGAGAACACGGCCAGGAGCTGAGCGGGCAGCCTTCCCTGCCTTCCTCCTTCCAGCGGGGAGGCCAGGGACTCACTCTTTGACTTTGGGGGGGGGGCTTCGTGCTCCTCTCTCTGCCTGATGTTTCTCTTCAGAGCCACCTTTCCCGAACCCCATCACTAGATGTGGTTTTCATTCACGGTCCCTGTAATTCCCTTGGTAACGGCTATCTTAGCTGGGAACAACCATTGTTTGTTGAGTCTTTGTCTGACCCTCCCTCCTTCCACCACCTGTCTTTAAGACTGGGACTGGGACCACTTGTGTTCCAGGCATTGCTGAGTAAAGAGTAATTAAACACTGATGGGATAGATAAGTGAATGAGGCCCAGGTGATGGCAAGAAGCTCTCCCACTCGCAACTAAGCTCAAATCTCCCACCTGCTCCCAGGCCGCTTGTTTGGCCTGCCATGGCCCTGCAGGCAGCTGATGAGTCACAGCTCTAACGACTCAGCCCGAGCCGCCACATTTCTGCCTTTGGAACATGCACCTGTCTGCTGCTGGATTACCAGGAAATCTTTCCAGAGCACGGGGGTGAGGGCGCAAGAGGACCGAGGCGGGCCGGCGCAGCCTTCCGTGGGGTCTTACACTTCAGCCTCAGGGTGACGTGCAGCAGGTGGTGCGTGCCCTCGGCCGCCTCCTCGGCCACCTCCTTCAGCGGGTCCCCACACAGCAGAGCCATCATGGCCACGAGGTGGCCAAGTCTCTGGAACTGCAGCGGAAGCTGATTTAGAAGGAAAAAAAAATACCCTCAAGATACAGATTCATTTAGTGCCTTCAAGTGGACTTATTGAGACGTCATTTCTATCCCCAGTAAGAGAAGTGCAAGGTCCCATTAAGCCCTTGGATCTCTGAAGGACGAATTTTTTTTTAATTTAAAATTTTTTAAAAGATGTATTTTATTTATTTGAAAGACAGAGTCACAGAGAGAGGTAGAGTCAGAGAGAGAGGTCTTCCATCCGATGGTTCACTCCCCAGATGGCCGCAATGGCCAGAACTGCACTGATCCGAAGCCAGGAACCAGGAGCCAGGAGCCCGGAGCTTCCTCTGGGTCTCCCACGTGGGTGCAGGGGCCCCAAGACTTGGGCCATCTTCTGCTTTCCCAGGCCACAGCAGAGAGCTGGATCAGAAGTGGAGCAGCCAGGACTCGAACTGGTGCCCATATGGGATGCCGGCGCTGCAGGCTGGGGCTTTAACCTGCTGTGCCATAGCGCTGGCCTCAGGACGAATATTTCTATAAAAAGTAGTTACTTACTTATTTGATTTGAAAGAGATACGGAGGTGGGGGGAGAGAGAGAGAGAGAGAGAGAGAGAGAGAAGGCAGAGAGAGTGAGTGAGTTTCTATCCTCTAGTTCATGTTGCAAATGCCTACAACAGCTGGGGCTGGGGCAGGCCAAAGCTGGGAGCCTGGGGGCCGGCACTGTTGTTGGGGGAACAAGACAAGTTTGAGGCTCTGTGTGTGCAAGTGGCCCACAGACCCGTAAGGAAGTGAAGAGGGCACCGAACACAGTGAACTCTGTCCTAGTCCCGCACAACGCTGCGTTGGCTGTGTGAGAAGCGCACAGCATCCTCCTCTCTCGGTGTTGTGGATCATGTCTCCGTGTTTCCTCTCCCACAACCTAGAGTTCTTACTGACCTATGTTGCAGTTTTGTGGAAGACAAAGCCTCCCTGTGAAAGCTTGAAAAGGAAAGCGTTTGGCTGGTCTCCAGCGCCACCCTGTGCCTCCCATCACTCCTCTACCCTCTCTGAGACGCGCCAGGGCGCTGCCTGAGAGAGGCAGTGGCACACCGTGGTGCAGTGGTTCAGCCACTGCGTGTGATGCCAGCATCCCATACTAGAGTGCTGCTTCCAGTCCCTGCTACTCTGCTTCCGATCCAGCCCCCTGCCCGAAAAGGCAGTGGAAGGTGCCTTAAGTGCCCTCTCTTTGTCACTCTGCCTCTCAAATAAATAAAATGAATTAAAAAACAAAAGCTGGGATCCTAGCATTCAATCTGGGTCTCCCATGCGGACGGTGGGAACTCAGCTGCCTGAACCTTCACCTCCTGCCTCCCGGGGTCTGCATCAGCAGGAAGCTGGAATCTGGGAGGAAGCTGGGACTCGGAGACGGGGTGCAGCCATCCCCAGCTCACCCTGGCCAGGAAAGGTAAACACTGGACCCGTGTAGCTACACTGCATGCAGCAGATGGCACTCCATGGAGCAAATCCCAACCCAAGTAAACAATCTGAAAAATGAAAAAGCTTTGTGCCTAAAGATGTTCATGCTAGCACTGTTTGGAAAGACCACATCTGGGAAATGATCACTTAGTACTAGCAAAGTAGATTATGGTACAGCCTCTTTGTGGCTATAACCATCAGAAATCAAGTATCTGAAAGATTTATTATTTATTTATTTATTTACTTATTTTTGACAGGCAGAGTTAGACAGAGGGAAAGGTCTTCCTTCCGTTGGTTCACCCCCCAAAATGGCTGCCACGGCTGGCGCGCTGCGCCAATCCGAGTCCAGGAGCCAGGTGCTTCCTCCTGGTCTCCCAAATGGGTGCAGAGCCCAAGCACCTGGGCCATCCTCCGCTGCCTTCCTGGGCCACAGCAGAGAGATGGACTAGAAGAGTAACCGGGACAGAACCAGCGCCCCAACCAGGACTAGAACCAGGGTGCTGGCGCCGCAGGCGGAGGATTAGCCAAATGGGCTGCGGCGCTGGCCATGAAAGATTTATAATACTAGCAAATGTGTTATTATGCTAAGTGAAAAAGTTGGATGTAAAATTAAGATATAGCATTTAGGAGCCAGCATTGTGGCTCAGTGGGTAAAGCCACTGCCTGAGACGCCAGCATCCCATGGGGTGCTGGTTCAAGTCCCGCTGCTCCATTTCTGATCCAGCTTGCTACTAATGTGCCTGGTAAATCAGTGGAAGATGGCCCAAGTGCTTGGGCCCCTGCACCCACATGGGAGACACTGACAAAGCTCCTGGCTCCTGGCTTTGGAACGGTCCAGCTTCAGCTGTCATGGCCATTTGGGGAGTGAACCAGTGGATTGGAAGACCTTTCTCTAACTCTCTCCGTAACTCTTTGAAGTAAATAAAAATAAATCTTTAAAAAATATATATATATATGGTATCAAATAGGGGAACACGTTGTGATGAAGAAAAATGCAGTGGAAATGGATAGGAATTCTTGTTCTAAAGGTCAAGAAAGGGACCAGTGCTGTGGCATAGTGGGTAAAGCCACCACCTGCAGATCCAGCATCCCATATGAGTGCTGGTTTGAGTCTTGACTGCTCCACTTCTGATCCAGCTCTCTGCTAAAGGCCTGGGAAAGCAGCAGAAGATGGTCCAAGTCCTTGAGCCCCTGCACCTATGTGGGCAATCTGGATAAAGCTCCTGGCTCCTGGCTTTGGTCTGGCCCAGCCCTGGCTATTGTGGCCATTTGAGGAGTGAACCAGCAGATGTAAGATCTCTCTCTCTCTCCCCTTTTCTTTGCCTCTCCCTCTCTATCTCTGCCTTTCAAATAAATAAATAATTTTTTTTTTTTTAAAAAAATGGTCAAGGAAGACCTCACTAACACTGGAAGGAGGGACTTAGCCATGTAGCCACCTGGGAGAAGGGTATTTCAGGAGAGAGCAGCAGGTGCAAAGGACCCTGAGACGGCAGTGTGTGGGGTTACTGAGGAGCAGTAAGTAGGCCAGGCTGGCTGAAACACAGTCAATGAGAGAAAAGGAAAGAGGAGGAGAGGAAGGGTTGAGATGGGGCAGCCACTCACAGGCTACTATTGTAAGGATCTTGCATTGATCCTGAGTGAGACAGGAAGCTGTGGGGAGCAGGGAGCAGAGAAGGGATACGGGCTGACTCCCATTCATTCAACAGGTACCTGACGGAGCATCAGCCAGGTGGCAGAGTCTGTGCCAGGCACGGGGGCAAACGCAGTCCTGGTGGAATTTACATTTATTCTACTGGAGGGAAATAGATAATCAATCAATAATGGAATAATCAAATCAGATCACCCTGATCCTAAGAGTCCTTAAGGGCCGGCGCCATGACTCAATAGGCTAATCCTCTGCCTTGTGGCGCCGGCACACCAGGTTCTAGTCCCGGTCGGGGCGCCGGATTCTGTCCCGGTTGCCCCTCTTCCAGGCCAGCTCTCTGCTGTGGCCAGGGAGTGCAGTGGAGGATGGCCCAGGTGCTTGGGCCCTGCACCCCATGGGAGACCAGGAAAAGCACCTGGCTCCTGGCTCCTGCCATCGGATCAGTGCGATGCACCAGCTGCAGCGCGCCGGCCGCGGTGGCCATTGGAGTGTGAACCAACGGCAAAAAGGAAGACCTTTCTCTCTGTCTCTCTCTCTCACTGTCCACTCTGCCTGTCCAAAAAAAAAAAAAAAAGAGTCCTTAGTCCTTAAGAAGGAAAAAGAGTGAGGAAACAGTGAGTACAGACCTGTTTGTGGTTAGCAAAGGCCTTTTCAAGGTGCAGACAGTTGAACTGAGCACTAACGCATGCAGAGGGGCTGCTGTGTGAAGAGGTGGGGAGGGTGGGCAGGGTCATTCCAAGCAGAGGAAGCAGCAAGTGCAAAGGCTGGGAGGCGAGAAGAGCTCTCTGTGGTCAGGAGCCTCACGTGCACAAAACCACTGAGACAGAACAAATGAGAATGTTAAGGGGGCATATACCTGAAAGACAACAAGAAGCTAGTAATTTCTCTTCCTTTTCTTTTCCTTTTTTTTCTAAAATATTTATTTACTTATTTGAAAGTCAGAGTTAGAGAGAGAAAGGGAAAGATAGGGACAGAAAGAGATCTTACAATTGCTGGTTCATTCCCTAGATGGCTGCAATGGTCAGGGCTGGGATAGGCCAAAGCTAAGAGCCAGAAACCAGGAGTTTCTTCAGGGTCTCCCACATGTGTGCAGGAGCACTCGGGTCGTCCTCCACTGCTTTTCCCAGGCCATTTGCAGGGAGCTGAAATGGAAGTGGAATAGCTGGGACACAAACTGGCGGCCACACTCGATGCCAGCGCTGCACACAGCGGCTTTACCTGCTGCTCTTTCTTTTTGCTTCCTAAAAATATCTTTACAATTGCTGATAATAAGCATATCTGTTTTCATAATATTTGTTTATTTGAAAGGCAAAATGACATAGAGAGAGGGAGAGTCAGAGGGAAACACAGATCTTCCATCTGCTGGTCACTCCCCAAATGGCCACAACAGCTGGGGCAGGGGCAGGCCAGAGCCAGGAGCCAGGAGCTCCATCAAGGTCTCTCACGTGGGTGCAGGCACTCGTGCTTCCTTCCCAGGGGCATCAGCAGGGAGCTGGATCACAAGTGGGGCAGCTGGAACTTGAACAGATGCTCTGACATGGGATGCCAGCATTGCAGGCAGCGCCTTGGCCTGAGGCACCACAACTCTGGCCAGCGTAATATTTTTTCAGACAAAAAGGCCACTGCAGAACTGTGCTCCCATTCTTATCACTAAGTGCTTCTTTAACATTCTCTTTTTTCTTCCTTAGGTTCCTATGAGAATATGAAAAAATTCAGGGACCTAGAGAATACACACTTGTCCAACTCACTGAACTGTACACTTAAATGGGGTGGATTTAATTGTTCATACCTATACCTCTATAGAGTTGACTTACAAAATGCTAATGGACCTTCCTCAGGAAAATCCGAAGGCTGCACTGTAGAAAGTTCTTCACATGACGGATGCTCACCAGATGCCAAGGGCATTCCAGCTAAGCACCCCAACATTAGCACCTCTCCCTGGGAAGGGCAAGGCTAGGGAAGAGCTCCGGCAGCGGGGTGGGGGGGGAGTGTGTACACAGGAGGACCTCACTGAGCGCTTTGTTAGAGGCTGAGGCACGCAGAGAGCGGAACCGCGCCTTGCTGTTCTCAGAACAGGGGAGTCAGAGAGCCTCCATTCACTGCACAGAACGCAGCAGCACAGCGCGAGGGCAGCAGGGAGCTCTCGCGCATTTTCAGTGTGAGAAGTGAGAGAGGTGGTGGGGCGTAACCTCTGAAACACAGCTTCCAGTGCCTCTGCACCAAAACCAATTCTCTCAGGAGGGTTCTGACTTAAGGACCTGGCTGTGCTACCCGACGCACTTCTCTCCCCAAGCCCCAGGCCCCACTGGGCATGCAGACTGCAAACAGGATGGCCGGCCAGAGAGCAGAGGGCCAGGCGCCAGCAGAAGGAGGGGCTTGCGTGGGAGAAAGGGGACGGGTCCGGGAAGGAGGGTCTTAGTTTCAGGGAATTCTTTTCAGAAGTTTTGGGAGGAGATTCGGGACGGCTGAGCAGTGGGAGAGTGACAGAGAGAAGGGCCGGGATTTGCAAAGGCGTCCCCGCACCACTCTCCCAGGGAAGCCGCGGATAGCTGAGCTGATTCACTCAAGTTGCTTTTCCAGGCCCTCCAGTGTGCTCCGAATTGATCCCTCTACTCACTCATCGGGAAACATTTACTGTTATGCAGTCCCAGCTCCCGTACTGAGGAAAGGGGATGCCGAGGTTAATAAACAGTGGCTGGGCGCCAGCTGCTCCCACTTTAGGAGAGGCGCAGATATGCAATTAGCCCTCATTAAGGAGCATGGGGGGACACCTAACCCGGTCTGGGGAGTCATGACTAAGAGGGGCAGCAGGCAGGGCAGGGGCCTTGGGGCGGTCTTCCTTGGCTGCTCACCTTGAGGCTGAGGTGTCTGGACAAGCACTTGAGCACTTGAGCCATGCTGGCCGTGGCCCGTTCCCGTTCGTGGTCTACGACCGACTGTAGCCAGGGGTCCATGTGCTACAGAAAAAGCAGGCCAAATGGTTTACCAGGAGGATTTGGGCTAACACCTGTCCCTGCCTGCAGGAAAACGTGGGGAGACAGGGTAAACATGACTCCTGCATCCGGAAGTGCTGTCCTCGATGATAAAGCAGTTTGGGTTAGAAACGGAAGTGGTGGGACAAGCGGGGCAGCAAGGCCTCGCTTCTACAGGAGCTCCTTCTCTACGCTTACTTTCCCTTCCTCCCAATCTCTTCAATTAATTATTCTACTTTGTATTGTACTCAGGCCCTTTCCAATCTGCTTTGGGACGGAAGAAAACTCCCAAGGCACCACTCAAGAACTCTGTGGGTGCAGAATTGCATCCACCTGAACATCTGGGGCAGCTTCACGGAGCAGGCAGCACCTGTGCGTTGCTGCGCGGATGGCAGGCGGCGTTTCAGGTAGAAGGTGTGGCTTGAGCCGAGCTGCAGGGGTGGGAAAGTGAGTACACCCAGATAAAGCAGCGAAATCGAATCTGGCCAGGACACAAAGGAGAGCTGGGAGAGAACAATAAGGCCAGGGCAACAAGGATAACTGCATCTGTACTTGGGTGCAAATGACTCGTGGTAGTTTAGAGGGTCATCCCTTACTGGATTCTCTGTGTATCTTAAAGAAAAGGGCAGGCCAGCAGGAAGTCTGCACTGCGGTCACACTGCAGTGAATCAATCCCTAGCGAGAGAAAGGCACTGGCAGAGCTGCAGGTGGGGAGGTGGGGACAGGTGGCTGTGTGCGCTCTGAGTCCCACCTGATAGGAGGCTGCCTGTTTGCTAGTTCATCAAGCTGACTGCTCTTGGTTCAATGCCGAACCCTTCTATGCCAGCAGGGAATTGTAATTTAAGGACTAAAGATAGCAACCGTTTAGTGAAGGCCACTGACTTGACACTTAAAGGAATTATTATCTTCACGTACAAGTGAGGACATCAGACTCGGAGAGAACAAGCTCCTTGCGGAAGGACTCACACCTGACTAAGGGCAGAGTTTGAATGTGAACTCAAGTCCGACGTAAAGCCGACCGCTGATACTCCTAACTATTACACTGCTGCCTGAGACAGAATCCTTCTGCGTTTTCTCCCCCACCTTTCACCAGCTGATAGGAGGAATGGTTCCCCCTTCTCCCCTGGTATCTTGTTTACCTTAAAAATGGCATCGAGATTTTCCAAATGTGGGTCTTTCACCACCAGACTCTGGAGCATCTCCGAGAAGGCCTGGAAGGTCTGCCTGTAGAGAGACTGAGCCGGGACAGAGTCGGCGGGGCTTCCGCACAGCCGGGCTCCCAGGCCCCGCTTTCAAGGCTCCTCTCTTCATCCTGAGACCCTACTCAAAGGGCCAGGTCCAGGGGAAAAGCAGCCCAGTTGTGGCAGGAGGTGGAACAGAATAAACCTTCATCTCACACGGATGCCTCGGCACAGCTGGGACCACAGGTAACTGACTATCAAGATATTTTAAAGTCGACTTCTGACTCTTTCTGAGATCTTGAAACAGGGGGGAATAAAGTCCTCTTTGGTAACTGCTTCACCACAAATTTACAAGCCGAGGGAGACAATCGGCGTCTTGGCACCTGCTCTTCTCTCTGGCTGAGAGCTGCTCCTCCACACAGCCCCGTGTCTCGTCTCTTCACCCGAGCAGGTGGCTCCCCAGTCGCCCCACGTAAAACGCCCCTGCACCTGCCAACCACAATACCCCTTATCCTCCTCTGTCTCTGCTTTATTTTTTTTTTCATTAAAGCAGACACTTATCAGCCAACATATTATCAATGCTTTGCCTCTGTGCTAGAATGTGAGTGCCACGTGTGAGAACGTGTACTGCTGTATTCACACCGCCTATGGCAGTGCTTAGCACACAATGACCCTGCAACAAATATGTGTTAAACACAAGAAGGATGGAAAGAAGACAAATGAAGGGGTGTGTGTGTGCACGCTATTATCTAATTTAATCACCTACTTTACTCACTGGACTTAGCTTAAATTGTTTCTAGTTTCAAAATATCAAATGCACCTTCAAGCCCATGTATTTAGCCTAGTGCTTAAAATTACGGTTAAGGTGCCTAGGTCCCACATCAGAGTGCCAGAGTTTGAGGCCCAATGTGGGCTCCAGACTCCAGCATCCTGAGAATGCAGATACAGGGAGGCAGCAGATGGTGGCTCGAGTCTTTGGGTCCCTGCCACCCATATGGGAGACCCAAGTTAAATTCCCAGCTCCTGGCTTTAGCCTTGCCCCACAGAAATTGTGGGCATTTAGGGAATATCCCAATGGGTGGGAACCCTCTGTCTCCAAATCTATTAATTGAGCAGTTTTACAAAGACATCTTCAAAAGGCCAAGATCAGCTGGCCCTGTGGCTGGGCAGTTACTCAAGCAGAGCGTGAGTTACCTCTAAGCTGTAGGGCCTACTTGGCATGACTTCCTTCAGCTGGAGAAGAGTCCTCGTGGAGGGCAGAGTGATGAGACTTCTGGTGATCAGACTGAACAAGTCAGCTCGGTCTTCAGACCCACACAGCAGATGGACATCTTGGTAGCTAAGACAGTTCAGGAATGGCAGGTTTGATTTGACATGGACAAGCAGGGACCAAAGGACTTGAAAAGGGAAGGGTGGACTGGACTGGGAGGGAGGAGATAAGGCACAGCTTGTCAGTCTGCCCAGATTGATCTTTCTCTCACAGCAAGCTCAGAGGCCACCTCCTGCAGCTCAGCCTCCTGCAGCTGAATTCAGGAGGGAAGAGGACGGAGCCGAGTCAGACACTTTTTAACCACAGGCCTCCTCAGCCGAGTCACTGAGGAACAAATCTCCCGAGAGAGGCAAACAGCAGGGAGCCCTTGCAAACTCCTGAGACCTTGGAACTCTCCTCCCACGCAGCATACATGGGAGTAACTCTGCACTGTACACTATACCTGGGACAAAAGTGAACTCCAAAAAGGTGCTGCTAAGGTTTTTCAGATACGGATGGTAGCATACTGAAATCAAATCCTTATACAAAAACAATGGATTTGGCTTCCCCTTCCCTACCTAAATCATTTTCAAAAGTTAAAAATATGGTATACGGGACTGGCATGGCACAGCGGGTTAAGCTACTGCCTACGATGCCAGAATCCCATGTGAGTGCTGGTTCAAATCCTGGCTGCTCCACTCCTAACCTAGCTCTCTGCTAAAGTGTCTGGGAAGGCAGCTGATGATGGCCCAAAAGCTTGGGTGCCTGCTGCTCACATGGGAGACTTGGTTGAAGCTCCTGGTTCCTGACTTTGGCCTGGCCCAAGCCACAGCCGTTGTAGCCATCTGGGGAGTGAATCAGCAGATGGAAGACCTCTCTCTTTCTCCCTCTCTGTCTCTAACTTTCAAATCAATCAATCAATCTTTAAACAATATATGGAATGCTATCAGTCAGCTTTGGCACTGGCTTGGAATGAGGAAGCGGGATGGGTGTGTGTACGTGTGTCACCTGAGGCCAGCAATGAGGACAAAGATCTCCTGGCGCACGGGGCTGAACAGAGAGTGCAGGGACTCCTCTTGCACCAGTACCTGCAGAGAGGGAAAGAGCTTGAGAGAGGGGAGACCCACCCAGCTTCCTGGGCCAGAAGCACTTAGAGACGAGGGTCGCCTGCTGGCAGCTGGTTTCACCTCTGCCTCTCACTGTTGGAGCTGACGCAGTCACCTACCCTGCCTGTGCCTGAGCTTCCTCCTCTGGGAAAATGGTAATGGTACGACTTACCTTCGTGGGGAGACTGTGAGTACTCACGGAGCTGCTTCATAAAACCTAGGATCCCTCAACAGTCACAAGTGTCTGTCACTCATTCTTTTGACTCTTAGAGATTACCTCTAGTTGCGGCATTTTAACTCCTCTTTATACTAAACCAGTCACCTCTGCTGGCATGCCCAACATGACTCTGAGTGCCTTGTCTTGGGAAAGGGGTAAGTTTCCGGTTTACAAGTTGGCAGAGGGCAGGCTGCCTTGCTGTGCAGGAGGATTGGCAGCAACAGGGAGAAACGGGGACATGGGAGCAAGGCAGCGCCTCAGCCTGGGCGCTGGCACCACCATGCACTGTGTGGCCCCGAGTGCTATTCAGCCTCCCTGTGCCCAAGTTTCCTTATCTGGAGAGGAAATGAGAATATCCAGGGGAGCTGATGTGAGAAGCAAGGGTAAACTCCTGTAGGAGACCCTCACTGTCTGCCCAGGCTCTCTGGGAACTGCCCTCAGCCGGTAGGAATGAGCGTCTCACAGCCACATTTCTGCTAAGTCAGTCATCCTGTCTCACTGGCTCCAGTTCATCTGTCCAAGAATAGACCAACATCACTTAGATCCGCTCTCTCTCTGGAATCAGGAGTTGGGACAAAGAGCTCTGTATTCATCAGCTTTCCATCACTGTAACAAATGCCTGAAAGAAGCTACTTAAGGAAGAAGGAGCTCATCTCGGCCGACGGTTCTGGAGGTCCGGCAGCCCCACTGGTCTAATGAGGTGGTGGGTGGCGGAACGGACGCAGCGAGAGAACGGCTGGGCCCAGCCTGCACTGATGCAAGCAGCCTTCTCGGGAGAACTGCCTCCCAAGGGTATGCCTCCAGTGTCCTCTGGGTCTCCCACCAGGCCCACCTCCTGAACACCAGACTTGGATGACGCCTCTGCTCTGCTGGCGCCACTCACTGTGACTTTGGGGACTAAACACCTGCACGAGCTGGGGAGCCGGCTCCTGGTCAAACCACAGCAGGCTTCCAGCTCAGTGTGGCCAGTCGCCTTTCTTTTAGGATAACGTGGAATCACAGACAGGCAGAGGCAGAGAGAGAGAGGTCTTCCATCCACTGATTCACTCCCCAAATGACCACAAAGGCCAGAGCTGGGCCAATCCAAAGCCAGGGGCCAGATGCTTCCGCCAGATCTCCCATGTGGGTGCAGGGCCCCAAGAATTTGGCCATCTTCTTCTGCTCTCCCAGGCCATAGCAGAGAGCTAGACTGGAAGTGGAGCAGCTGGGACTCGAACAGGCCACCCATATGGGATGCCGGCACTGCAGGTGGGGGTTTCACTCACTATGCCATAGCACCAGCCCCACGGCTAGTCTTCTAAGAGGAGAAAGCAGAAGAATGGGGAGCTCAGGTCCCTTTGGACAGGGTAACAGAGAGAGCTACTTAAGGGGGGTGATGGAAGCACATATAAAGGAACAGACTGTGGACAGAGAGAACCTTCTCTCCAGTACGTGGAAGATTTGATTTTCAAGATTCATTTCCTTCCTGGCCCAGGCTTCTCCCCTGACACCAAAAAAGACCTCACTAGGAACTTAGCACAGGGCCTAGGAGGCAGGAAGTTCTCAATAAAATATTCCTGGGAACCCTCTCGTGCTCTTTCTGAGTTCTTCTCTCCTCATTCTCCAACTCTGGTCTGACTCAGGCCTTGCTGGTGACCTGCTGCTCTTCTTCCTTTACTTATTTCCTCAAAGAGCTCATTAATTGTTACGGTTTTACAATCTGGGAGGGACAAAGCATGAGACTCTGTCTTCAGTCTTAACAGACATCCCTGAACTCTATCCACCCATATCAAGTTATGGCAAGGACCTCGCCACCTAAGTCACAGCCACTCCTAGCATTCTAGTGTTTAAAATTAAGTTCAGGGGCCGGCACTGTGGCGTAGCAGGTAAAGCTGCTGCCTGCAGTGCCGGCATCCCATATGGGTGCTGGTTCGCATTCTGGCTGCTCCACTTCCCATCCAGCTCTCTGCTATGGCCTGGGAAAGCAGTGGAAGATGGCCTGTGGGGAGCAACTCGGACTAGACTGTTACTGGAATTAAGACTTATTCTATGCATCTGCTCTCCCACGATAAGGCGCTGAGAAGGGAGTAACAGCTTCTACACAGCTGCCTCCAGTTCAACCAATAAACTGTAGGACCTGCTCCTGATTGGAGAAGAGCAGCGTACTCGGCGTGTGGGTAGCAGAGTTGGGATTGGTGGAAGAGGACTATAAAGGAGGAGAGAGACAACATGCACCGGGAACACCTGAGGAACATCTGAGCAGCCTCCGAGAGAGCCAGCCGGCGGTGTGCCGCTCCCCCGCGGAAGTGGGGAAAGTGGCAGGGGGAACCGCCCTTCCACGGAGGTGGAAGGGACGGTAGCCAACTCGGAAAGAACCAGCAGCAAACCCGGGGAGGGCCGAGCAGACGAAAGAACAGCGCAGGGTCCTGTGTCGTTCCTCCACGAAGACGGGGAGTGACAATGGCCCAAGTCCTCGGGCCCCTGCACCCACGTGGGAGACCTGGAAGAAGCTCCTGGCTTATTATTTGCTTACAGTTATGCTAGCCGCTGCAAGAACTGAGAAGCGAGGACTGATTTCCTGTCTGTAGAATATACATGTCGTAGGAACGTCTTGGGGTGGCTGCCGACATCACAGCAGTCACCATTTCTCTCTGGGAAAACACATAGGAAGGGAGGTCCAGAGTGAGATCATTACTACACGCCTCTGCCTCTAGACATATCCAACTGCTGCAGGGCCGGCGAGCAGACCTGGGCTGGGCCAGCCACATTCCAGACTGACAGACATGGACTGGGAGCCACTGCAGGCTCTGGTCGCGGTGATGGCAGGTCAGCCACCCTGGAGCTGTCCTGGAACTTGCACAGCTGGAGGCGTGATTGTCAAAGCTCCTTCTCAGAGTCGGAGATATTCCAGCATCTTCTAATCTTTCTTTTGTACTTGAGTGAGTCAGAGTCGATCTTTGCTGCTTGCCCCAAGAAAAATTTCAACCAATCCTTTAAAAATTTTTTCTTGGGATGCCAATCCTGTGAACCAATCTTCAAAAATGAGACTGTTTGTCTCAAAGTTCTTGAAAAAACCCAGACAGATAATGCTGGTTCCCTATTCCAGGTGGGACTACTGAAGTTCAGAGAAGCCAAGTGACCTAAGGGAGGAAGGATCCTATGGGGGACACCAGACGCAAAATGAGAATGGAGCCCCAAACTGCGGAGCAGCAGCAAGGAGCCACTACGGACAATTCTGGTTGTGTTAACGTGCTGTTACAGCCACAATATCCACTCTGTGCTGTGATATCCACATTTTAATTCCTCCCTCCTGTTCCTCCCCACTCCACGCTTACCTCCAGGCAACAAATGGTCACTATAACTAGCTTGAATCTTCTCGTATTCAGTTTGAATTTTCTAGAATTTTCTATAAAGAGGATCATGTAATATAAACTTTTCTGGCTCTGGCTTCTTTCACTAGGTATAAGTATTTTTAAGTGCACCTAAGCTGTAGTGTATATTCCTTCCTTTTAATTCCTATGCAATATTCCATTTTTTGGATATATAACACAAATTGCTTATCCACTCATCTGCTGATGGACATTTGGGTCGCTTCCAGCAAGTGGCTCTTACATACAGAGCTGCTGGGAACATCTGTGTCTACATCTTTGGGTGGAAATGTGCTTTGTTTTAGCTAGGAATGGAATATGGTTACATGTACATTTAACTTTTTAAGAAACTGCCAAACTGTTTTCCAAAGCAGTTGTGCCATTCCAGCACATTCCCATCAGCTGCCAGGCAGGAGAGTTCTGGCTGTTCCGCACCCTCACCGTCTGGCACTGCCATGCTTTTTTATTTTGTCTGCTCTAGCAGGTGTGCAGTTGAGTCTTCTTGGGTTTTCATTTGCTTTTCCCTATCACAGTGACGGAGCATCTCTCCACACGTGTAATTATAAGTCCTCTTTGGTGAGGCTACACAACAGGTTTTTTCCCCTTTCTTTTTCATGTTCCGTTCTTGGCATCTTTGGCTTTTTTTAATTTGGATACTGAAGATCCACACACTGGTGTGGGTCACAAGAAGACTGAGAAGTGCTTTCAAGTTCTCTCTCTGTGACGCCGCTGACTCTGTCATCTTTTTGAGTTCTTCTGCAGTACTGTGTCTCCGCTAGGCCACTGGGAGCTGCGCCGTTTTAGGTCCTGCACGTGGGCCTCCAGGGATTCTGTGGACTTGTACAATGATGCAATGACACCTAATTTTCTCATGGACATTGGTTACCCTCAAGTCTTCTAGGCCGAACTCTTCATCAGCCCATTACTTTGGTTGAAACCTGTTGCGGGCATTTTACTCCTGGCTGGACAGATCTAAACACAGCGTGGGGCTGCTTGCTGTGCTTCTACTGTTTAAGATTTGCATTTGTGGATTTTCTGAGCAGGCTGGTTGAACCATGTGGAAACCCACAGCTGCCAATTCTAGGAGATGTGAAACTTGGGCAACATGCTATCTTGGCTAGGTCCTGTGGCTGCCTTCAGCCCTTTCCCCAAAGCTGACAGCCAAGTAGAAAACTGAGTTAATTCCTAAGTCTACAGTATATAATTCTATTCTTTTTAAGATTTATTTATGTATTCATTTGAAAGGCAGAGTGACAGAGAGAAAGAAGGAGAGAGAGAGAGAGATCTTCCATTTGCTGCTTCACTCCCCTAATGGCTGCACTGTGCCAGAGCCAGGAGCCAGGCACTTCATCCAGGTCTCCCACATGGGTGCAGGGGCCCAAGGACTTGGGCTGTGCTTCCCAGGCACATTAATAGGGTGCTGGATAGGAAGCAGAGCAGCCAGAACTCAAACCAGCACTCCAATACAGGGTCTGCATCACAGCAGTGGCTTAACCCACTGTGCCATGATTCTGGCTCTGTTTTGCTCTTTTTGATATACTGTTTGAAATGGTTCTCACCATATTTACTATTTGAAATAGTCACTTCCAGATGGACTGTAGATTCTTAGAGGACAAGGATTTAAGTTTCCAAGGAAATTTGTAAACTTTATCAAAGTACCATAGGGTACAAAGTATGGAAGACTCTTGATATCTTTTCATTATTTAATGTAACTAATCGGCTGGTTAGCCTTCAGTTTTAAAAACTAGGGCTGGTGTTGTGGTGTGTGGGAAAAGCCACTGCCTGCAACACCAACATCCTATATGGGTGCCAGTTGGAGACCTGGGTGTACCCCAGTCCAGCTCCCTGCTGATGTGCCTGGGAAAGCAGCATTAGATAGTCCAAGTGCTTAGGCCACTGCACTCACATGGGAAACCAGAGGAAGCACGTGACTCCTGGCTTCAGCCTGGCCCAGGCCTGGCCATTGTGGCCATTTGGGGAGTGAACCAGCAGATGGGAGATTCTCTCTCTCTCTCTCTCTCTCTCTTTCTCTCTCTTTTCCCCAACTCTGCCTTTCTAGTAATAATAATAATAATAAAATAAAAAAATTAATCATCAATCTAATCAGTTTACAGATCTGTGGAATGGAAAGAACTTAGAATTCTAGAATATATATGCAATCTCAGAATCAGAACTTGAGTGCTTTAGAGAAACTGAAGTACCCCCATTTTAGAGAAACCTTTGTTGCCCCAATTCCAATGCCTGGAATGATAGGGACTTAATAAGGGAATGAATGGGGGAGCTGATGGTAGAGTGTGGCTGGAGTATATACAAATAGGACAAATCCAATCATAACAATAACACAAGCATGCAAGCATGCTTCTCAAATGTATGATATATGTTAGGGATCAGGCTAATGGCTTATATTTATTTATTAATAGATAAACACAATAGCATGGAGAAATAGATACAGCTGTTCTTCTGCAGATGATGAAATTGAGTCATTGAGAAGCTAAGTTATTTCTCAAAGACACACAGGCATAGCGAGGCGGGGGGCGGGGGACAGGCACTGTGGCACAGCAGTTCAACTACCACAGAGGATACCTGCATCCCCTATCGGAGTACCTGGGCTTGAGCCCTTTGCTTCTGATCCAGCTTCTTGCTAACACAGACCCTAGGAGACAGCAGCTGATGGCTCAAGTACTCAGATCACACACGTGGGGCACTTGGACAGAGTTCTGGGCCTCTGGCTCTGGCCTGGCTCAGCACTAGCTGTGCGGACATTCGGGGAGTGAGCCAGCAGATGAGTGATATCTCTTTCGCTCTTGGTTGCTATGCCTTATAAATCAAAACAAACAAAAGGGGTGTATATAGAGCTGGAATGTTTTAAACCTATGCATTTGATTACAGTCTGCTTCCAAGCAACAAAGAGTAACGAGAAGGCAGCATTGCCCTTGTTGAGAAAGTGAGATGCTGCTCCTCTCCTTTTTAGGACTCCTCTTCTAACTGGTTTTGCAGGGTGATTGTATTTGTGAGGTGCCCCTGAGTATTTCTCCTCCCTGCAGAGATACTGAAATGAGAGGAGGCCAAAAGAATTCATAACCTAGACAAAGCCACAGAAAATCTGTTGGCCAAGTCACCAAGCTAGTATGGCCGCAACAATCTGAGATAAGTTGCCACACTCACACTCAGGACACGCACGATGTCTTCCATGTGGCTGTGAATGAAGGACTCTGTGGTTTCATCATAAGGTAGGCTTTGGCTGAGAGAAGACAAAGATCTCAGGAATATCAGCTTTGCATGTTCATCCTGAATTTGTGAAAAAATGATAAAAACACAATTATACATCATAATCTTGCTAGAAGACTTCTGAAGAGTTTCTTGGACTGTATTAGACATCTGGCATCTCAATCAGTCCAATACAAGTCTTTTATCCTAAGCAACGGATAGATTAGAGGGGTTTCGGTGGAGTCCCTTGTCTCCTGGGCCTGCCTCGGTTTGGGACGTTTCTGCTCTCAGCTGGATTACTAAGGTCCACAGTGGCTCTCCCTACCTGCAGTCTTTGCTTCTCACCCCTCCCTGCCCTGTGCAGTGCGGCCTGATACATTTCCTGAAGGTGGCCTCTGATGCTTTTACTTCTAAGCTCTCTTGATGACATTCGAATCATTATTTCAAGTCTTTAAAGTTTCTTATTAAAACGTAAATTCTGATTTGAATAATAAAATCTTTTTGTATTAACTCTTTTTTGAGTTATTTTCTTTAAGATTTATGTATTCATTTGAAAAGCAGAGTTACAGAGAGGGAGGGAGGGAGGGAGGGAGGGAGAGAGAGAGAGAGAGAGGTCTTCCATCCACTGGTTCACTCCCCAGATGGCCGCAATGGTTGAAGTTGTGCCCATCTGAAGCCAGGAGCCAGAGGCTTCTTCCAGGTCTCCCATGTGCGGGGGCCCAAGGACTTGGGCCATCATCTACTGCTTTCCCAGGCTTAGCAGAGATCCACATTAGAGGTGGAGCAGCCAGGACTCGAACCAGTGCCCATATCCCAGCACTGCAGATGGCAGCTTTACCCGGTATGCCAGAGTGCCAGTCCCTTTTTGTGATTTCAAAAGCGATACCTATTTATCATAAAAACTTCAAAGACATAAAGTATAAAGATAAAAATAAAGGGGAATATGTTGTGGTAGAGTGTGTTGAGCCACCATCTTTGACACCTGCATCCCATATGAGTGCTGTTTGAGTCCTGGGTGCTCCAATTTCAATCCAGCTCCCTGCTAATGCACCTGGGAAAGCAGTGGAAGATGGCCCAAGCCCTTGGGCCCCTGCCACTCAGGATGGAATTTCAGGCTCCTGGCTTTGGACTGGCCCAGTCCTGGCTGTTGCAGGCATTTGGGGAGTGGCCACTGTGGAGCTTCTGGCTGTTTGTTGCTGCTCACTCTCCACAGAGTTTCCCATCAGTGGATGCCACGTCTTTGCGGGGGAAAAGGCTAAACAAAACTTACTCCATGTTGTGAAATTATTTATACCTTTTTTTTCCAGACTTATTTATTTGAAAGACAGTGTGTGTGTGTGAGTGTGAGTGTGAGTGTGAGTGAGAGACAGAGAGAGAGAGAGAGAGAGAGAGAGAGAATCTTCCATCCACTGGTTCATTCTCCAAATGCCTACAACAGCAGGGGCTGGGTCAGACCACAGCCAGGAGCCAGGAACTCCATCAGAGTCTTCCACAGGGTGGCAGGGGACCAAGTACTTGGGCAGTCACCTGCCTCCCAGGATGCATTAGCGAGAAGCTGGAGCAGAAGTGGAGGAGTCAGGGCTTGAAGCAGCTCTCTGATACAAGGGTGTCCCAAGCCAATCACCTGCCCCAGTTCTAGGAATTTCAACAGGTAAAAACCATCACCATCCAGATATGGAACAGTTCCACCACCTCCAGAATGCCCCTTGTGCTGTCCCTTTATAGCTGTCCCTTCTCACCAATCCCTCATTCCTGGGTGCCACTCCTCTGTTTTCCATCACCACAGTTTTGTCTTTTCAAGGATGTAGCACAGCTGGGATCCTATACTATGAAACTCTGTGATTAGTTTCTTTCATTCAGCACAAAGCACTTGAGACTCGTCGTCAAGGGTGCCAACAGTTTATTCCCTTCACTTCCCAACAGTGGTGTCCCTCCATTTCATGGATGTGCCTCACTTTGTAGTTCACCTATGAAGAGGTTTTTGTTTATTCGAGAGGCAGAAAGACAGAAATCTTCCATCCACTGGTTCACTCCTCCAATGCCTGCAATGGCCCTGACTGGGGTGGGCTGACGCCAGGAGCTGGACATTCCATGCAGCTCTCCTGGGCGGGGGGGATCCAATCACCTGAGCCGTCACCACTGCTTCCCAAGGTCTGCATTAGGAGGAAGCCAAAGCTGAGCGTCAAGCCCAGGCACTCCCACGTGGGACCTGGGTGCCTCAAATGGCATCTGAACTGCTAGATTAAATGTCTTCTCTCTATAGACTTTTCATTTTTTCTTTAAAGATTTACTTATTTATTTGAAAAACAGAGAGAGAGAGAGAGAGAGAGAGAGAATCTTCTAATCACTGGTTCAGGACAAAGCCAGGGGCTTCGTCCAGGTCTCCCACAGGGGTGCAGGAGACCAAGTAGTTGGGCCACTTTCTACTGATTTCCCAGGTGCATTGGTAGGGAGCTGGATTGGAAATACAGCAGCTGAGACTCGAGCCAGTGCTCACGTGGGCTGCTGGTGTCACAAATGTCTACTCAGCTGCTGTGTCACATGCAGGCCCCTTGACTTTTACTCTTATCACTTCAGCGTCCTCTAGTGTCTAACATAAGTTACAAACCTGTTTGTTGATTGGCTAAATGGGGTTTGAAAGCCACCCAGGAGGTAAAAGCATTGGTGACACTGACTAGAAAGGGGATCCTGTAAAAATTGCTTCTCATAAGGTCCAGGCCAGGAAAGCTCCTACAGAGTATGACGAGAGAGGTTACTTTGCAGAGGTAAAACAGATGGACACATTTTTCCAATTAGACTGGTAAAGATTAAAAATGAAAAAAGAATACTGATTTTGGACAGCTATAAGCATTTAGTATAATGCACTTACTGTATTTTACTGGCAACTGCACAAATTTAAGTGTAAAATTCTTGGGGGATAATTTAACAGTATATATTCAAAGCTTGGAAAAGTTATATCCCTATAGGTTCAGCAATGCCACACCTAGGAATCTACCCACGAGAAGTCATTCGAAGGGACACAGAAACCCAAAGAACTACAATAACAAAAACCCGAGAAGGATGTCAACAGCTAACAGCAGAGAACAGGTTAAGTCAATTAGGACATGTTTCCTTGTGATTTCTTGTTCTTAAGCTACAGATCAAAGTTCTGGTCCAGGATTTTAAGGCCCAGCACGCTCTGTCCTGCCTATCTTTGTCACAAGGTTGTTAAAACACATCATTTCGGAGCTGGTATTGCAGTATAGCAAGTAAAGCTGCTGCCTGTGACCCTGGCATCCCACTTGGGCACTGGTTCATGTCCCGGCTGCTCCATTTTCAATCCAGCTCCCTGCTAATGGCCTGGGAAAAGCAGTGGGTGATGACCTAAGTGTCTAGGCCCCTGCCACCATGTGGGAGACCTGGAAGATGCTACTGGCTTCAGCCTGGCCCAGCCCCAGCCATTGCAACCATTTGGGGAGTGAACTAGTGGCTGGAAGATCTGCCCCCCCTCCCCTCACTGTAACTCTTTCAAACAAAATAAAAAAATCTTTTTTTAAGAAAACATTTCCTGCTTCTGAAATATTCACTCTAACTTTTTTCTTTTTTAATTTGTGAGAGACAAATAGGGAGAGATAACATCTCCTGGTTACTGCAGGGTGCACATTAGCAGGAAGCTGGAAACACAGCAGGGCTGGGACTCACTCCCAGGCACTCCGATATGGGATGAAGCTTAACCACTATGCTAAATGGCCACCCCAGATCTGAACACGAGGGTTCCCTCCTCGGAGGTGCCTTCCCTTGCCCCAGGTGAAGGTCAGTTCCGGGACTTAGGAATGAATGAATTTTCCATCCAAACAAGTGGAATACTGTGCAGGCTTTTAGTCGGACAACACAGACTACAGCTATTGACCCAGAAGAAAGTTTTCTTCCACCATGTCTGATGGTGTTTCTCCAATAACTGCATGCATTTGTATGGATAAATAAAAAGCCTGAAAAACACATAACAAAATGTAGTTCATCTCAGGAGAGTGGGACTGGGGAATATAAACTTTTAATTTTTATTATGTCTTTCTTTTATATGAATTTTATAATTTTTATAAATGTAAGTACAATTTACAAATTTACAATTTACAAATATATGTAAATATATGATCAATATAAACATAAAATGAATAGAGGTATACATATGAAATGTTACAGCTTACAATGTAAATTTACTTGCCTACAAGAACTACTGTTAAAATACTGAGAGGCAGGAATAAGTTGGGTAACTTGAAAGGCTCGCTAGTGC